TGGTGTTGGGTATTGCTTTGGAGCCAAGTACGTGGTTATGCTTGCGGGAGAGCACCAGGGGACGGCGCCGCAGGGGCAGGCTGCGAAGGATGTAGAAGCAGGGTCGGCCAAAAATGGTCCATTGATCAAGGCGGGGGCTGTTGCTCATGCCACGTTGGTGACGAGGGAGGACATGAAGGCCGTGAAGGCGCCATTGATGCTGATTTGTGTCGGTGAGTTGAAGCAGACATAGGTTGCTACAGGATGATCGCTGACCGGGTTCCAGAGAACGACCCACTGTTTCCTGAAGAAGTGCTTGAGATCGGCCGAAAATACTTTGCAGCGAGCAACGTCGAGCACGAAATCAGTACATATCCGGAAGTGCCACATGGTGAGTTTCGACCTCAAAGAGAGGTTTTCGTTGTCGACGCTGGAAAAGCTGACACTGGACCAGGATTCGCTGTCTACGGAGACTACGATTCGCCAGCTATCAAGCAAGCACAGGAAACAGCCTTCCAGCAGATGCTCAACTGGCTGAAGGCGCATTGACGTTCTCACACTGGAGTTGATGCAGTTTCCTTTCCTGTTGGAGAGGTACGGTGACGACAAAACAAATGATACCCGTAGCATGAACACAATGAGAAACTCGGCGCACTTAGAGTCGTTGCATTGACGCGGCAGCAGACCTGAATGCCTTCTTGCTCACCTAGTGCTGTAGGGCCAGCTTTCCCAGTAAACCTGTATCGCTTCCGAGGTGGTCTTTTTGGAAGCACAGAACAAAACGATGCCTTGTATCCCGCTAGCATTTCGGGTGTTGACCAGTCTCGCCTGCCCGTTGCTCATCAACCTCCCAAAATCTCTGCCACCAACCCCCCTCCCGCGATGAATCGTCGTTGTTGTCATTCCTCATTTCTGCATCATCAATTGTACGAATTCGTTGTAATCGATACGACCATCGCCGTCCTGGTCGGCTTCCCGGATCATCTCATCCACCTCGTCATCTGTGAGCTTTTCGCCAATCGAGGTCATGACGTGGCGCAGCTCGGCGGCAGAGATGAAGCCGTTGTTGTCTCGGTCAAACACCTTGAACGCCTCACGGATCTCCTCCTCGGAATCGGTATCCTTCATCTTTCGAGCCATCATCGTGAGGAACTCTGCGCGATCCGTCAGCCAACCACCACAATCTGGGCGAGGCCTTCTTTCGTACCTGGGAAGTCGATGGTGCCATTGTTGTCTGCATCCACCTCATTGATCATGTCTTGCAGTTCAGATTCTGAGGGATTCTGGCCAAGCGACCTCATGACAGTGCCCAGCTCCTTGGTTGTGATTTGCCCTAGCAGTACGTGTCAAGGGTCGCCCTAGAACTGAAGAGCGATTGCTTCGGTGCAGAGCCACTGTGCGTGGGAGTACATACCATCACCGTCTTTGTCCTGGGGGCCTGGGTGTCAGCGCTGCAGGCATCAATAGCGGAAGGTGGCGAACATACGAACAGAGAGAAGGCTTCCTTGAACTCGGAAACTTGCTCTTCGGTCAGCGAGTCCGCCTGTAGCCATCCAAATGTCAGTCGGTGATCTAGGTAAGTGAGGTTTCACGATTGTAACCACAATCTAGACACAAGTCGTACCATGATGGAAGTGTCTTGAGTGGGAAGTGAGGTTGATGCTGGCCGGGAACGATATTCGAGAGCGCGCAGGATTTGAAGCTGATTAACGATAACTTTGTGCGTCAGAAAGAAGTCAGTATTTCACAGCAGCCGAAATAGCGGCGTAATTGAATTGCGTTGTTCTCTGTAAAAGGAGCCTCGAACCTTGACTGGCCGCCCGCAGCTGAGGCTCGAACGAGCGCGGGCGCATTCCTCGCCCGGACCAATGATTTTCCGCTCCGGCTCCTTCCAGCCTTCACTGTCTCGCTGTTCCTCGGAAGGTGGTGGTGCCTGTGTCGTCCATGTCCTTCAGCTGCGAGTGATGCTACCACCCTTTCCGGCGCAAGGTATCTAGGTTGGTTCAGATGGTCTCATTCTGAAGCAGTGATCAAAACCTCTGATCTAGCCGTGCCTTAACGCGCCATGACAACGACAGCAACTGAGTTCCAGACGACAGGCGACAGTCGCACGTGAAGCCCGTCAACTTCACCCACGTTTCGAACATGTGGAGAGACCGCACGAACCTGTATAGCTCAAGCCCTCGAAATCACACGAGCCGCGCTAACACTGTTCAGCTACATATCCTATCGACAATCCTATTCACACCACCCTGCGAAGAGACCCAGATTCCCAGCAAGCAATGGCTTCGCCGACCAGGGCTCGGAGGAGACTCGCGGTCTCATGTCAACAGACGCATACGACGACGGCGACGCCGTGATCGAGATGGACTTGCTCCCTCCACGGTGGATTGACGTGCAAGATGAGGTTGGGGACCTGCTCAAAGACATCACCCTGAAGGCGGCCAAGTTGGATAAGCTGCATTCGAAGCACGTCCTGCCAGGCTTTGAGGACGACTCGGTCAAGTTGCAGGAGGAGCGCGAGATCGAGCAACTGACCACCGAGATCACACGAGGCTTCCAAGAATGCCAAAGGGCCATCAAGCGCATTGAGATCATGGTCAAAGAAGCGAGTCGAACCGGCAACCTGCAGAAAGGGGACGAGGTCATGGCGAAGAACATCCAAGTCGCTCTGGCCTCGCGGGTTCAAGAAGTCAGCGCGACATTCCGCAAGAAACAGAGCATCTATCTCAACAAGCTGCGGCAGCTGGGCGGATTCGAATCGCCCATCGGCCGAGCCTCAACCCCGGTGCAGAATCCGTATTCCGACCCAGCACTGATGGAATCCGAGGTGGACAAACGGCTGGGCCAGTCCGCGTTGCAACAGACGGCGCAGAAACGGCTGCACAGGAACGACGCCGCCATCGCCCAGCGGGAACAGGAGATCAACGACATCGCCAAGGGCATCATTGAATTGGCAGACATCTTCCGCGACCTCCAAGCCATGGTCATCGACCAGGGCACCATGCTCGATCGCATCGACTACAACGTGGAGCGCATGGCCACAGACGTAAAAGGAGCGGAGAAGGAGCTGGTCGTCGCGACCAACTACCAACGTCGTAACACTAAGCGGAAGATTCTCCTGCTGCTCTTCCTCCTCGTGGTCGGCATGTTTGTCCTGCTCCTCATCAAGCCGAAGAGAAGTGCTCAGACACCACCATCTGTAGCTCCTCCTGCATCACCAGATACTCCTCCCTGAAGTCAACTGGCCAAAGCGAGAACAACAACAATATGAGCTACTATCAGCAGATTCCGGGCACAACCAGCCTACCTGAGATGGTGCCACAGTTGCGGCATCTTTCACCACCTTGACGCAGAAGGGACGGCGAAGGGACGCCAGGGGACGCCAGGGGAACCGCCGTAAAGTACGTCCGGCGTGGCAACGCCAGCAGCACCCTCCCATCTTGCGGAAAGATCAGCCAACGTGTGGTTAGGTCAAGAAAAATCCCACGATCGCTGATACCTAAAGAGGCGGGAACTCGACAGATGAAATGTCCAATTCTGGACTTCCGCAAAGGAGTCTGTTCATCCAGACAGTGGCTAGGCAAGCTTGCTGGCGGAGAGAACATCTGCAGGCACGGAGGCACACCACGATGTCACATTGCTCTATGTAAGTCTGGCTTGCGTCCGAGGTCGTCCGAGGTCGTCCCAGGTACGTCGTACTGATGATGGACTAGAGTACTCTTGACTTTGGATGTCATTGCGACTAAGCAGTTCAACCATTTTGACTGTGGACCTGATATAGAGGGATTCATCAACCAGGACCATAATTTTTGCCCAGCAGGGAAATGAAGACGAATATAGTACGGAGTACGCCTCTTAGCTGCGCTAAGAAACGCATGAGACTGTCGCCGTCCTTTTCAGTCGTGTTTTCTTCTTCCATCCGCTGTAGCTGGAGCAGCCGACGCATCCCGAGTCTTGCCTCAGCTCACGCCTACCTCCACATTCGTCGTCGCATTGTAGGGGACTAGGGAACTGGAATAAAGTCGTGCAAGGATCTCCAGGCTGTAAAATCCTTGGAGATACAGTAGCGACCCCCCTTCACCAGCCTAGCCTGCGAACCTGTCGCTCATGCACACCACCGCCAGGGTTCCGTTTCCACATCCGCAGGACGGCCGGGGGATGCATACAGTAACTGCAGTTGCCATGTGCTGCCACTGTACCATCTACAGTACAGTACCTGGAATGATCCAAACGATCCAGAGCCCATAAAGCCGGGGGGGAGACCTGTCCTCCTGCTACAGAGGGAGAATGCTATGCGCCCGTCCGTCTCGCATGGCTTGCAAAGTGGTAATTACAGTATCTGGCAATCTGCAACTGGCGCACTGGTGGACTGAAGTCTCCGGGTTCGTCGTGCAGTGCAGTGCAGTGCAGTGCAGTGCAGTGTATTAGTTGTGGCCAGGGAAAGACAACGACAGCGATGTCTTCTCCGCCACAAGTTACAGTACTGTACCCACAGCTCTGCTCTTCTCTGCTCCGCGAAGGTTAGACTGGAATCCGAATGCCCGAGGTACTGTGTTGCAGGGGCTGAACATCAAAACGAAGCACGGCGACGGTAATACAGTATGTATGTACTGTGGTGTTCTGTTTGCAGGACGGCATACTCCGTACATCTTGACCCTGTTGACACACCAACTGGGGCGTTGACGGAGATCAGGTACCTAGGTACCAAGTCCTTCTGGAAAACACGCGAACTGGACAATTGACATATCGGGAGCGCTCAGCATTCAGCGTGCGGGCCGTTACAGAAATCCCTGTATCCTCAAAAGGCGAGAGAGGATCTGAGTCATTGTTCACTCAGATTGCGGACATTGTAGTTTGCGTGGTCCTCTCACCACGAATACGGACGTGAACGTGAACGTGAACGTGAATGTGAATGTGAATGAATACATAGACAGATAGCCAGCTAACAGAAGTAAAAGATAAACCAAACGAAGTTACACGCTCAACCACTCACGACCAAACCAAAGGTACGGTAACAGTCAAGACACCGCGCCAGCCATGACTCTCAGCGGCCGGACGCCGACGACTCCCTTTGTCTTCCCAGCAGCAGCAGAACCACCTCCACCACCACCACCAGGATTGCCAGGAGCTTGTGGGCCCGACGACGACGTCCCTACGGCAAGATTCCGACCATCATCGATCCTCATTTCCCGCAACTTACTCGCCATCTCCTCGCCCATGGACTCCATGCCGATGCCCGAGTCTTCCTTGACGCTCACCCGAGGGCCATGCTTGGTGGTTAACCCCTCAGGAATAGGCAATTCGACCTCCTCGGCGCCGAGCCGGTTTTTGATGTCCTCGAACAGAACCTCCATGGGCGCGATGTACGCGGTCTTGCTCTTCTCGCCCCACGCCAGGACGTGGCCGCACAGTCCGCCGCTGACGGGGTCGTAGACCCAGGCGCCGCTGTCGCCGGGGATGCCGAAGCCGCCTTCGACACAGAAGGACGTGGAGAAGGATTGCCGCCCGTGCATCTTGACCAGAGACATGGCTTGGCTGATGCGGCCGCGGCGGAAGCCGCTCGACCGGCCTCGGCAGTGGACGCGCAGGCCCGAGAGGGACGACAGGGGCGTAATGGTCGTGAGGACGGGGATGTTGCAGTGCCCCGGGGACGACGATGACGACACCTGCCGGTTCCTTGCAGTGGGAGGGTTCGACGCCGTGATTTTGTCCGCGATGGCGTTCTCGATTTTCAGGCGGTCTTCCTGCACACGGATCAGCGCCCAGTCGACTTCGTGTTTCATCTCGTCGCGTTTGACGCGCCGGATGCCGCTGCTGGCGAAGACGTAGCCGAAGGCGTGCGAGGCGAGGTGGTCGTCGTCGCGGTCCTCTTCGCTGGGGAAGAAGTCGTCGTCCACGTCGTCGATGGCGGGCTGCGTCACGCAGAGGTCGTCGTCCGAGTAGGGTGCTATGCCTCGCTTATCGCCTATCGAGGCGGCGTCGTCGTCGGCGTCTACATCTTCCTCGGATGAGGATGATGCGTCGAACCCGTCGTCGTCGTCGTCTTCGAGTTCTGGCGTATCGTCCAGGAACCAGAACTCGTTGCCATCTGCGTCCATGATCGCGTAGTCGGGCCGGATCGTGCTCGCATCGCTTCCGTCGTCACTGTCATTCTCAAAGTCCTCGTCAGATATGTCTAGGTCGGAGAAGCGGGAGAGGTCTTCCTCGGATTGCATGAAACGTACATCGGCTGCAATGTCATACTGGCCGGGCATCTTCCGCGGCGCCATGGCCCGGCGAGGCTGGGACATTTGCTGTTCGCTACGCCGGACGACGTCGTCGTCATCAAAATCTTCCTCTTCGTCGTCGCTGGGGATGTCGAGCATGTGGTGGACCGTCATGCCGTAGGGTTCGCCGTCAACCAGGATGGTGCCGCCAAAGGACACAGGTGGGAGGTGCTCGCAGTCCTTGAAGGCGCCGATGCTGGCTCCACTGGTGGGCTTCTCCTGGTATTTCTGTTCGAGAGGTCTTCGAGCCATGGCTTTGGGGCCTTTGTGCGAGCCGTACCCAGATCGTCGCGGCTTTCTTCTCCGGCGCGTACCGCTTCTTCTGACCTCGCCGTTGAGGAGGACGACTCCCCAGCCCTTCTTGGGTCGGAACTTCTTCCTCAAGACATCACGGACTTTGTTGACCTGCCCACATTGTATACATATGGTTGTCTTTGCACTCTCCGGTCTGCTCCCGAACATCATCAGACTCAGACTGCAGGACGATTCAGGCGAGTCCTTGAGAGCATGCTCAAGTATCTTCCCAAGTTTCGGCATCACCATGGTATTCCACTGGTCCAAGTCTTGCTGAGGGATATCGACATCGGGCCATTTCCGCAGAGGTTTCTCCACCGCCGGCGGCGGTTGCTGGATGGCTTCTGCCTTACGCTTGGAGTGTGTTCGCTTTGGAACTTCGGGTTTGACCTCGTCGTAACTCCCGGGCATGGATGGCAACTTCTTCTCCTCTACCGCTGCTTTCTCTTCGGCCTTGACCATTTGCTCGATGACCAAAAGTTCGAAGACTTCGATATCAGAGACCGGGGGAGGTCCTTCCTCGTCCAAGATGCAACATTGCTGGAGGTCCTTTGCAACCTGAAGCAGGAACGCTCCCGCATCTTCGTAATTGTTCCTATACTGCAGCTCATCTGGGGCTTGCAAGCATTTCAGGACGACGCGCATGTACTTGCTCCCGCATTTCGGGGCGAGCTTATGTGCGTATATACGCTGGACTCTCTCCATGAAGATGTCGCGGTCGTACTTTGGTTTCCACAGTTTCTGTAGCGGCACCCACAGGCCAATCTCCAGCAGGAGCAATCCCAGACTATAGATGTCGTAGGCAGGGACTACCTCCGATGCATGGATGTCATGATCAGGATGCCGGTAGATCGTTGCCGAGAATGGCTCTTCTGTCTGTAGTCGCGACAGGAAATCCTGGCAAGATTGGAGCAGATACGGCGACCTCAGCTCCCGTGGCATGCTGGAACGGTGAATGTGCTCCCTCGTCCCGACAAGCAAGATGTTGTTGCTGTTGACGTACTGATGGGTCTCGCCCTGCGCAAAGTAACCCATTATGGAAAGCGCAAGGTTGTATGCTAGACGGAAACGATCTTCCAGAGCCGGCTGTGATCCTTCGTGGGTGTTGCTAGAGGCCAGCAGGGACGCAAGGGTCCTGTGTTGCTGCAAGGTTTTGTGATCATGGCCTTCGGGCAAAGCATAGACCATGGCACAACGAGGTCCATTCGGGTCGACGGTGAAGCCGAGGAGTCTCAGGTGGCCGCACCAAGACAAGTCGCGGTTCTTGCAGAGTTTCTCTCCAAGCTCATGAAGCTCGAAGACATCCTCTGCACTGCCGATCACATAGGGTGGACAGTCAGCGGCGAGAAAGTCGACGAGCACCGGGCAGGCACCTTGTCGAAAATAGGCGATGGACCTTTCTCGCGTGGGTGTTGAGCCCTCAGCTGGGTCATATGGAGGCGGATCAGCTGCCTGGAAATTCGATACATTGAACTCCAGTCCGTTCCAGTCCACGTGTAAAGGATGGTCGTAGAGGTGGGCGTGGTCGGTTCCATCGGGAGCAGGCTGCGGATGAGCATGTTTGGCTCTCTTTGCATCGCTGCCCTTCTCGTCGGCCCTCCTTGACTCCTCCAGGCTGTACAGCACATCAATGCAAGTGGTCAGCTGGTCAAGCAGCGTCCGACCAGTCCTGACCTCGTGACTCGTCCAGTCCTTTCGCTGGGCGACGGGACTCGAGCCCGGCCCTCGTGCCGACTTCTTCATCTCGTACCTCTCGGGATGCTCAAGTCTGCCACTCTCTTCGAGTAAACGTTTGATCTCCGACATGACGCTCGCCACCACTTCACCGAGCCCGGCCTGGTCGATTTTCTTGTCGATGTCGACATCGCCTTGTGCCGAATACGGGGCTCCAACATCGGTCCAGTGCATGCCCCATGCTAGCAGTCTGTCCTGCTGGATTTGAAAGTCGCGTCGTAGCTCTCTGACTTCGGGCAAATCGGTGACATTGGCCGCGGCTGGCGTGACCTTTGCGCTCTCATACGACTGCTTGGTGTCCGAGTACAGTTTGGACAGGCGCTGGAGATAGGTACCCCTCCGGTGAAACATGGCTACAGACCTCCTTGACAACACCGGCTTAATGTCCGATCCGTCACTGTGCTCTACTCCCTCATGTCGAAGACGTGAATTGCGACGAGACTGCCGATGGTTAGTCCTCTGGAATCGTTGGAAAAGTCGATGATGGCAGCAACAATGAGACGCTCATGCATGGGGCCGTAAGATGGAGGGCGGGGTGAATCTTGGGTATATCGGACGCAGTGGAAAGGCTGCTGCCTGTCTGTCTACTCGGCGCAGTGAGCCAATCTTCGCCACACTGTCGGGAAACCACCACCACTAAACAAGGCCCCCGGATGGCCGCCTGGAGCCCAGACAAAGCGAAATAGGCGCCATTCCGACTGGCTCGGCGTATTCGCTCTTCGCATACCCCAGTTACATGGAATTCGGTGATTCTGCTGCCTGTGCATTTCAGCCTGCACATGACTGATCCTGTATTGCTTTATGACACAACGAGCATATACTGTGTTCACTGCACCACGAATTTAGGCCGTGCGATGCAGCTACCTTGTGATGTAGTCGAGGTCGAACAGGCACCCTTAGACCTCGTCTCGGAGCCACGACTGTCTCGCCTGTCAGCAATACAGTTGCCACATCGCCCCAACAATCCTACAAAACCCCGCGGCTCGAGAGCTATAGAGTGCGGAAAGAGGTAGCAAGAGGAAGTCATTGCATTTCACTTGTTGATTGGTGCTACAATCAATTGCTAGTAGTAGCAACTACTGTCTTGTGTAGAAGTCCTCTCAGACGATACAAATCCAGCTTGAGCAAGTTGCATCTGTGCCGAGCACAAGACAGATTCTCTTGTTGTATGCACTTGCAGAAACCCAATGTCAATCATTGCCCGTGGAATACAGAAAACCCAGTTGCGCCATGTTCATCATCCGTAAGCACCATGATCCATTCCCAAGTGGTTTGTGGAGCAGCTCTAGTAAACAGGGGTGGTTCGTGCTGAGAAAGCGTTCAACCACCGAAACCGTAGAGCGTTCTGCCTTGTCGTTTCAATGCATATACAACATCTTGGTCATGTGTTAGTCATATCGTCTTGCTGCAGCTTGCATTGGAGTAGCAACATACCAAGGGAGGTGACAGTCTTTCTCTTCGCGTGTTCGGTGTAGGTGACAGCGTCACGGATGACGGATTCGAGGAACGACTTGAGGACACCACGGGTCTCTTCGTAGATCATGGCCGAGATACGCTTGACACCGCCACGACGAGCGAGACGTCGGATGGCAGGCTTGGTGATACCTTGGATGTTGTCGCGCAAGATCTTGCGATGTCTCTTGGCACCGCCTTTGCCGAGACCTTTGCCACCTTTGCCGCCTGGTAGAAGATGATTGTTAGTATATTATGTTGTACAGGTGTTGGTGCATGGTGCAAGTAGTCTGAGCCGTGGGGCGGAAAGTGGCCTGCACCAGATCGAGAACGAGGTGACGCGACGACGAGCAGCCGCGGCGACGATGACTGTAATCATCGCGATAATCGACGCGTCAAGGATAGAACTTACGTCCAGTCATGTTTGCAGTTGTGAGATGAAGATGATAAGATGAAGAATGAAGACGTTGACGATGGTCGGTGGATGGTGTGATGTGAGTGCAGAGGCGGAAGCTGAATATGCAGTAAGAAGTGGGCAAAAGGGGAGAGAAAGAGGAAGAGAAAGAAGAAGGGGAGGGCAGGATATAAGCAAGAGCGCAGGGCAGGCGTGACGGGCTGGATCAACTTGGGCTTGGCGGCTGCCAGTGATTCAAAGTTGATTTTCCTCACCAGAAAACCGCCTCACAAGATCAGGCAAAAGACGTGCTGGAAAGCAGCACTTGTTCTGAGCACATCGAAGGGCCGAATGGGTGGTGCTGATTGGTCGTGATATCTCGCATTGTTTCAGGTGGGGCTAGGTGCGCAGATCAGACTAGCGCGACTGCAGTAGCTGATTCACGTGCCGGCAGCAGATGCTGGGGATCAATTCCGATCACATCACCTGACCATCATTGCCGATTCAGTTACTCTGTACTCGTACTGTGATGCTGCGTAGAGTACGAGTAGCTACCTAGGTACCTTGTAATGTCCACAAACGTCTCTCTCAGGTTCACTCTCAGACGAGGCCCACAGATGCAGGTCAGCTTCGGCCTAGCAACATTTTATGTCTGGCCAGCCTGTAACAGAGCTTCTGCAGACCATCTCGAGATTCAGCATCCAGCCGCTATTGAGCTGAACGAATGTGCGGAACTCTAGCTTTTCGACAGACCGATCATTGTACACGTGAGTTCATCGAGTCCTCATGCTCCAATACGCGGCTTCTCCCCTAGAAACCTTTGAAACCCCCATAACGCTGCTTTTCCTTGTACTTCTTGTACCCAACATAGCCACCACCCGCCACACCAGCGAACAGGAGCACTTTGAAGAAGAACCAACCCCAACCACCCCCTTGCTCCTTCGGACTCCTTCCCTTCCCGCTGGCTCTGTTCTGAGAATGTTTATCTCGCCCGCTCTGCGCCGCGACAGGACTGTACAGATTCCTTGTTTCCACGCTGATAATATCGAAGTTGTCCGATAACTCGCCCGTATGGGCGCTGAATCCCAGATACGCGGTGTTGGGCATTTTGAGCGGTTGGTCTGCAGTTGGTGTGATGCTGAAGCAATCGATCCAAGCATCGGGTGCTTTGTATTGAAGTTGCAGTGAGAGGGACTTGTCTTGGAAGTACGTCAGCTTGGCCTTCGTGGGTACTGCGGCACCGCGCAGTCCTCGCGCCTGTGTCCTCGTCAGTCAGACTTCGTCTGGGCACTCCTGAATGGTGCGCCCTTCTTACCGAACAACCGCCAATCTCGTTCGCCTTGCCATCGTTCGCGGCATCATATGTCGTCTGCCCGTCTCCCAGCATACCCATCACGTAAGGAAAGACCACGCCCGGGCGATTGTTCTTGTACGTATCGAAGAATATGCCCAGACCCTCAAATTGGTCCTTTTGTCCAAACACATTGCCTGGCTGTGCCCTGTCCTTGGTGATCCACAGCGCGAATCCATCGCCATGTAAATGTCCCTTGCCGTGGATCGCGAACTCGAACTCGACTTCCCAATTCGTCGCGGTGAGGGGTATCCGTGAAAAGATCCAGCCTGACTGGGAGGGCAAGTCGGAGGCCAGCCGGATGTACTTGTCGGTGCGGATGATGGTGTCGCCGCCGAAATCAAACCACCGACTAGACATGTCGGAGTCGAGGTATGGTGGTTGGAGACTATGTGTCCGCAGCTTGAAGAGAGTCATTAGCTCTGGACACACTTGTTGCGGGGACGCATCGAAGGCTAGCTTACAGCGACGCTCCTCATCTCTGGATCTGCCTCGACAGCTGCCCGCGTGCCAACTGCACATGCCGCTAGCAGCCATAATGAAGACCACATGCTGGATGGCCACTTTCAAAGGCTGAGGGTTTGTGCTCTCAACGTCAATGAAAGAGGAGAGAGAAGGAGAAATGTCACAGCGGCCGCATGGCAAGGAACACCCGCTCGCTGAAAGTCGCGCCTCCTGAACTAGTCGACGTGAATGTCGTTACTGGATTGCAAAGGTGTTCAATTGGTGGTGCTCCATCAGAAACGGCCTCATATTCCCCTGTCAATTGCTCCCGCCAATCGGCATGCGGCATTTTCTGCGGCATACTTGCCTGATGCAGCTCGCTGGATTGACGCAAACCATCTGCATCATTCTGGCCTTTGTCTTGCACAGAAATCAACTCGACAAAGAGCTCGACCAAAGTTCACCGATCACACCAGTACAACTTGCACACACCGTCGTCATCATGGCATTCGGTGGCTTCTTCGGCGGCTCCTCGTCCTCCTCCGACGACAAAAACAACAGCTCCTCCACGGACTCTTCCCCAACCATCACGAATCCGCTCTCCTCTTCCTTTCCATCCTCGTCGCCCTCGACAACACAAACGCTCCAACGCATCCAATCAGCCATCACCGAACAAAGCAACGTCAGCAACGCCAAACAACTCATCTCCAACGTCAACACGAACTGCTTTGAGAAATGCGTGCCTTCTCCGGCCGGGAGTCTCAGCGCGGGCGAGCAGAAATGTCTGACGGCGTGCATGGAGAAGTACATTGATGCCTGGAACGTCACGAGTAGGACGTATACGGCAAGGTTGCAGAAAGAGAGTGCTGCGTTTGCTAGTGTGGGAGGGGCAGCCGCGCAGGCAGCAGGTGGGATGGAGCTGTTCTGAGGGTAACGGCGAGCGGAGTGGGACGACTCGAATTGTCGGTGTACCCATCGCACCCGGACGCCTAGATCCAGCCTTACCAGATCCCGGGTGAGCAAAAGTCGTGGACCCTGGGGCGCTCCTGTTCCTGGATATCTGCAACTTACTTACGTCTCCCGTCAAGCTTCGAAAAGTGGACTTGCCCGATTGCTTGACTTCGATCAGGTCGCCCTTCCTTACCCGTGTACGATATGCTTGGCCGGCTCAACTCTATGCGCCGCCATCTTCTTCGAAGTTGTATATCCGCGATCCCGTCAGAAGCCTGTCGACTTACGGATGTGGCGCTGGATGGGCGTCCAAACACAACTGTACAGTAGAAAACTCACCGCCAGAGCTGGGAGATTACAGAAGGTCAAGAACATGGTTCGTGATAGGATACGTCGCAGAACGCTCTGACCACTTATGTACAATAACTCTTCTCATATCGGATGGGGGCAGGAGTAGCTCGATGATCAAGAACGCGAAAGCGTTGATAGGACTGGAGGCAGATCTGAATGCCCGCTCAGAACCCAACCGCTTCGCGTTGACTTGGTATCTCAGGTTTTGCCGCTCAGAAGTGGACAGTCTCAGAATCTGCAAGCGTGCGGTAGTAATATTCCGATGCATTCAGGTGGGTCTTGCTCTCGCACACTGCATTAGGTGCCTCGTATGATTGTCGATATGGCCTTGTGGAGTCATAAATAGGTCGTTGGCAGCTCTCCATGCCTCATTCACTGCCACCCGGCCGTTCAGACAGGAGCAACCACCCACAACCGCTGCGGCGCACCAAACTTTGCAGAAGCCCACGGCGCCATCATTACCACACCCAAGAGCTTGCTGGGGTGGGACCAAACGCAACGGCCGCAGTCCGCTGTCATAAACCTCGTCGCAAATACCAAAACTGCTCTCACGGCAGGAGAACCCAAATCCAAGCCCCTTTTTGCCTGTCATTGCGTAGCACTCATAACAATACTCGTCAATACCCGAACGGCGGCTCAGTACGTTTCTCCAGCCTTCCCGGTTCGGTCGCATCGGTCACCACTCGGTGAGCAGTCTGTCCTCATCACGGTGCGACTAAAAATCCACAAAGAAATGGCCGAATCTGTAAAATAGGTCAGTCTCGGCACTGGGGGGCCAACTCATGGGTACCATACGGGTCCTCTCCTTTCTTGCCATATTCCTCTGTTTCTTCAGGATATTTGTCGAACTGGCTAGCGTCGCCAGCGCCACCCTTCACTGGAGGTACGTAGGGTGCGTCGATGTCTTTCTTGAGTAGCCGCTCCCATGTGACCTCTGCGAACCATGCATGGTTCTTGATATCGGACGGACCGCCATGCAAGTTGCCCAGTCGCTTGGTCAGGTCATTTGTGATGAGTTGAACCAGGAGATCTTGAGCATCAGCGTGAATGTACGGAGGATACTTGACTCGGCCTTTCAGGATGTTCTCGTAGATCTTGACTGGAGAGCCGCCGTCCCAGAATGGGGTAAAACCACACAGCATTTCGAAGATCAGAATACCAAGGGACCACCTGATTGACTCAGTATCTCTCAAGGAGGATAAAGACACAAATCTCTTACCAGTCGACTGACTTGTTATAACCTTTTGAGGCTACCACTTCGGGAGCAAGGTAATCTGGAGTTCCGCAAAGAGTCCAGGTGATATCAGGTACCTCTTTCGCGAAACCGAAGTCGGTGATCTTGACGTGGCCATGCCGGTCGAGCAGCAAGTTTTCGGGTTTGAGGTCGCGGTATATTATATTCTGACCATGCAGATATTCGAGTGCCAGAGTAACTTCGGCAGCGTAGAACTTGGCGACCGGGTTCGGGAAGCGCTTCGAAGGTCAGTATCAGGACGGGTCCGGCAGGGCTCAGGGTGCGGCATTACCTGCGACTTCCGAAGGAGACTGAACAGCTCACCACCTTCGATGAAGTCCATGACCATATACAGATTCCTGGAATCTTGGAACGTTCCCCACAGAGTGATTAGGAAAGGGTGCTTGACTCGCTGCAGCATGCGTCTCTCGTCGTTGGTGTGCTCGATCTGCTTCATCTTGACCACCTGGGCCTTCTTCAAGACTTTGATAGCGTAATAGCGTTGATTATGCTTTGACTGCACGAGATGCACCCGCCCGAAGCTACCGGTTCCCAATGTCCTCTGAATGGTAAAGTCTGTGAGGGTGTATTTTCCCTTGGTCTGTCTTTGCACCGCCTTGGAGTCCACCACGCCCCCCGAAGGACTGGCGACCGGTGCGGAGTTCATGTTCACTCCGCCGTTGCTCTCGGTTGTTTTGGCATGGGGGTCGGGGGTTGAGGTGGTGGTCACGGTGGTGGTGGCTGCAGTTGACTGGGTGGGAGCATCGGAGGAAGCAGTGGCCTTCGATGACGGTGACGACGTGTCAGTCTTGTGCGAAGATTTGTATTGAATGGGCTGATAATTGCCGCCGCTCTGCTGGGCGGGCTTGTCGTCAGACTCTTTGGTCTTCTTTTTCTTGAGCAGGCCTCCAAAGGTCGGCATTTGGCTAACGTAGGGGAGCGCACGGGTCCCTGTAAATGGAATGCTAACAATAGGGTGATTTCAAAGGGAGCTCGGAGGCCCGTCAGGACTGCCTACCGAGTCACAACGTGGAACGTGGAATGGAGTGAGGCCGACCTCAGAGCAGGTGGGGAGGGGTAGCAGCAATTGCGCCGCCAAATCAAGGATCTATCGACGTAGGCCGTCGATAATTCGGTCGGGTAATGGCTGGCCGCTGGGAAGCTGCAATGCAGGCCGATAAGCTCCAATCGACACACAAGAACACTAGAGCTGGTCAAGAGGGAGTGTGCAGCTATCGTGCAACCGGTGAGTTGGGTGAACAAGTGGTGAGGGAGAACACAGCATAAGCAGCTTGGTTTGTATCACAGAGGAATGCAAGTTCAGGTTGAGAGCGGCAGCTCGAAGCAAGCTGAGACGGGAACTTTGAACTCTACGACGCTTGCTTTCAACTGCTACTAAGAGGCCGAGCTGTACGCTTGTTGGTGATATTATTGGCGACGAGGGCACCAGTGATGAGCGGGCAATGGCGTCGGTACTAGCAGGGTTACAGTTGCGATCAAGATATGCGTGGCGAGCAGGCAAGATCTTCCCCTCCTAAGGGTGCGCAGTGGGTGCCTATGCTGTTCGCACACAGACGAGAGCGCAGGTTCGAGACGCGGGGAAGCTGGCCAGCAAAGCGTGCCCGGGTTTCTCTTGCACTACTGCGGTGGGAGTACACTTCTTCACGACGGGAACCATCACAGACAGAGCCGGTTCCAGAGGTTACTGAGTACAGCCAGTAAAGACCCCGCCCGGGCTGCCCGTGCCCCCTGCGGCCTGAGCCCCTCCAATCCTCTTTTCAAGCCACGTATGTCACGAAATGAAGCATTCTCGACCCCGCCAACGAGGGCAGAGGGACCCAGCCGACTGGCTAGACCAGGAGTGCGGAGTATGACCGCTGGCTTCGACGAACATGATATCTGCCGCCGTACTGTGCCGCAGAGCTCACCGGCGCTGAGGTAAACATCGGACCAGTATCACGCCCGCGCCAGCTTCATCTCGCGGGTCACCTCATCCACGATCTCCTGCGCTTCACCAGCTGTCCGCGCCTCGAAATCGTATCGCTTGGACTCGTTCACTCTCCGGACCACGATTCGAACCAGCTTGGGATGTTTGGAGCTGACCTTGCACTTCAAGATGTCGTTGAATGCAATCGAGCTGAATTTGGCGTTGGAGCTGGAGTCTGCCGGCATGACATGGATGATGTCGCCGTCAAACACCAGCACTCTCTGACTTCCCTGCGCAAATCCTCCTAACTGTTTCCTCGTCACGTAATACTTTTTGAAATTGCTTGCGCTCGATAGCAAGTCCTGCTTCAGCGACGAAGCTTGCATAGGTTGTCCTCTTTTGTTCTTCTTCGTCGGGCCCTGGATGTCCAGCAGCAGGGGCGCATTGGGTGAGGAACTTCCAGGTGACCCCGTCAAAGTGACTCCGGCACCGAACCGCCGCCGGACCAGGTCCAACTCGGATCGTACGCCCAGAGCTTCCACTGTCCGATCCAACGGCGCCACAGTATTAGTGCCAGCCACCTTGAGCACAAAACCCGCCTTCTCAAGGTTCCATCTCTTGCACACATGGTCCAGGATTTCAGCGATGTAGCTGTCGGTGGATGTCTCTATCATCATCGTCTGGGCGGTCATGTCGTGGTTAAGGTATCGGATCTTCAGGGGTTTCGTGGAGCCCATGCGAGGAGTGGCCTGCGGCGCGGCCGGCGCGGGAAGATCTGCCGGGGTTAAGGAAGCATTGGTGAGAGCGGTGGTGAAAGGTTGTCCAGCAAGAAGCATGTTAGAGCGCGACACTCCTTTAGGAGTGCCAGGACGCTCTATCGTGGGCAGTGGAGCCTGTCCTTCAAGTGTGGTGATAGGCCCAGCGTCTGTCTGTTCAGGAGGTCTTAGTTGAGGTGTTTCCTTCTTATTAGCTTCGTACTGAGATGCAGATGCCTCCACGAGGGCAAACTCATCGAAAGGCCGGCCCCTGGTCCGGCCTCTACCGGCTCGATTGTTGTTGTCAGTAAAATCCGTCACAGGCCTGGTCCGGACGAGCGGAGGAAAGTCTTCGTCGACCTCTCCGTCTTCCACCATCCGCAGTGTCCACTTGTTGACATCGAGCTGTTCTGTAGTGAGTTCTGGTTTCAGCCCTTCCTCCTGGTATCTCCAGAGAGCGTGGCCAAGCGCTTCCGCGACAATGATAGGATTGCCATCTTTGGATGTCCGAGCCAGCGGCATCTCAAACGGGTCCTCGGCATCCTCCGAGAATGGCGCATATATCTTGATCCACAGAGGATTCGGAGTCCCTTTACCAGAGAGACCAGCGAACGCTTGCAAAGGGTTGCTGGGGCCTTTTTTCTGTGCCCCCAGAGCCGCTGAAAGCAGGCTCTTAGGCTGGATCATGCTTATAGGTCGTGGCGGCGGTAGCTCATGCAGTATTGACATTGTCCTCTGTCTTCTGGGCGATCCAGGCTGAATCGAGCGCGGTCCTGAACTTGTTAAACTGCCCAAGGGTGTGGAATTCAGATTCGGGTCACCTAAAGTGTTGAGCAGAGATGTCGAGTCCATCGTGTCTCCCAACTCCGAAGACATGGCAGATCCGACCGATTCGGCATCGGAGTCGTCCTGGCCGCCTACATGCTGACCAGCTCGCGCAACTACTCCGATGGGATCTTCGCCAGGGAGCGGAACAGATTTAGAGGTTTGGCCTGCGGTCAGTTGACGGCGCTGGAAATATGCTGGATCGACTTCGTTCTCCGAAGACATATCACTGCTCGTAGTAGTGTCGCGCCTGGCGCGAGCCTTCACAGCTTCAACGGCACCAAGCGAGCCGGTTCGGCGCCTGTTGTCGGTCGTTGGTTTATTTGGCGAGGTTGTCCCGTCGTCTCCATCGGTACCATGGATCGGGGACGAGTCCGCACGATTGCGAGCAGGCATCTTTGCAAATCTGATTTGCTGGACAGTGCGTTGGCCACCGTCGCCTTCGTCTTCCGACTCGTCCGTCAGATCGCTACTGTCGTCCTCCTCCACTTGTTCTCTTCTTCTCCGCCGCCTCATATGAAGCGCGGGTCCGATTGTATCATTGCTAGTCCTGCCGGTAACGAGGCCACCTTCATCCTCTTCGGCATCATGTGAGTTTAGCTGCTGCAGGTCTGCGCCTTCCTTGAAATAATTGGTGTTGACAGATGTCGGAATTGGGGGAGAATAAGTCCGCTGGGTGGGATCAGCAGACCAGCCAGCTGCACGAAACCCCGGTGTGTTCAGGATTGATGAGTTGACGTTGATCAGTCGCTCAGCAATCCCGTCTTTGGCGCTGGCCAAATAAGACGTCCGTAGATACCATATAGCAAAGCTGTGGTGCTAGGTTAGCAAACATCCCTCCCTGAGATCCAGCCGCGTGACTGCGGGATCTTCTTCCCGGTCAAGCGACTTCACTCACTCTTCATTCTGCAACAGAGCCATGCTGAGGTCGTGCCTATGCCGCTCAAGTGATGAGCCAAGGGTGATCAGAACTCGACCGAACGGGACAACGGTTCTATATGGCGGAGCTCGACCACGGCCATCACAGACTCCTGGAATTATAAACGTGACAGCACTATCAAAGAAGACCCTGCCCAACCAGTACCTGTCGTGATGTAAAGCGACGGCCTTTGTAAACGACAATAGTACGATTGTTAGTGATGTTAGCCCGAAACAGGACAGAGTTGAGGGGTGGGGCTAAGCCCAAGCCAGGAGATTACGGCGTTAGTGAGCTGCGGGCTTCACCCAATCAAGTTGCAGCTATCCACGTCAGCCTTGCCTGTGGCTCAGCTAGCCTTTTCAAGCCTTGTCTCATCGCGGCGAGGCGACGGGGATGGTGCTGCTCTCGTGCCTATTACTAAAGTCTTCCGGCCCTTTCTTCACATTGTCGCCGTCTTAGCTCTTCCGTGGCTTCTCATCTTCTCAACCTCACGCTTCTAGCTCCTTCAGCCCAGTCATGGCGTGTCCGCACGCCCAGTCCCAAGACCTTCGTCCTCCAAGACCCAACCAGAGCGTCTACCGTGAAGACTGTACGCAGTGTTTTGATTCCATAGACGATGAAGCTGGCCTGGACGTCTGCCTAAGCTGCTTCAATGGCGGTTGTGCCGGCGACCGTAACCATTCTCTCCTTCACCACTCTCTGACGAGTCATCCTCTGGTGCTGAACATCAAGCGAACCCAGAAACACATTCAGCGCGATGAGCCTCCTCCGAAGTTGACCAAACTTGCAATCGCTGCCGAAACGGAGGAAGACAAGTACGATACAACGACGAGAGTGAAATGCCATGCGTGTGGTATCCAGGATGTGGACCGGTCATCAGGAAATCTGCCTGCAGTTGTCGACGGGGTCATGAAAGCCATGACCTTTGCCAATTCTGAAGAAGTCAAGGCGTGGGAGCAAGAGTTTACACCCTGCGAACATACCCTGTGCCTCCAGCAAGAGGTGGGCAGACAGATTGAGTCACAAAACCTGGGTTCATGCTCCAAGTGTGAGCTAAAAGAGAACCTCTGGCTCTGCTTAGAATGCGGAAATCTAGGCTGTGGCAGAGCGCAGTTCGGTGGTGTCGGCGGTAATTCTCACGGATTGGCTCATGCAACAGAGAGTGGACACGCTGTCGCTGTTAAACTTGGTTCGATCACTCCAGAAGGCAGTGCCGACGTTTACTGCTACCACTGCAACGAAGAACGGGTGGACACAGAACTGGCCAAACATCTCGCTCATTGGGGCATCAACATTGCAGAACGTGAGAAGACCGAGAAGAGCCTAATGGAAATGCAGGTTGAGCAGAACCTGAAATGGGATTTTTCGATGACCACAGAAGATGGCAAGGAGCTGTCCCCTCTGTTCGGCCAGGGCTTTACAGGTCTGAAGAACATCGGGAATAGCTGCTACCTCAACAGTGCCGTTCAATGTCTCTTCTCGTTGCCCGATTTCCAAGTCCGATACTATCGCCCTGACGAACCTCCTCCAACCACTCAACTACCAGCGGAAGACCTGGAGACCCAGCTGCGTAAACTTGCTGATGGTGTGCTCTCTGGTCGGTATTCACGGCCAGAGACCAATACGCATGCGTCGCCGGACGATCCAGAAGTGCCTCACCAGAAGGGTCTCTCGCCTGCAATGTTCAAGCATCTTATCGGACGAAACCATGAAGAGTTCTCAACCATGAGACAACAAGATGCGTTCGAATTCTTGCTCCACCTCTTCAAACATATCAGCATATCCAACAACTCCCAACCTTCGCAAGACCCAGTGCAATCTTTCCGCTTCGCCATGGAGCAGCGTTTGCAGTGCTTGAATTGTCAGCGGGTCCGGTATCGAACTGACGAACAAGACAACATCTCGATTCCTGTGCCAGTGCGGAGAAAGCAGGTCGTTAACAGCGAGAGCGGATCAACAGATGCGCCAAAAGGGTCCGAGTTCGAACCAGTGTCGCTGAAAGAGTGTCTGGACATCTTCACCGCGACGACTGCTGTGGAGTTGACCTGTCCTGCTTGTGGGTCCAAAGCTGGATTTACCAAATCCTCAAAGTTCAAAACCTTCCCCAAGAACCTAGCGATCAATCCTCTGCGCTTTGAGATCATCAACTGGGTACCAACAAAGCTTGATATCCCTGTGCAGGTGACGGATGAGGCGTTCGATCTGAGTCCTTACAAGTCTTCAGGTTTGCAACCGACTGAGGAGGAGCTGCCTGAAGATGCAGACGTTGGTGGCTCTACTTCGGCTACTGCGGCATTCGTCCCAAATGGGGAAGCTCTCAGCCAACTTGAATCTATGGGCTTCCCTAGGGTCCGATGCGAAAAGGCGCTCCATGCCACCGGCAACGCCGATGCAGAGGCAGCGATGAATTGGCTGTTTTCGCATATGGACGACCCAGATATTGATCAGCCTCTGGATCTCGGTGGCGGGGCGGGCGGTGGCTCGGCAGATGATGCTGACAAGATTGCGCAGCTTGGTGACATGGGTATCGGTGCACCGCAGGCACGGAAAGCACTGCGAGAGTGCAATGGTGATGTCAATCGAGCTCTAGACTGGGTGTTCAGCCACCCCGACGATCCAGGGGATTTTGGTGGAGACGCACCTACTGCTCCGAAGGAGTCAAAGACACTTCCCGGCAGCGAACACCTCCCTGCCAAGTTCGAACTCCAGAGCATTGTGTGCCACAAAGGCTCAAGCATCCATGCCGGGCACTATGTAGCGTTCATTCGAAGAGCCATTCCTGGAACTGACAAAGACAAGCACTGGGTGCTGTTCAATGACGAGAAGGTCGTCAAGGCGGTGGACGTGGATGAGATGAAGAAGTTTGCATACATTTACTTCTTCCGCATGGTGGAAGGATGATGCACAGCAATGAGAACACCAGAAATGACAAGAAAACATTGGCTTACGACGTGACAGAACATGAACCGTGCATGAGAAGCAACCGGGGCATTCTGACGAACATGAAAGACCGCAGCAACGGAAAAAGCTACCAGCATAGCATGGGGTTGGCATAGAATAGGCTCGGCTAGAAAGAGGCTGATGGAGACATTCTCAGCCTCGTCGGAATTGAAATCCTTTCATCATGACGTCAATCCCGAGGTTGACAACTCCAACGTGCTCCAACAAGGCTGCGTCCCGCCGCCCACCAAAAATTGCGTGGGGTTTCTGCATCTCCCGCTGCTCACAACCTGAAGAAATTGGTGGTCCTGCCTTGTGACCATTCTTTCCATGTCACACTGTTCGCTTCAAGTTTGTTGCACGCATGTCGCCGACCTCGAGTGTATTTCTCCTTGACTCATCTTTAGCAGTCCTCGCCTGCTATATTCGTTCTCGTATTCCTCGATCCTCCGACTAACCATACCACTTTCACCGCCATGTTCTTCCTCCTGCGCTGGATCCTCTACTTCCTCTCCCTCTACGTCTTCACCATGCTCTCCTTCTTCGCCCTACACACCTACCTCCCCGGCGCGCCTCAGATTCTTGGGTTCTTGGCTCGAACCATGGCTGCGTACCTGAGCCTCATCGCTTGCGCCGCCTACGGTACCATCGCATCTGCAATCCTGAGGGTCTTTGGGTTGCACTTTACCTACGGCCAGTGGACTACCGCCAAGGCGTTCAAGAATCTGTGCACCTACACCCTGGGTGTACGGTTCGAGATTCTGGACAACGGAGAACAGATCTTGAATAGCACACGCCCAGCGGTGTTCATAGTAAACCACCAGACAGAACTCGACGTCCTCCTCCTCGGCTGGATCTGGCCTAAGAACTGCTCCGTCACTGCGAAAAAGAGCTTGCGAAACGTCCCCTTCTTGGGCTGGTTCATGACTCTCAGCGGCACCATCTTCATCGACCGTGTGGATCGATCAGCCGCCATGAAAGCCTTCGAAGGCGCAGCAAAAGCCATGAAGGAGAAGAGGCAGAGCGTGGTCATCTTCCCGGAGGGGACGAGGAGTTATTCTCTGGAGCCCATGTTATTGCCGTTTAAGAAAGGAGCGTTTCATCTAGCGGTGCAGGGAGGCGTGGATATCGTACCCGTTGTAGCCGAGAATTATAGTGCAGTGTTGAGCCCAAAGTTGAAGAGGTTTAACGCCGGCACCATACGAGTCAAAGGTAGGTTGCGCCCTCAGGACGATAAATGTTTCATCCGGGTTGCGGGGCTGGCTGACCGTCGAGACAGTGCTTGATCCGATTACCACGAAGGGTCTTACTTCTGCCGACGTCGATCAACTAACACGGGACACCCGCGAGAAGATGCTCAAGGCCCTCACTGCCATGAGTCAAGACCCCGGATCTCGGTCTATTCGCAATCAGAAAAAGGATTCTTGAGTTCCTGTTTCGAAGGGCAGAAGCAGGCCGTGATGGCTCAGCACGACTCCTTCATTTCCTGCGCCAAGCTTTGGCCTGAGCCAGACTAAGCAAAGGCATCCCCCGTGTGAGCATGAGTGCCCAAAGCAATACTGCCTAGCTTGACGTGCGACGGCAAATATCTTTGCGTTGATTGCCTCATGGAATGGTGACGGCATGGCGACACGAGAATTGGCAGCCACCTTTGTTATCGGGAGATAGGAGGTGCGCATCCGGTATTCGCAGGAAATCTTCTGCGCCAGTCACGAGCAGTGGCGAGAGCCCTTTCCATTGGTTTGAATATGTCAATGGAGACACGAAGGTTAGCGGATCACCACGGACACGAGGTTACGAATAATGATGACGACGCTACCAGCCATAGAAGGCTAGGAAGGCCCCAAAAGCAAGTTTGAGCACAGCTATGGCATACCGGGTGGAATAACGGGCAAGGAGATGAAAAGTCGGGGCATCACAAAGACCATGGCAGTGGTGGTAGTGGTGGCAGCGGTGGTGGTGGTCTTTTTCTCTGAATATCATACCATCCAGATCATACGGCTTCATGCACAGTCATACGGAGTACCGAGCTCAGGACGCGTTGAGACCAGTCCAGTGGAGCTCTAAGCACCTCGACGTGGCCTTGACTTCAAGGTAGATTTCTTGCACGACATGCATACAAAGATCTCGGGTCAAATACCTACAGTAGCAGTGAGTAGAGATCAATACCACAGAACAGCATTGCATAGAGAGAAAGTGCGGTAGAAGATCCTCTCTCTTTCCCTTCCTCTCTAGCCCCCATGCCCATCACCCCTTGGAGGGATGGGGTGATCAGTGATCACAGACTTATTGTAGTAGGCACAAGCAATTGCACATCGTGGTGTAGCTCAATATTGCGTGGACCGCATCTATCACAACGACTGCATCTATCACATTGATCGCATCTATCTTATTGATCGCATCTATCTTATTGATCGCATCTGTCTTATTGATCGCATCTATCATATCCACCACATCCCTGACTGTCGCATGTGCACAGTACTCAACCAGAGAGATGTCCCGATTGAGGACTGATCGAGAACGGTATGGTAGTACTGTACTGCTCTGTACGTTCTAGACCGGCGGGAACGACCAGGGATATAGTATCTGGCTCGCCACCTTCACCTTATTCCTCGGGCCCGGACCTCGACACGTGGGCTTCGACCTTCATCGTCCATTGTCGAACTCTTCAAATGGGCGAACCAAGAGCCCGGCCCGTCCGAGGTATTCTTTGACCTGCATGACTGTGTACTCGCCGCGGTGGAACTACGCCAAAGAAAACGTTGTCAGCTAGGGGGCGAACTAACTCCAAATCGAGCAATCGAGCAGGCAGGCAGGCAGGCAGGCAGGCAGGCAGGCAGGCAGGCAGGGAGATTTCCAAACCATTGTGTGAAAAAGTGTGAGAAAAACTCGGTTTGAATGAGTTCGAAGGATGAAAATGATTAAAAGACGACTTACCATTCCGGCTCCCAACGCCGCGTCGACCTCGGTCTTCCTGAACACCTCGTCGAAATGGGCTGGGATTCCCGCCCCGGAAGAGGCAATCACCGGGATGGTCACGGCGCTCTTGACCATGTCGATCAATTCAAGGTCATACCCACGATTCGAGCCGTCCCTGTCGATGGCGTTGAGCAATATCTCGCCCGCGCCCATTGCTTCAACGGCCTTGACGAGCTGCACGACGTCGAGGTCTCGGGTCTCGCGACCGCCTCGGATCGTGCATGCGTACCAGACGTGTTCCCTGCCTTGAGCGTCTGGTTCGGTCGTCTTGATCGTGTGGTGAGCTGTCTCGGACCCTGATGAGACGAACACCCTCTTCGGGTCGACGCTGACGACCACGGCCTGAGCACCATACGCGGCTGAGATGGTCTCTATACTCGTTTTGCCGGAGAGTTTGCCCCCCGCGGAATAGTATTCTTCCGCCGCAAGTACGGCGTCGCTCCCTATGCTGACTTTGTCTGCCCCCGAGGCAAAATATAATTTTGCCACGTCCAGTGCTGATACGGTCTTCCCCGTGGCTGGGTCGACCATGTCGCGGATGCCGCCTCCAATCGTGAGCGGCACAAAGACCGTCTCGGATGTTCGCCGAAGGATCTCGAGCATCGGTAGATCAGTGATGGGGCAGTCCCGGAACGATGTGATGTTGAGGAACGTGACTTCGTCGGCTCCCTGATTGTAATAGCGCTGTGCCATCTCGACCGGTTTTCCCAGGTTGCGGACCTGAGACCCTGCCGTCTTCTCCCGCACATCGTACTGGTCTCCCTTTGTGACAACGAGGTCTCCTTGGTCGTTTGTGCGGACGTCAAGGCAGGCGATTATCCGGCGGGTTAGACCGTTTGTGCCCGCGTCTTTGGTTGCAGTCCCGTTACTCGGTGTCGCAGTGCCAGGTATCGACGCGTGGACTGGATCTGACCACGTCTTTCCCTCGAGGAACGCCTTGATGACTCTCAGTCCCGCGGCGCCCGACTTTTCGGGATGGAACTGCGTGGCAAAAATGTTTCCCTTGCCAATCGCTCCCACGTACGACTCATCGCCGTACGTCGCGGTGGCGACGGTCCAGCCCTGTTCCTCCAGCTCACCGGCTACGTAAGGGGCGAAGTAGCTATGCACGTAATAGTACTTACTCCCTGGATTTAGGCCGTAGAAACTTCTCCCCTCGCCCTGATGGTCTTGATCGCGGTCGTGGTGGAGAGTAGATGCATCGTTCCACCCTATACAGGGGACAGACTTCCTCGATCCATCTTTGTTGCTTCCAGAGAAGCGGTTCAACGACGCCGGGATGAGGCTGAGGCCTGGGACAGAAGGTGCTTCCGCGGAACCTGAGAACAGCGCTTGCAGACCAACGCAGATACCGAAGAAAGGTTTCCCGGCGGTGATGTGCTTCTGGATGGCGGGAAGATAGCCAGCGGATGAGAGGGAGTTGAGACAATGCCCGAAGTGGCCAACGCCAGGAAGGATGATTTTCTGTAGACGGGACACTGTGGTTTAGAGCTGGAGATTCAGGTAGTTGAGGTTCGACGACATGGAAAGCCCTTTCTAACCTCGATCTTTGGCAAATGCCAGGTCCTCTGAAGCACAAAAGATAAAGAATAGGGAAACTTACTTCTGCTTTCACGACGTCCTCGGGACTTCTAATCCATTCCACTTCCCATCCACACTTCTCGATCGCATTGACTAGGGAACGGATATTGCCCGCGACATAGTCGAGCAAGTGTACAGTCGGCATTTTATTAAGGGTCACGATAGATGGAGACGCTGCCTCGACAGCTGAGGAGGAAAGTTCAAGGGGGGAGGAGAGAGACAGAGATATGACTCAGGGCTTCTTCCCCATCTGCCGTCGACGGGTAGTGGTGTAAGGGGACAGGGCTTTGGAACGGCTCGATCGAGGACGACAGCAAGCCAGTCTGACCATAGCTTGTCAGTCTCTGAAGTAGGATAGCGATACGGGAAGAGGACGGGGCGGGAGATAGTTGAGATGGTTGTCATGCTGGCTACAAATTTATTTCTTACCTGGTTTATTTCTCCTGCATTCGGAAGCAATCAAGAAAATCGAGCGACGTCATTGGTCGAACGTCTCACCACTCACAGTCGCCCGCTGCTTGCTAATACTGTGGGCTTCTAACTACTAATTAGCGCTTGTCACGTGGATGGGTCATGTAAGCAAAGCCGTGCACGGCCGTTCAGACTAGCACCAGCAGGCCTTTCCTGCCTGTCGCCTGGTACTCAGGTGTAAGTGCTATTGACAGCATTGGCTCTACAGCTTCGGTATGTGAAGACATAACAGCTTGCGGGTAATGCAAATAAGCGCTTCGGTCCTCGAACATTTTGCCCTGGCAATCGACTTGCTACGGGTCACGACACATTCACCACCACAAGACTCAGAACCAGGACGCCACCCTCACAACACCAGCCGCTGTCTCTGTTGTACATTTGCTTCGTTGCCTGTTCATGATCCACACGTCGTTCATTCCTAAAGGGATACATATCACCCCATACTATTGCGTCGTGGCCCTGATAGCCTGTAACAGAAGCGCGAATATCAACCCTCGAGCAACACTTTCCACCTGTAGACAGTCAAATACCTTGCCCAGAGCTTCTCCGCTGGCCGCCGCGCCCATGACGCTTGTCAACGCCTGCGGCATGCCTCGTTCAACAAGGAGTCTCCTGGCCTTTATCCGCAGCGCTTCTTTCTCTTCTGACGTCAGTTCCTTGGGCCAAGTCGCTTTTTCTTCCGCCGTAGGCAGAGTATTGTATCGGAGTGTGTTAATGTGAGTTGCCAGTCCCTTGTCAGAAAAGTTGGCGTCCACGACACTTTCTTGTATCAGCGTGCGGATGGATTCGAGCTGGGGATTGTTGGGGCGTAGAAGGAACGCCTTGGCTGCACCTAGTAGAGACAACCTGATCGACCAGGCACCGCCCATCGAGTACAGCTCAGTCAGAATGGCGAAAATGAGTTCAACCAGGATGCGCGTTTCTTCTTCGGAGATGGGGATATCCTTCTTGGCTTTTCGGGACGGAGCCTTCTTTGCAGGGGTGTCCGTGGCAAGGGCCGACACTAGCTCTTCCGGCTTCATGGATGGTGCAGGTGTCGTTGGAGTGATCGTGTCCTGCCGAGGTCGCGGCGGTGTTGCAGGCTTTGATATAGATAAGGGCTGGTAGTCGTCCGGAATCATACTCGGCAGTGGAGGCATCGAAATGCTTTCTTCCGATTGTCGTGCTGAATCATGCTGGCTGATTGGCGATTGGGCGTATTCTTGGTTTGGAGTTCCAACAGTTGGTCTTGCTGGCAATGGTGGCAGTCTGGACTCTATGCTATCAGAGCTTTGTCTGGGTAGCTCTTGACTGAACCTTGAAGCAGAGATCGACGGTTGCCCAGAAGGAGTTCTCGACGGGCTAGGTCTCGTAGAGATCAATCTCTTCGGCGCACCCTGCACCCCAGTAGCCACTGCCCCAAAGACACCCTGCACACCTCCCAGTACAGCCTTGCCGCCACCAGCGATGTTCTTTCCGCCTTGACCCAGCACATTGATGAAGTTCTTACCCACGTTTTCCAGCGCGGCGCCCCCTTGCACGAGGACGTTCTTGCTCTGCGCAGGCGCTTTTTGTAGACCGGTCTCCTTGTCCAAGAACTTCTTCATGGCCTCTGTCTCAGCTAGTGGCTCGTACCTGACTATAAACTTCAGGTACGCCTCCAAGCTTTGGGTAAGCGCGGAACCTGTCTGACCTCTCCAGGTGGGCAAATTCGGGTACTTCTGGCCAAACTCGGGTACTCCGGAGATGCGAGCTATCGTTGTCAGGGTCTGGTGGAGCGGTTCAAAGTCGGGGTATCTGCGTGATACCATCCAGCCGGGGTAGCGCTGCGAGGCTGGTTCGATTTGCAGCAGATATTCGTTGTTGGGTCTCTGGCGGAAAGTTGCTTTTTCGTTCAAGTCGCCGAGGTCTAAGATGGTGATCGATGCGTTGTGTAGTGTCAATGGAACCGCCATCATGACTTCGACCGGGGCGGGAGCTGTGGACACAGGCGAGGGCGGCACGACATTAGGCACCGTCTCGGTTAACTGGTCAAAGTTTGTAAAGGGAGCCTGCTCCTTGCTGGGGCTGGAGGTTGTCGACGAATAGGCATTACCGTCATTGTCGAAGACCAAGGATGTGTCGAGTGACGATTCTGCTTGGCGGTTCCGATCACTATCAGAGGAGGTGGGTGTGGCCAGCCCGACGTCGTTCGTCGCCACCGAACTCGTCTCTTCCGGTTCGCTCGCGGACACACCGCGCTTCCGCCTGGCTTCGTCTTCGGCAATCATCTCGTTAAGGCGCTGGGCCTCACGCATCGCCTCTTGCATGGCTTCTTCCGCCCTGCTCACCCGCCTATTGTGTGATTTTCCGGGATCCAGATTCTCCTTTGCGTGAGACATAGCCTCGCTCATGTCTTCCACCCCAGCATCTATAGCGTTCATGATCTCTGGCTCGCCCTGTTCCAACAAGAACACAATCCAGCCATTTATCCACTCTGGCTTCGAACACATTTCGACGGTGGTCTCCAGCACAAGGCCTGCCAACACCTCCCGGAGGAAAGCCTTTACAGGAGGACAGTTGTATGCTTTGGGATCGAGGAAGTTTTGCAAGATGTCATCAGCCACCAGGGTGAACTTTCGGTCCTGTTGATCCCTGCTCAGAACTTTGGCTAGACTGCTTTCTGGTTGCAATTGGAGGTATGTCTTGATGGCTGTGTCGGCATCCTGATATGCTGATGCCTTGATGGCGGTAGATAGCTCGTTCAAGAATACGATAATGATTGAGGTCGAATTGGCAAAGAAGTCGAGGACAGGGTCAGCAGCCCGTTTGCGCGACAGGTGATTCGAGAAGGAGAGAACGAAGCTGGTGAAGGTATTTCTGGCAGCTGCTGGGAAGGACTGGTCTTTCGGAAGCAGAGGACTATACCACCACCTGACATAGTCTCGCATGACAGCATCAGTGAAGTTGGTGAGCGACGCTCTGGTCTCAGGCTCGAAGTCGGAATAGTCGAGGACCTTGGATTCGTTGGAATCAGACTCGTCATCTCCAGGTGCCCTCCTCTCCCGCCAGTCGAGCACTCTCCGTGCGACTTCCACGCCCAACTCTTTCCTGCGCCGGTCCAGCTCGGCTTTCTCTTCCTCTGATCGGCCCCCAGAGTGACTCTCCCAGGTAGCGTGCAGAACAACGCCGCCAACGGCGCCGATCAGGACTAAGCCTACGCGGCCAAGCACGAGGTAAGTCGAAGCGCATAGACCGACGGCACAGGCCCCGAGAGTCTCATTGCTCGCGTTTGCTAGGAATTTGAGGGTAGCGTCAATGACAGCAGAAGTTGTCAGCGGCTGGGTAGACTGTGTAGACGGCGGCGCGGAATGGTTGGGGACGACGGGGAAGGATTCGGAGCGGCCATCGTCTCCTTCCGTGACTTCAACGAAGTCAGGTCTTTCCTCCATAGTTGCACTGGGTCATGGCGCACCCTGCGTGCACAGAGGATGAAGGGCGTTGCGAATTGTCGAGGACAGACAAGACACTTTCGATCCGCATAAGCCCGGCTTTCTCGGGGCGTCGCAGGTGAAGTTCAGGGCTGAAAGAACACATGCCCGAAACGTCCGTTTAGGGGCCACGCGCTAAAGTTAGGGGCGCCGCATGGCCCAATACAGCTTCGTGGTCTCCGCATGGACACACGCCACCTCGACACATCCCTGTCGCTTGTCAAGAAAAAGTTCTGCCCGCATTTGGCCATTTTTGATTCGAGGACTGGCACATCCAGAACGCAGGTTGGTAGAATTTACTGTTGAACAGCCTTGACAGCACAATGGCCACCAAAGTCGCCGAACAAGTTTGCGCAAGCTGCCAGGAGCCGCTCCTCATCGAGATCGAGCCAGACAGCGACGGCGAGGAAACAAAGGCACCTGCGCAGACTGAGAGTGTCCCAGATGATGTCGAGTTGACCTGTGGCTGTCATTATCATTGGTACAGTCCGCCTCATTGCTACTATGATCTATATTATTAACAGTTGGCACAGGGAATGCTTTCTAGAGTCGTACACCATTACACAATGCCCGAATTGCGACAAAGACATTTCCTCTCTGTCTCCGAGTGGATCACAACAGGTCCTGGTCACCCTCCGGAACGAAGGCGGAATCCAAGAAAAATATGACATCCTCCCGGCTGCCACCGAGGAAGCGTATCTGCGTGCCTATCCTGAGGAGCGCAAGGGACATGCATACCTGGAGTTCTGTCGGGAGGGTGACATTGATGCCATAATTCACATGATCAAGGACTCCCAGGATGACGACGGCGAGGAATATGAAGAGACGGGTGACATTCTGAGATATCGTGGTACCTTCGAAGGCATCGAGGGTTCAGGGCTGCACGTCGCCATTCGATACAATCAACAGGAGGTAGCCTGGTTACTCCTGGCGCTCGGCTCGCAGTTGGAATGGGAGAAGTTCCCTTCTATAGTTCTCCAAGCAATGCAGGGTCTTGGCCTGCAGAAAGAGGACAGGAACGGAGAGCCAGATATTAGGACCTTGGTGGACAGTGAAGGGCGCAAGCCGGCAGACCTGGCACAGGAGCTTAAAGGTGTGTGGGAAGAATGGCTTTTGGAGGGCCGATTGATTCCATGATGGACGAACCAGATCTGTCTCTGTACCACACCATAATTCTCATACCGATCTGAATGTATGATTGATCGTCTGAGATCTAAAGCGTAGGTGTGACGTACTTGCTCTTCGACATCCGAGTGAATCATAGCAGAATGGAGGAGTGTTGCTGCCTGATGCAAAGAAGATGCCGGGGAATAAGATCACGAGCTCTTGCTCGGTGGCTGATCACGAAGGATGTACTTGGTATGAGTGCCATGGGCTACCACGCTCTGGTTCTCCCCCTCCCCCTTGAGGATGGTGACCGTGGTGAAGCCCAGATTCTTCCCTACTCGACTGACCTTGCCCTCGATGGTCAAGATATCGCCCAACTTGGCAGACGAGACGTATGATACGTGAATGTCTGTGCTGACTCCTGTCTTTTCCATGCCAGTGCTCGCAATAGCCATGCCTCCCGCCCAATCGACAATGGTGGCAGACACCGACCCATGCAGGCCGCCTTTGGAATTAAGAAGGTTCGCAGAGACAGGGAGACGGGCAATCATCGAGCCATTCTCAGCAGAAACGATGTTGATGTCCGAGAAGAAGAAGTTGTAGACTGGAGAATTTTCCTGGACCCGAGCCCAGCATGCTTGGACATAGTCAAACGGCGTCTTGACAGAGCCCATCGTGAGCATCAGTGATAAAGCAGGAATGGGTTCGAGTAATGAGCGAGGGACAAGCAAACAACGACGATATATGCCGGCAGTCAACGAAATTCAAGCTGGATTCAAGCTGAATTCAAGCTGAATCCAAGCTGATTTCGACACGAAGAGTAGCGTGGAAAGTTGCCGCACACCGCTCTGGCAGAAAAAGTTCCCAGACTTGTCTCCACAATTTTCGTGGTCGCAATCGTAGCGTTCCTCGAAATTTTGGATCTTGGGTTTGCCATCTTCGACAGTAAACTATAGAGCAGCAGAATGGCAGACTCGAAGAAACGAAAAGCCGTCACACGAGACGTCGAGGAAGACGCTGCCGTCGTCTCAGGTGACGAATTCGACTTTGCACATCTAGACGGTACCCTTGCAGACGACGACGATTCTGCTAGTGGCTCCGAAGAAGAAGATGCGAGTACCGGCGCAGAAGATGACAGTGACGTCGTATCCATCGGAAGTGAGGAGGTACCTTCAGATGACGACGGGGAGCTGCTAAAACCAAAGAGAAAGGGAGAAGCGCAAGAGGAAGAGGTCGAAGTCGGGAATGCGGACGTCACAAGCGAACGGAACGAAGAGCCCAACTACAGGATCGTCAAGGACGCCAATGGAAACGACAGATACATTTATCCTGAGATAGACCCGGGCGATGATTCAGACTACTCGGTCCCAGAGAATGAAGCCAATACTATCGGCAACATCCCCCTCTCATTCTACGACTCATATCCTCACATCGGCTACAACATCAATGGCAAGAAAATCATGCGGCCTGCAAAAGGAGAAGCTTTGGATGCACTACTTGACACCATCGAAGTCCCCAAGGGATGGACCGGCCTCACAGACCCCGCTACGGGCAAGCCTCTCGAACTCAGTCAAGAAGAATTGGAGCTGTTGAAGAAGGTGCAGATGAATGAGGTCGCCGCCGAGGGCTACGATCCCTATGAGCCCACTGTAGAGTGGTTCACCAGCAAGACGGAAATCATGCCATTGAGTTCCGCGCCAGAGCCCAAGAGACGCTTCGTGCCTTCCAAGCACGAGCAGAAACGAGTCATGAAAATCGTCCGAGCCATTCGAGAAGGTCGCATTTTGCCTTACAAGCCCCCGACGGAAGAAGAGGAGCAAGACGAATGGATGCAGAACTACGACATATGGGCTGACGAACAACCCAGATCTGATCATGCTATGCACATGCCCGCTCCCAAGCTTCCACCCCCTGGTTTTGACGAGTCTTACCACCCGCCGCCAGAGTACCTGCCAGACAAGAAAGAAAAAGAGGCGTGGGAGAAAATGGACGAGGAAGACCGAGAGAAAGATTACCTGCCCACAGACCACGCTGCACTACGTAAAGTGCCAGGCTACGATCGATTCGTTAAGGAGAAGTTCGAGCGGTGTCTCGACCTCTACCTTGCCCCTCGAGTCCGACGGACGAAGCTCAACATCGATCCAGAATCGCTGCTGCCGAAGCTGCCCAATCCCGACGAGCTCCGACCATTCCCTACGCATGAAGCCGGACGTTTTCATGGCCACAAAGGTCGTGTGCGGTCCCTGGCCATTGATCCATCCGGACTATTTCTGGCTACTGGTGGTGATGATGGGCATGCAAAGGTTTGGACGCTGCAGCCTCCTCGAGAGATCTGGTCTGCTCAGTTGGCATCGGATGCTGCGGTCAATGTGGTCCGATGGCGTCCTGGCTCCGATGCTCCCATTCTAGCAGCTTGTGCCGAAGACGACATATACCTTTGCGTTCCTCGGCTCAGCGCGGACGGAGGACCTGAAGCGGAAGCAGCTCAGGCTGTCCTCGATGCTGGTTGGGGGTATGCCGCTTCAGAGAATTCCACTCCGAAACCCTCTTCCGTCAGGTGGACTCGGCCATCCTCTTCTCAAAGAGATCAAGGTGTTGCCGTGGTCATCCACCTTGGCCATACCGCAAAGACGTTGTCTTTCCACTCTGGTGGGAATCACTTTGTTACAATTTGTCCGGCTACCACAGTTCCGGCATCCCAAGCCATTGCTATCCACACGATCACCAAGCATCAAACGCAACTACCCTTCCGCAAGCGGCTGAAGGGTGGCGGCACTCCTCAAGTTGCACACTTTCACCCGACCAAGCCGATCCTGTTTGTGGCAAACCAACGAGTGATCCGAACATACGATCTAACCAGACAGTCCTTGCTGAAAATCGTCCAACCTGGTGCACGCTGGATCAGCAGCTTCGACATCCACCCGACAAGTTCTTCCACCGCTGGCTCAGATAACCTTATAGTCGGCTCGTACGACCGCCGCTTGCTGTGGATGGATCTTGATCTCTCCCCTCGCCCGTACAAGACTCTCCGCTTCCACGAGAAAGCGATTCGGTCAGTTCGCTTCCACCCGGCCACAAACCGATATCCTTTGTTCGCAGATGGTAGCGATGATGGCAGTATCCAGATCTTTCACGGTCAGGTTACGAGCGATATGATGAGTAATGCACAGATTGTACCACTCAAAGTACTGCGAGGACATAAGATCACGGGAGGGTTAGGAGTAATGGATCTGGATTGGCATCCTCAGCATCCTTGGCTAGTAAGTGCTGGGGGCGATGGGACATGTAGACTGTGGGTTGCTTGAGGTAGTGCAGGCGGGAAGATCAGTAGATAAAAAGAGAGATTCGTAGCAATTGCTTATTGATTGCCTCGTTGCCTCTACTGCCTGACCGTGGAATTATAGAGTCAGGGTCCAGAGAATGACACTCACGTGATAGGGCGTGTGCCGGAGTTATGGCGACGCGTCTGGCCACCGCGTCGTCGGTGGTTGTTGCATTCACCTCCACCTCAGCCAGTGTGACTATCCGCATAGAACGCAGAAATCCCTGTGGAGTATATCGTGCAGTGGCCCTTTCCATGCTACGATCATGCCAGCGTAGGTATTGAATTGGTTGTCAAAGTGCATTTCGGCTGACTTTCAACAGGGTTGGTGACCAGCATAAGCCGAATGGCAGCACGACGAGCAACCCGTTCGAAGATCAACCTCTCCGGATAACAGAATATACTGCGCAAGAAATAGCCACGTTACAGAGTCGATTGGACAAGCAACTCGGGCCAGAATATATCTCCTCAAGAGCAGGACCGGGTGGCTCAAAAGTGCATTATCTTGCGGCGGAGAAGGCCATCAGCCTTGCCAACGAAGTCTTTGGCTTCAATGGCTGGAGTAGCTCCATTCAAAACATTCAAATCGACTTTGTCGACGAGAACCCGCAGACCGGAAAGATTTCCCTCGGGCTGTCAGTTATTGTGCGAGTGACACTGAAAGATGGCACACACCACGAAGACATTGGCTACGGCCAGATTGAGAACTGCAAGGGCAAAGCTGCGGCATTCGAGAAAGCAAAGAAGGAGGGTACTACAGATGCACTGAAAAGAGCACTCAGGAACTTTGGCAACGTCTTGGGGAACTGCGTTTACGACAAGGCCTACTTGCAGAAAGTCACCAAACTGAAGGTTGGGGCTACCAAATGGGACGAAAGCATGCTGCACCGACACGCAGACTTTGCACCCAAGAAAGAACCAGACGAAGTCAAGCGAATCTTGCCAGCCGCCGCATTAGAAGGCGCCTCAGAGCCGGCGAGGCCGAATCCAACTGTCCTCGCACAAGAAGAAACCACGGAATTCGAGGACAGTTTCGAGCTTGCAGATTTTGAGGAGATGGACTTCTGTGAAGACAACACAGGTCATCCAGATGAGGTCGCTTTGCCCGCAGCAAAAGTGGATCCAACACGCAAGTCAGCTAATTCCGCTCCAGAACGATCGTTCCCGCCACCGAGAGCTGATCTGACCACACCGTCCAAGCAACAGTTAACAGGCCCGCCTGGCCCTCGGCCTGAGGCCTCAAGGGCTCCCCAGATCTCTGCTCCGTCCAACGTCATACCCCATCCGCTGCCCGGCCAGCGAGCACAAGCTCCGTCTGGACCTGCCACGAGGCCTCCGGCGGAGAATGTGCCTCGGCTGTCTTCGCCTCTGCAAACTGGTCAAGTCATGGGCTTCTATTCAGCCAAGGCCGCTGACAGTCTGGATGGGAACAACAGTGTGATTGGAGGCGGACCAGCCGCTGCGCCCAGATTCAACCCTCACGCCGACAGTCCGTCGATTCGCAAAACATCTGGAGTCAATCACAGCAAGTCCGTTCCTCTGAAGCGAGATTTATCCGTAGACACCACGCCCATAAGACGGGACCTTGTCAATCCTCAAGCAGAGCAGCTTAGGCGAGTAGGCGCTCCGGGGGCCAGTGGACAATTCCCTGGTACCCGAGGGCCAAGCACTTCGGCCTATCGACCTCCTACGAGACGAGGGCCGCTGGAGTTGAATGCAACCCATGGTTCGAATCTGGCCGAGGTTGGCGCAGGAGACCGTGGGTTGCAAGCTGCCAAAAGAACGCCGCTAGGAGATGTAAGCAACGTCCAGCATCATGTCACGGCGGTCACAACAGATGGGGCCGACGCAAAGAGACAGCGCGTGGCAGAAGCGCTGCCACATGGTGAAGCTGAGACGACGAATAATCAACCGAGCAGCAATGACGGATGAAGACGATCGAGAGCCACCACGTTGGCACGGCACAACGCTAAGGCAGGTGGATCCATGGAGCAAGACACAGACGGGGGTTCGCGGGATCTGAGTGTGGTGAATCTGGAGCAGGCATTCGCTCTGAGAACAGCAGTGGGTGTCTGCATCGCTGTACTTATTTGAGCAGTTAACAGCCATTGCCCTAAATACCGCCGGCTGAATGATGAGGATTATGACAAAGGGGAATTACGGCAGGGGAATAGGTGGCTCGCAAGCGCCTGTAGTGTTTCGTCTTCACGGGTTGTCCCTCGTACTCGTACTGCTTGCTGTAGAGGGTCCACTCGGCCGGGTGGAGGGCCTCGCATGATACGAGGATTGCGCCGATTCAGCGGGCCAAGATGCGTGACGAGCTCGGCGTCGACTGACTGATGGGCCTCTTCCGGTAACAAGCTCAACTCTGCTGCCGTCAAGCTCCTCGATCGAACGACGAGCCTCCTGCTCCACAGCCTTATCGTACGAATCGCGGCATTCAATCGCTCGGTAAACCTGGATCGGGATCCTCAATAGCCTCAGGATGGAGCCCGAAGGATTGTGCTACTATGGACACATTCGAGCTGGTCGTCACCCGGAGCCTCCCACATGTGCAGGTGACCACGAAGCACCAAAGGCTCTCGCGCGTTCGCCATGATTCCCATGGCTAGGAAGAGACGAGACTCACAGCCGAAGGTCTTGCTCAACACTCTTTGGACATTCGACGCTCCATGCCACTGCTCGGATTGGCAAAACTCCCGGAATCGGGGCATCGGCGGCGCGACGAGCTACACCAAATCCTGCGCGCCGGTTAGCTTGCCGGTGCACGAGATCCAAACAAAGGCGATCTGCACAATGGGGACTCATAGCGGAATAGGCCATGGGCCGTGCAGCAACTCCCCTTGCTCAATGTGGCAGGTACCTGCTATATCTCTCGTCTATGCTACCTATTAATCTAACCCAATCACCGACTGTGTTTTCACATCGGACATGGACGACTACAGTATCTTGAGTGTTCAAACAGCCGCAACAGGCCACCGCACCGGCAACGTGGGATGGTCGGTTGTAGAGGCTGCCATTGCCGATAGACAGCTGGTGGTTGCCATGTACAAAAGTCGGTGATAGCCAGCCGCAAGGATGAGGGCGAGTTCTTCAGCTCCTCGGGACATCCCTTCATTTCTGGACTCATAATGGCTGGGCGGGTGCTTTCTACGGCATTGCTGTTGCCTTGCGTGCTTGCTGCCAGCGCTTCTCTTCCGGTGCATCTGCACTTGAAGCGAGCCGTTGACTCCGGACTGGCCAACATCCATGTCTCCTTCGACAAGCCTATTTCTTCCGAGGTGACCTACACCTATGGACCATGTGACGCTCAGACGCCAGGACAAGCCCATCATCTGGTGGCTCGTTCCAAGTCGTGCGACCATGATCGCTTGCTGTGGAAGGTGCCCGAGTATGCTCCCACAGGGCACTGCCTGTCGGCATGGGACGGTCAAACCTTGGTCGGCAGAAGCACTCCAGTCTCCATCTCCGCAAGCGCAAAAACCACTCGGAGACGGCTGAAGAAGCGTCAAGAAGACTTTAGCATTGCCATGGACAACTCCAGTGGCATCGATGCCGAAGGTCCCTGGTTTGACGGGGTGGCTCTCCTGCAGAACTCGGAGATCAGTGCTGTCAATGTCCGGGAAGCAAAATCGAAGGAGGTTGCTATCGTGGGCGCCGGTATGTCCGGCCTGATGACCTGGCTGGCGCTGAACCAGTCTGGCATGACCAACTTGTCTCTGATCGAAGCCGCTCAGCGTCTCGGCGGCCGAGTCCATACCGCATATTTTGGTGAACCAAGCGACCGACAGTATCAGGAGATGGGCCCCATGCGATTCCCCTTGTCGTACACCTCATCCGAGACCAACGAGACGGTGCAAATCCAGGACCACCGCATCGTCTTCCAACTAGCCGATGAAGTCAACAAACTCAACAAGAACAATACCAACTTCACAGTCAACTTCATCAAGTGGTACCAGCGCTCGCCCAACGGCCTGTACTACGTAAATGGAGCACGCAAACCTGACGGCCAAGTGCCTACCTTGTCGGAAGTTAGTGCGAACGCGTCCCTACTGCGACCGCAGTCCAGCGGGGAGGATGATCCAGTGCTAGAGGAGGTGAATACTGACATCAATGCGGTTTTCAACAATGCCACCTTTCTCGAGCAGATGGCCCGGAACATCTACCGGGCACATAAAACCTTCCTCGATCAGGGTTTGAATGGCCTCGGGGGAGACGACTTTTCCGAATTTGCTTACGTTCATAATGTGCTCGGGTACGCTCTGAACGACACCTTTGTCGGCATTGGAGACAGTGGCACCGAGGGTTTCTGGGACAATCTGTACGAGTCGATGTACTTCTCAGCAACGGACTGGCGGACCATCGACGGCGGATTGACCCGATTGCCCAGCGCTTTCCACCCACTGGTGGACGGCATCACTCACATGGACCGCAAGATTCAACGCGTGCAGTACAACGAGACCACGAAGCGGGTCACGCTGCAGTGGAAGACCAAGCCTCTCGACCGGACCTTCCAGAACGCGAGTTACGATCTCGCCGTAGTCACTGTGCCGATGCCTCTGGTTCGGACGTGGCGCCTACCCACATTCTCAGACCTGCTCAGCACAGCCATCGACAGCTACACGTACACGCAGGTCTGCAAGGTCGCCTTGCAGTTCAAGACTCGCTTCTGGGAGCACCTGGACAACCCAATCTACGGGTCCTGCTCGACGACAACCGACATTCCCGGCATCGGCAGCATCTGCTATCCCAGCTATGACATCAACTCGACAGGCCCGGGCGTCATGCTGGCCAGCTACACCAGTGGGGACGATGGCCTTCGGTGGCCCTCGATCCCCGAGGAGGTCCACGTGCAGTACGTGGTGGACGCGATGGCCGAGATCCACGGCCAAGTCGTGTATGATCAATATAGTGCGTCTTCCTTTTCTTTCCTGTTGCTGCTGTTCTCTGCATCTCTCGTCGCCGTTGTTTCTGTTCTCTTCATTTATTGTCTCATCACCCTCTATCAGATCAGACGATGAAAGGATGCTGCGAGCTCCCTGGCCCTTCCCCTGCTCAACCTTATGCCTGTTCACCCATCTCTGCACTCGGTACAAGTTAATCGACCGCTAACGGGATTCTAGCCGGCAACTACAACCGCCGCTGCTGGGTCCTCGACCAGTACGAAACCATCTCGTGGGCGACGCCAGACGTGGGCATGCGCAAAGCATTCATCCCCGCGTTCTTCAAGACAGAAAAGGGCATCGTCATGGGCGGCGAGGGCACTTCGTACACGAGCTCCTGGATCTCCAGTGCATTGGAGAGTGGTGTCCGCGCCGCGACGCAGGTCTTGCTTGAGCTGGGCCTCGTGGACGAGGCCAAGGCGGTGGTGGAGAAGTGGATGGGCCGGTGGATTGACGTGTGAGGGCTCTACAGTTGTCTTGCAGAGGCTGTGGACGTTCACACCGGGCCGAAGACACGTAGTGCAGTTAGTGTAGGGCAATGCGACTGCCATGGTGAATCCGAACGACCGAGAGTCCTCAGCGTGACTTTTGTGCTGCGCTGTGCTGTCCCGGGCCCAATTTCTATTCCTCGGGGTGCACACATGGTATCCGCTAAGTGAGGAAGTAATTGACGGAGCAGGAAGGGAGAAACCGTGCGTGGTCAGTCGTCAGCCAAAAAAGGGTGATCCAGCTGAACCCACAACGCTGATGGTCCCGATCCGATTTGGCATTAGGCATTACGCCACTCGGCTGCTTACTGTCTATGTTCCTTTTGGCACATCGTACTCCGTATTTACTGAGGAACGTAGATCTGGTGGATCCTCCCTTGCGACATTGGGTAAGGCGATCTGTACGAGTACGAGGTACCGATTCCTGATTTATGACTCCTAAGTCGTGAATTCCTGCCTGGCTCCTGACTCCTAACTCGTGACTCCTGTCTAACTCCTGACTCCTGTACGATCCACTCAATCCGTCGGACAACAAGCGGACTATTCGTATGCCCTCATTCTTTCCCCATATCGTGTTCGGATGTCCCAATCGTCCCTGCCGAGTAACCGTTTCGTCTACTCCGTAGTATCGGCGTTGTTCGGCACGGGTGCTTGTGTGCATGCCTGTATACTGTCTACTCCGTTCCAGGCACAGAGAGAGCGTTCCGCTGTCGTGTCATGGGTGGAGTTCGACGATATAGGATTGGTAGTGTCGGGTTCTGACCAGTGTCGAGGAATTTGAGGCGGTGGCATCTCACGACTCGCGTCGGTTGATATAATAAGGTGTTCAAGTGTCGGTATGTAAGGCTGGACGTCCTAACCGACCTTGGTACTGGTAGGTGATGAATCCAGCTGACGTCAATGGCTCGAATGACACTCGTTCGGGGAGGATGTGGATCAAGCTTCTGGCGACAAACTCAAACTCACGATCGCAGACAACCATGGTGCGGTCCGGAACTTGATTGTGATCAACCTGAAAGTTGTAGCAGACCTTGACTTCAGCATCAGAACTTCACCAAATTCTTAGCGGGATTCTATCTTAGCGCCGATGTGCCTCTTTGGCTCAGCCACTCAGGAGTGTCAGGCTAACTTAGCGCTGCTTAGCTAGCCTAGTTGCGCTCTGCAGAATCAGTTAAAATAGCGTCGTTTTACTGGTGACCTCGGCAGCGTATAGACACTCAAGCGCCTTACTACCACATAAGGTACAAATTGACATCGTCGTTCTTACCTATGCACAATACAGTAACTATGGAACCAGTGTAATCATGTGTGGGCGCTGACGCTCCCTTGAGAGTATAGCGGGTAATGTTGGCTGTTTGCAGAATGCCCCGTTTACTCACGCAGAACAACCGGCCGCTCGAGGTTCGGTTGGTCTGGTCACAACAGAACCATGCAGTCAGCCAGCTGCTTTCGATGGCAATCATCTCACAGCACGCCATTAACCTGGACTTCTTCGCGTGAAAAGGCGCCTCGTAATGAGGACTTCAGCTTGCATCTGGGTTCGTCGCTCAGATAATACCGCGCGTATCAAGTGATCCTACACGTCTGGACATGAAAAGTACAAGGTATTGAGCCCGACGAGAAAGGTACCAGTCCTGTAAGATTCGACTGCAGAACATACGGGCGAAACACACTGCAACTAACGTCTGCCTGCCACTAGTCGACTCCTTATCTGCTTTTCTCATACCATGGAGCGCTTCGAAAGGGAGGAGATGTCGGCCACGGGGAACTCTTAGGACACGTCCAGAGACTAGATTCATAAGACGCCATTTCCTGCTAGTATCCTCGGGGACATTGGATTGACTGTCTCTGACCCTCCACCGCCGGTTGGCAACTGTTGCGACGTGATCCAACGTCTTCGACTATACCACTTACGCCCTTCAATAGATCGGAAAAACGTCCAAAGGTACTTTGTCTAGAGGTGGTGGCAACCATCTGGTTCTCGTCCGCGGCCGTGGGTTAGTCGTCTTCTCACCAAATGTACACTCCCGTGCAAGACTTTCGAATTGACCGCAAGGGACGAGTGAACATGGCTCTGGTGGTGTCTGAGGTCTACCGCAGTACCAAAAGCCCATCCTGTTAGCGCCTCCTTGGATCTTGTCGTTGCTGTGCACAGCTTTAATGGTCATGTCGTCGAGTCCTGAACCTCCGACACCGATCCAGCAAATGATCATAGTGTTTACTTATCCTTGAAATTAAATGAATGTGAACAGTGACGCGCCAGTGGAGGTCCGAACACACTGAAGAATGGCCCGCGAAGATTGGATTTGCGTTGGAGTGAGACGGTTTGACCGGTGTCACATTTGACGAGTGCCAGTGGCTTTGAGAGAGCGCACTAGCAGACGTTCCAAGGGCGAGGGCAATTGAGCATGCGACGTGGCCAATGAAGATCGCTCCTCTCTTGCTTCAAGTAGTTGATTTTGTGCCTCTGAGTCAGCGGAGATTCCAGAGTCGCGTCAATGTGAGAGAAATTAGATAGTTGGGGGTAACATGAAGGTGTTTAATGCAAAGGTCGTACGAAGGAAATGTGAAAGTGAAGTGAAAAGTGAGGTGAAAGTGAATCGCCTCGCACGCGCGACACCGCGACTGCGGGGAACCTCACCGTTCTGTACTCCATACTCCGTACAGTACTCTGTAGTTCTTCGATGGAAAAGCATCCGCGGCTTGCGACACTCCCACACTCAAATAGTCTCCCTTCCCTCAGGACCGTCTATCGCACTCAATTGCTCCTTCTCGCCCTCTTGTCGCCGTCGCAGTCATGTCACTTCCTCCAGAGCGCATCAGTGTCAAGCGCAGACGGCAAGAAGAACCGGTCGAGACTCTCTGTACCACTCCCTCTCGGCTCTCCAGTGGAACAGACTGCTAACTCATCACTCCCAGACCTCGAGCGTGGCGATGGCACGGAGAAGAAGCGGAGGGTGACAGATTACTATTTCCAGCGCGTTCGAAATGATACAATTGCACCTATTTCCCAGCGGGATACGACGACGTCGCAAACCGTGTGGTCAAAGCCTCCGGCTCCCGGTGTTCCTCCAATCCGTTTGACAACACTTGAGGGCCAGAAGGAGGATGCTTCAACGCCCAAGGCGGCTGTCAAAGCAAAAGCTAATTCCGGAGACGAAGAAAACCACAAGATACCGGGTACACCCAGTGCGCCTGCGAGTAGCAAGTCGGCCCCGACCACGCCCGCCGGTAGCCAGCCGGCACATCAGGCACGTCGTTTCCACCTCGCCCGTCATCTATCATCAGTCCTGAGCCCGCACACCTCGGGCGGCATTCGGAAATCCAAACACTTTATCCGACCTCCTCTCGCCACGTTCATTGAGAGACACGGAGCGGTTTTCGACCATGAGCAGAATCCTCTATATCGTGGTCAACCTGTTGATAAAATGCTGGAAGTGCCAAAGGAGGAGAACTCACGACGCACAATACCTGGAGAAGGCGAAGAGCCGACTCTCGATACTCTGAGTGCCTTTACGCGAAGTCCAACGAGCACATTTGTCCAAGCACGCCCCAAAACAATAAGGAACGGCACTTCCATCCGAGACCATCCTAGCACCTGGGACTTGGAGTCTGATCAACTCGCAGACGAGCTTGCTGCTCTAGCAATGGAATTCGACCCAGAGTTGAAGGACAAGGTCGAGGTCGAGGCCTCAAAAGAGCGCCCTGTCTCTCCTCCCCCGGCCCCTCGAGACGTCGCCATGACCACTCATAGCCAGGAAGATGGTTACATCTATGAGACTTACATCCGCGTGCCCTACGATGGCGATGCAGGTGACACTACAAACCTTCAGACAGATTATGGCATTCTTGTTATCGACGAAGAAGATGAAGATTTGTGGCAAAAGTACGTCGACAGCGAGGATGAGACCGATTGGGATGAAGAAGACTCTAACGGTGAGCACCGCCCCTTCACTTTATCCGCATACACTGACACCACGCAGCCGAGGACAACCCCGCCAATGACTACCCAGAAGACGAGGTCTCGTCTGACGATGAGTTCAGCTATAATGCGTACAAGTATCGGGCGTATGGATCTGATCAAGAGGAGCTCGACGACAAATATGACTGAAGTCACGCCACCCATCAGCTATGCTTGGATCATAGAACTATCCTGTCGTAACGCCTGGTATCAGAATAGCCAGACGTGCCGCGATAGCAACACCGATTCAACTTATCGAAAGGCCAAATGGACTCTCACGCACACAGCGAACGCTCAAAGCTGCCACCCGAATATACAGAGGAGACCAGCTGATACAGCGATCATTTAACGAAGCATCGGCCTCGCCAAGCAGGTTGAGCAGTCTGGGCTACCACAGCCTCCAGGGTTCGCAAAACATGGCAGCGGAGGCTTTGTCTGGTCAGCCGGCAGCCTAGGATGTTGTTAGCATTGTCGAGCTGAATGGGAGGTGACTTACATCCAAGCATACCGCCGGGTTGTTCTCTGCACCACGCCGAATTTGCCAACTCTATTCCCACGCCTCTTGTGCCCCGACTTGGTTTGCTTCCTCACCTTCTCTACCCCGTGTATGTCGAGTAGCCGATAAAACTTGCACTGAAGGCCACCCTTCTTCCTGGATTCGCCGAACTGGATATCAAACTTTTGTTCAACTTCGTCCCAACCTTCGCCAAGATCTGTACGGTGGTACCAAATCCAGTATGCTTGCTCTGCTGCATACTTCTTGCATGGCAGGCGAGGTTGTCGACTTCTCTTCCGCTGCGTACCGGTGTCGCTGGATGACGTGGAATTCGTCTCACTTTCGCTGTCCTCTGTGTCAATTGCGAGGTCGATGATTCCGCGAATCACGAGGTCGCCTGCGGTATCAGGATTGGGCTTCGCTGCACTGTTGTCTCCCTCTGGACCATTCAAGATTGTTGCAATCCGCATTGGGTTGGGGGGAGCTTGACTCGGAGCTGATTCACCCGTGCTGGATGTATTGAGAGACATTCTTATGCCTGCTTGACTTGATGACAGGAGATTTAAGCTAACGCAAATATATCGAGCGAGAGATATATACTCAGTGTGGCTTGCCGAGAGCAAACGCTACAAGAGATGGTATGGACGGAACCCGTGCCAAAAGCTCTGGCCTTATTATGCCTCAGGTCGTCCCGACAATCTGGTCGGATACCAGGATGATGCCAATAACAACTTTCTTCCAAGTTCTTGCTGGAGGCCTACACTGAATCATCCTGGCCTGTCGCCACTAAGCTTAAAGAGTCAGTTGCAGCGCCGACTTTCCTCACATTTCACACACACCTGATGTTTGAGCCAAGTGGAGACCCCGCGCATAAATCGGGCGATCAGGGTTGTCCTGCTGGATGTTCAAATGCTGGCGCATGCCCGGGGATCGTGTATGTCGACCTATTCGACGGGGAGCCCTCCGCACGCAGGTTCTCTCGCTCGTGGCCGCAATGGGCGGGTCGAGAAGCGCAGCAATTGGCATGGCAATGACAAGGTATCCGTTGCAGATCTTTACGGGTGCTAGACCCACGTCCGGTGGCCTAGGTCGCCGACAATCTCGTAAGTCAAGATTGTCACACATTCACAACCGCATGATTCAAGTTCCAAGCACAGACAGGTAATGCCAATAAGACAGTCGAGGCGATGCCTAGGACCATGCCTCCACAAGGCCGTATCGGATGGAGAACAAGCATCTGCACTGATACTACTCCGTACTGTCACCTCGTACACCGGGTGGCGATGACAAAAGACCTTCTTTGTCTCCAGCGCCACTGCAGAAGAGACTGTGCTGTGGTGCCGAATTCGGGATTTCGGTGCTCAAGGATCTATTTAGGGTTGATGGAGGTCGCCCTCACCTGGATCAACCAATAGAGAAAAGCCAACTCGGGCAGGATGTTCGAACCACTTCCGGATCCGCTGCCGATAGACGCCAATGGCGCATTGTTTGCAACAGCTTTGATTGGGTTCTCATGGCATGCTGCTTGCCAAAAGCCCGCCACATTTAGGCGCTTCGCATCACCACTGGGTCACAGGTTGCGCTACTGCAGCAGCTCAGCTAAGCGTAGGCTAGCTTCACCGTCAGGTATGCAGTTGTGATGAGCACCGACTCATGACGATTCTCGACACAGCAGCTGCCACGCTTCAACGGCGCTAGAAACGGCTTGGCTCAATAAGACCAGTGCCCAAGCAGCCAGGAAGGCGAGTGGTCTCCTCGGAAAGTCTGTGGCTAGCTCCACACTAGCACAGTTGCTGTCATCTGCCACATCTCAATCCGAGTTTGGCGGCCACGTTCGCGCTATATACTACGTTTCCCCAGATGCTGGGCTATGTGGGATTGCTGCCGGGTTCTTTCTGAGACCGTGCCCTGCTGAACGACCCCGGCTCTGGTGCCCTTAATCAGAGTTTCGTGCTGTGAGCGCATGGGTCTGATCAAAGAGGGGAAACTCAGCCTCGTTATTGGTTACCATAGCGTGGGCTACGAATGGATTCGGCCGTGCGTGGAGCCAGAGGCAGCTTTCGTCTTGAACGAACAGATTCTCACAAGCCTAAACGCCGCACCGTGAGGCGTTCGGCTGGAATTCCTCAGTCCGTGGCGACATATGGCTGCGGTCCTGCATGGCGCCTCGATCCCACCAACATAGTCCGTGGCCATACGGATCTGACCCTGTGCTCATAAAATCTGGCTTGTGCTTCTGCAAAGGATCCACTGGTGGCCTTTACTCAGACGCCTCGGCCTCTACAACGGCTCTGCCTCAACAAGCGCGGTTCAAGGAGGCACCTGGATGCAGGCTTTCGACAGTTGTGGTTTCATTTGCTCCATGACGAAAATTCATTGATCTTCGCATTAGCGAGCACGCACATTCCTCCTTCTCCTGCCGAGGCTTGCTTTGTGGGGGTTGAAGATCCTTTGTCCATGCAGAACGAATCTGATATATGGCTCGCTTCCCAACTCTACTTACGGCTCGAACAACCATGGTACTGGAATCTCTGCCTGCTATTTCGGGCATTCTACTCTTTCCAACCTCGGACGTGGCTCGTTGCGGAAGGTCGCTTGTTGGCGTTGATATGGCTGCGCGGAGCGTCTTACTTTCTTTGTTATCAATTGGCGTTACAATGCCTAAGGAAGCGGCGGAATTGGGTTGATTTGTTGGGCGACCAAACCCTCGTGATGTCTCGGCGTAGACAGCTATGAGCCCTGCCATCATGATAGGGCGCGGAACCTTCTCCCATCGTACTGCAGCTGGATTTCGGACTCGCTCAAGCTAACGTCAATGAGCGTCACCATCTGCCCCAATACCATCGTGCAAGGTTATGCCTCCCGACTTACAACCAATAAATGACGAGTACTCGGCCTTTTGGACTGTTTGACCCTTCAGCGCAAGCGGATCGACCAGCCTTCTACGCCGGGAACCAGGGGGTGAAGAAGGTCAGACGGCCCTTGGCTCCACAGGTCTGCATGGTTTGACACCAGGGAGCCCGATTCACATTCTGCTTAGTGACTCTGGGGACCCTCTAGACGGCAATTTCCTCTTTGTTTAGCATGATGTGACAGGTCACTTCGCATTTGCCGATTTCCCCTCGTAAGGAAATCTACCCTGCAGAGCTTGTTGTACTTTCCAGCCCACGATATGGTCCTTGACGCTCGGCCTGGATCCGAGAGACGATACGACGGAGTTCACGAGAGCTCGGACCAGGTCTGGTATGGCGGTCTAGTGGCTTGTGATTTCAGTCACAGCTGGCGATGTCATGGTCACATTCCTCGAATCCTACCCAACTTTGTCAAAATTCGACCACGTTGGCCAGCCTATTCCTTCAGCAATGCCCGATTTTGAGATGGTGTGAAGCGGCCAAATGCAGAGGCCTTCAAAGCACACCATCTTTGAATCCGATCTCCAGCATCTCTTCGATGCTCCGAGCCCACTGGTTGGCGGGGGGATCTAGATCGTGGAAGGAGCATTCGGCTATCACTTCCATGCTGTCATAGTCAGATAGACCATCCGCACATTCACATTCCCTCCGCTGCTTACTTGTCCGAGGGCATATCAGTTTGTCGAGTCAGATATCGGAATTGCAATACCGCTCCATGACGCACATCAACCTGGACAACATGGTGCAGGAACCAGCTAGCCGGATCGCATCCTTCAGGAGGCTTGTGAGTTCGACCAGAAGAGCTACAAGGGGTATATTCTGACAAGCGTTTGACAGCTGGCTCTTTCTCGTTCCCAGCAGACCTCGCGCACGAGTCAGAAGCACAGAGCATGACTTGCGACAGCTGCCATATATACGAGTCATATTTGGTCTTTGATCCACGATGGCGGTAGCGGAGGTCTTCGTTACCAGCGCCATGCGAGCAGCGACTCTCCTCGAAGAGCATCATGCCTACCACCTCGACCGGGATGCTTCGATTTCCATTACGATGCACAACTAGAAACAATCTGATGACAGCTTGTCAGCAGACTCATCGCTCCCGAGAATTGGCGTCTTCTTTCCGCCACAAATCAGGAAGAAATATGGTCGGCGAGTCGAGACCACACCTTGGATCGTTGCCGACGCAAAAGAGCGGCCCCGGGGCATACCTGATCCACAAATTTTCTCGGTGTTAGTGACCTGCCTATCGCATTATACAGAAAGAAGACGACCAAGTGCGAAAATTTCCTTCCAATTCGTGTCCCCACCTCTGGCTGAAGAATTTGACGCCATAGAGTGCGCCTTGCCTTGGTACCCTCTTTGAGACCTTGGGAAAGTCGCGATTTGTCTAGAGTCTGCTCCCCGCTAGTGAACCAGGTGGAGGCGAGCATTAAAGCGGCTCATGGTTTGACCGTCGACAACTGTGATGGATGTGGCTAGCTGACTGCACACGCCAGTCTGGAAACCGCCTCAGACAAGTGGGCCCAGACTTCTCATCGATCTCTAGGATACGGACGGCAAAGCCATGTGTTTGGGGGCTGATGAAACTATCGGCACGATGAGCAAGAACCTATCCTCCTGAATTTGAACTGTTGCCACACAACAAACGCCCCGTCGGCATGTTTCCCGTACGAAAGCCGATCCATCACACTCGGGGGCGCAGCATCCTGAACGACGATCCCTCCGTGCCTGGATGTCACCCTAGAAGGCCGAAAAGCTACAACCAGGTTGAGTGGAAGGCTCCTGGAGTGTTACAAGGGGTCGTTGAGGCTGCCCAGGGTAGGTACCTTGAAATTGAGCAGGATGATGAATGTCGCACGCCCTTATAAATGTGGCAGCACACGAAAAATACGCAGCCGTGAGGATGCTTCATATCTAGATAAGGACATCTTCAACAGTCATAGACAAGCCAAGCTGACAAAGTACAACTGTTTAGTTCTAGGTGAGCGGAAACCGTGACTCTTGTCGCGATCTCTTTTGCAACGTACACACGTGTATTATCCTTCGGACTGCGAGATTGAACAGAAGCAGTATAAAGTGGGTGGACAAAAAGATGCGAGCGCCAGCACTAGCTACGAGGCTGGGATCGTTTTTAGGAGGCCAAATCCGAAGATGTGCTGGAGATGATACATGGAGCGCAGTCGTGCGTAAGGAAGAGTTTGCCCTCGTTACCCTCCTACGTATGCAGTTGTATGGAGTCTGATATTGGCGTACGGTCAACAACCTTCGACCCATGTTGCAGTCATGCCTCTCTGGCCATTGATCAAGACACATTTCTTTCCCGTCTACCTCAAATCTTGGCCGTGCGAGACACGCCGCCAAGTATGTTCTTCGGTTACGCCAAACGTGCTTCGACTATCATCTCTGTCATGATTAACCTAGTAGTACTGCTCCTCGAAGAAGAGGGCTGTAGTCCGATTCGAAAAAAGACCGTCGAAAAAGACCGTCGAGGAGCGACTGCGCCAGTATGCCTCTAACAAGTCACAACACCCATAGATCATTCAACGACGAGGTCAAGCCAGAGATACGGGAGCCGCTGCGTGATCGGCACGGACTTTACAACTACGAAGCAATAGAGAGCCCTCGAACTGAACTGCTTGTGAAGCTTTTGTATTGATTTTTCTCGAACCTTTCCCAATGCGCAAAATTCTTGTTCGTTAAAAGGTCTAGTAAGCGCAGCACGCGCTGTACATGCGCAGCTCATCCACAGCCAGGCCGCAAAACCAACACCTGGAATTGTCCCAACATAGACACAGGCAGTAGATGACAAGTGTACGCCAAAAACTTTCGTAGCTCCTTGGTGTGGAAACACCCTTCGGAGGCCAAGCCACTTTGTCCCCGTAAGTTGCCATGGATTGCCGTGAAGTGTTTTAGTCATACAGAGCACAAGCTAGGTGTGTGATAGTGAAAGCAGGGAATGTGCAGTTCGTGGTCGTCAAGAAGGTCGGCCAACTGTCGTAAGGATGGATGCAGATTGCACACAAACAAGGATGCCATAGAAAGCCACTGATTGCCTCTGGAGACCATGCCAGATCTTTCCCAAATGTGGCATTGATGAACTCCAACCTTGCCCTTGGCAGTGTCTCTTGATCTGCCAGTTGGGCGATATTGCACAAAAAGGTATATGCTTCCCGAAAATTGCGAGAGCTGTAAAACACCATGGTTGATACGGAAGGAAATTCGTGTGACCGGGCATCAAGCAAAGAACGTCGACAAACAAGCGCGAGGCGCTTCACTTGACGTCAGACAGACAGACCATGGCATCGCGACAAATCTCATCTTCTGCAGGCTCATCAGCACATGTTGGATCGTCGCAGGGGGGAATAATTTACCCTCTCCGACCTCGGCCACCCGAGTAAACGGTCTGCATCGGCGATGAAACAAAATATTGCTGTTGTGGATAATTGTACATGTTGGATGGCATGTTCTGCTGCAGAAAGTTTTGGGGTGGAAATCCACTCGAGCCAACAACGGGACTCATCTGAGCAGAGAACGAGAGGGGCGAGGAAGATGGGTTAGCCATCGGGCGAAAAGGGTCGACGGCCGAAGGAGGCGTTGCGTATCCGTTGTACCCATTTGGCATGTATCCACTGTTGTTCCGTTGAGGGGCGGTCGAAGGGAAACCCTGGTACTGCGATTGAGGCGTCATCTGTTGGTAAGGAAGCTGCGAGTATTGTTGTTGCGCTTGGAAACCATTCATATTGTACGGAGGGAAGCCGAATGAATCAGCTGATCCAGTCCTGATCGGACCTATCCCATTGTCAAAGGTATTGCCGTTGACACTGGGCACGAAAGTCCCACTGTACTGACGCTGGGGGAAGGTCTGCTGTGGTAAGCCATGTGCAGGCATCTGTGGCTGTTGAGTTTGAGCCATAGAGCGGGCGCGGTCATTCGCCGGGTGCGCATGCGCAGGAAACTGCTGCATTGCAGGTTGAGTGGGCCTCGAGGATAGCCCAACTTCGTCCATGATCCTCTTGTAGCCTTGATTTGGCTGCGCCTTGATCTTGCTCAGAACCCTCGAGACGTTCTGGACCACGTCTGGCCTCATGTTCTCGTCAAGGAAAGGCGTTGTCAAGATCTTGAATATCAGCGTCACCCCCGAAGTCTGGTCGCACAAGATCTGTTCAAGCACGGTGTCGTTCGGGCTGAAGAAGAGAGCTTTCAGTACCATGTCCCTGGCTTCGGGCTCATTTCGCTGGTTGATGACCTTGAGCACAGTGAGATACGCCACTTTGTGGGTGCAGAGCTGCACAAGATGGGGGATCAACCTCGGGGCCAGAACTGAGCGTCTGTGCGGGAAGGTACAGGTATCAAGCAGCCAGGTCAACAACAACGCTCCATTGGCGTTTTGAGCGAGTTGAACACTATGCAGAGCAATCGCTGCGGCCATCAGACGTTGCTGACTTTTGGTGGCGTGGTGAGCTTCCAGACAGGCCCGCATTGCCCTGGCTCCGAATCGACCCTGAGCAATTTCCCAAAGCTGGCTGAGCATAGTCTCGAAGATGAAGTCGTTAAAAGGTGGCCCAAAGCGAAGGCAGCATTGCAGCACATAATTGCCGTATTGATCGAGGAAAAGAGGTACTGTGTATGGACGTAGGGTGTCGACGATCAGTTGGATTTGGGTCTCAGTCTTGCTGACTTCAATGATCTTTTGAGCGGCCCATGTACCGTTCTTGTGAACTCCAATTTCTGCAAGATGGGGAGCAATGCGCGTCAACATCTGCTCTTTGGTCTGCTCAGAACAATATTCAAAGAGCTTCTGCACAACGGTGTTGCCTAGATAGTCCGATGACAACTCGGCAATCTCAGGAAGCATGTCGATGGCAATCTGTTCGATCTCTTGCAATCCACAAGCGCCATTATCGATCCTTTTACGGATGTCCCGTAGTCTAGGAGCATCGTACATCCTTGTAGCGCTTGGCTCTGGAATGGGGGGAATTTCCTTCTCAAAGCGATTGAAGCTAATGGCGCTCTCAATGTTAGCAGAAATCCCCGCCAGATCCGATTGTGGGCCGCCAAAATCGAGCACGATCTGTAGGATGTCCGGCTGCAGCTCTGTCAGCCTGTCTGCAGCCGGCAGATTTAGAGTGCCCTGGGCATGCAGAGAGCCGGTGGGACTGCCAGAAGTATCGTGAGGCTGTGAGGGTCCTGCTTCAGCATTGCCGTTGTTAGATCCTGGAGGAGGTGTGGCATTCTGTACAGGGGTGATGGACACCGACGCATTCGGAGCCTTAGCAAACCCGATTCTAACGGGTCCAGCTCCGGGGAAGATTTCCTTTCCGTTGAGCAACTGGCGGGCACGCACGGCATGCTCGACAGATTCAAAGTTGACGAAACCGCAGTTTTTGTGTGTGAGCACTCTCGTCGACTCTATAGCGCCATAACGACTGAAGATGGCGTCCAGCGAGGACATGGTTGTTGAATTCGGAATAGAACCGATCCAAAGAGACCGAGAGATTTGCACGTCAGGGTCGTCCAGACCCTCAAAGCCCAAGGGCATATTTTCGCCAATCGTCAGATGCTGCAACGAGTCTGTGAGGCTCGATGGCTCTAGCATATCTGAGGCCTGCATATCAAAACCCATGTCGACGCTATCCGCAGGTTGCTGGACGAAATTTCGGAGCGAGGTACGTTGAGGTGTTTCAACGAGCCCAGCGGTGCGAGCTCTGGGGCGCGCGGCACTGGCGTTCACTGCAAAGGCCTGGACTGCCTGGTTGTGTAGGCGGACCTTCTCCTGAACCATTTCATACTCGGCTTCCAGCGCTGCAGCCGCCGAGGGCGTCAAGGTGCCGCTTTGGAACAACGGAAAGCTGGTATTTCCTTCCTGGCTTTCGGTTTGGTATTTAGATTGTGTGTTGACCGAGAAGGACCTGAACCGGCTTGAATTGCGCATTCCAAACCCTAACACGTCTGGCAGATTGGTATCATGCGAACGGCCACTTTCATTTGCACCCTGACGCAACGCATCAGATCTTGACTGGTGGGGAGGTTCCGCAAGTCCAAGATAATCGAGGGTCCGTACCCCCGAGTCGGACATGCCGTCTTTGGAATATCCTGATGGCTGAGGCGACGTGGGGTCCTCGGCGGAACTGATGCTGGTTAAGGTGGCAGCGCGTGTTCTTGTTCCCCAGCCGGTACTAAAGGTGCTTGAGCCGAAGGCACCTGAGTTGCCAAGCAGACTAGCCCGCTGAGGCATGCTTCCCGCACGAAGTCTGGACAAGAGTGCCGACGTGGCCGGATTGGCTTGGTTGGAAGAAGTCGAGTAGAACGCAGTTTCGGCGGCGGAAGTGGATCCAGGCCGGAAAGGACTGGTCGACGGCGTTGGACGAGACGTTTTGGAGGTCAGGACGTTAACACCGTTCACCGTCCCAACTGGCGAAATTCGCGAAGGAAGAGTGCCTGCACGACCTCGGCGGGCCGGGCTGTTGATTCCAGTCTCTGTGAGCGGCACCAGATCGGGGAAGCCATCTTGGTTAGGAGACTCCGGAATCTCAAAGAGAGGCGTGGAGGTGCCGCTGGTGGGAGGTCCCCAGATGTTCGGGGCGAGACCAGCCTGAGATTGTAGTTCGCGGGTCCGTTTGGGGAAGAGTCGTGAGGCTTGATCGTGCAGAGGAGAACCAGCTCCAACTCTTGCACTGGACAAGCCAGCCAGCCCAGAAGATGATTTAGAGCTCCCGAAGGGAGACTTGCTGGTGGGCACTGGAGGAGGGTCGGCCATGGATGGTAGTCCTGAGAGATTTATGTTGAGAGGCCCGTCTGGCCTCGCGGTGGGAGGAGCCATGGGAAGCTCTCAGAAGCCTTCGGACTGCAATCAAATAGATTTTTGTGCTGCGTCGAAAAATTATGTATAATGCCAACTCTTCCCCGTAGAGGCCTCAGCGGAACGGGGCAACGGTCTTCAAGCCTTCGTATAACGTTGTGTGGTCCGGGTGATATTGAGATGCACGAGGGGTTGTCTGGCTTTCAGTTCAGACAGGGGTGGATAGGATGTGCGGTTACAGCTATACCAGCTGTGCTGCCGGTCGCACGGAGAGAGCAGGCACTCGATATATCCAAGGCCCGAGTCGAGTCAAGATCGTTTGTGCTGGGACGAGAGCAGCTCGGAAACCAGGATATTACATTTAAGAGCGGTCGGGGGCGATTGGAGAAGGAGAGACTGTGGACTGCCGTATTAACACAAAGGATGGAATTGAGAGAAGTGAATAAAGCAGCTCTCCAGGGCTGAAGGGGAATTAGGGGATGGCTGAAGATGCAATTGTAAGTGAGGGCAAAGAGAGCAGGAAGATGAAGCAGCAGTCTGGTGGATGGATTAGGGGCTCAAGTGCGAAAGTAAAGTAAAGGCAAGGTGAGGTTCGGGTTGCGCAGACGCAGCAAGCGACCCACGTCAACGGCTGCTATGGAAAGTACGGGGAAGAACCTCGACGCTCTGCCGCACAAGCACCATCTCGGTTTAGTCACACTTCTGAAGAATTTGCTGCTAGGTGCAACCCACGAGACCCGTTCGACCAGCGCCCCAGTACTCGTACTCTGTCTCTTCCTCCAACGCGAAGTGTCGTCGAACCCGCCAGGGACGAACAGATCATTGCCGTAACGGAAATCAGGTCGAGGAGACCTGGCATTTGCAAGCAGCCTGGCCAGTGGCAGCTCACATTTCAAGTTTTCTTCAATGCCACGTCCTTCGCTGCAGGACGAGTCTGCTACCGGAATGGGACACGGGAGACACGAGGAAAGACCCGCGACGAAGGATTATGCCAGCTCCTCGGTGGTCCTTCAAGTCCATGGAGCCTATCGTTGCCCTGATCCCGCTTATTCCAAACCACCGAGCCCATCCAAGCTATGCCCCATGAAACGGCTTCTGTGTGTCAATTATGCGCTCAATCTCGTTCCATGATCCTGAAGTCCAAGCGTTCAAGACGTGACTGAGGAAATGCACGACTCGCATGAGCATGCACCAATTGAGCTCTCCAACAGCAAAAGCACGAGGGCATCATTCAATAGCTCTTCACATCCCTCTGGCACTGGAGGCTGATGGCCGTGACGGACAACCTGAAACACTGGCGCCCATCATCCACAGCCAACCACGTTGCTCCCGCTCAAGGCTATCTCGATGTGGAGTACTGACCCCAAGGCATCCAGTACTGGGTACCTCGTATCACCTGCTGTGTACCGGGGCCGAGCGCCTGTGTTCTCGGTGAGATATCCCATGAGCTGTCCGTGCTGCCCATTTTTGCGGGGATCGTATTGGCTGCAGCCAGGAAAAGGCCCCTGAGAGCTGCATTTTAGCCCAGCTTGTAATCGTCTAACACACTCTCACTCTTACAACTCCACTCATCAGTCGAATTCGAGGTCAGCACTGTCTGCATCTGTCTGATGCACCTATTAATACTGCACGATATCACAGGGAATGTACTCCATACCAAGCTCGAAAAGCTCGGTGTTGGCTGTGAGCTGTGAGCCAACCCACAACTGAAAATGGTCACGTGCTAGCATCATCATCACTCCCAGTGAGCTGCGACTTCGGCATTCAAGCTGTTCAGCATCAATTTCGAGGAATCTACGTAGTACCAAAGAGTCGTAGTTGAGGAGGATCCAGGTGGAATGCGTACTTGTCAGAGACTGCCCCAAAACCCTGAACAGCCCACAGAGACATTGATCCTGCTGGACTGACAGGATTGTATAATGGCACAGTGCGTTGACTATATCGATTGCTCCAGCCACATGCAAACTACCGAGGCAGAAGTGTCAGCTTTTTAGAGCTCAGACTGCACCTCTCGACTAAGTCGTAAAATTTACGTTTGGGTCGGACGGCGGTCAATAGGTAAATATCCAATTCTTGGGCCCAGGAACGGTGCAAGAAGTGCCAGATATTTTACAACCACCTGTGGGGATTTGCCACTGCTAGTCAGTCCAACCTCTTCAGGCGTTGAGAGCCACAGTACAAGCATCAGAGGCATCTCCCGATGCTGCTTTTGCGAACGAGCTTGTGGTATCGCATGCCACTAGCTAGTGTTAATGAGGAACTTGAACTCCGTCCTTCTGTACCTCGATCTGCGCCCCTTAACCAAGCCTTCCGAAGCGACGAACGCCCGTTCCTCCAGGCTTTTGGACAGTGACTCGTATTTCCATACTCGTCAGCAGCGGTGAGGGTGTACGAATGCCATGAGAACATACTTGAGCCTACTCTCGGGTCATGTTCAGTCACGTCCTTTGTAGGCAGAGCGAGAGAAACTCAGGCTCCGAGGGAAGCTCCCCAATCGGGTGTTCTGAGATCGGTCGGGATCTGCAGAGCCATTCCATCACAGGAGCGGACCTTTCGTCGCCAGTCTTACCATCGCTCACCTGCCGGTCAGAGACGAGATTGCTGGACACGGCAACTGCTTTCTGTTTCAAACCAGAATTGCAGAGGACTTCTTGACGTGATTGCCGCGAGGCGACCGAGATCTCCTCTCAGGAAGCTCTTCAGTGACTGGTGTAACAGACTTGGCTGCTAGCCCTTCAATCACCACAGACGATCTTTCTCGATCGTAAATCGTTTGAGGACAGGGTGGGTCTAGAGCCAGGACGCACTGATCGAGGGTCAGAAGGCGAGCTCACGGTGGACCGAAGAAGCCACACTAATGCCGTATCCCTCTCACTCGGGTCCATGGTGAGATTATCTGGTGTAAGACTGCTGCGACATGGATGCAAGTTGAGATATAGTTGAGCAATCCTGCAAAATCATCTTGGTCCAGACAATTTGTCGGGGAAGTTCCTGCCAAGCTCTTGCTGTACTTCGGTACCGCTCCTATCAGGTGGAGCCAGCAAATCGATGGATACGCTTGATGGCTTTTGTTACTCCCGACTTGAATTCGATCGGAGGGCGTCATAAACCCTATGGGAAGAGCATCATGAGCCGTTGGTGATCCTCATTTTTGACTTCATTCCCATCAGCTTTCCCATGTCCCCCGTCAACCCGCTTCTACTCTCTAAATGTGATCGGCGGGGACATTAAATACATCCTCCCTCACACGCATGCGCTGCACAGTCGTCATCTCCAGTCACCTCTCTCTCACTCTCGCCTCGCCAGTTCCCAATCTGCGATGACCTTCTATACTCAGCATGAACGGTATTACCGAGCCGTTACCCGGCCTCCTTGACGACCCTCAATTTCAGATCACCGACTTGCCCGCACTGACCGACTTCCATATTGCTCCCCTTCGAAACCCTGCCCCGAGTCGCCATGCAAACATTCCTCTACCCCTCGAGCCTGTCGCGGGCAAAATCCACAACAACAGCAGAGCAACCAAGAGCACTGTTCGTCGGGAAGATGAATCTGAGAAGAGGCGGGCCCCTAAGATCACTCCTAGCGATGTGCTTCTGGCGAGAGAGGCCAAGAAGCCGCATCTGGCCATTAGTGAGCTGCTGGAAGCCAACGACGGCTCTGACATGGTCCCTACACAACTGCCCTCCTTCATCAGTTTGTCTGTAGTCGAAAAGTCGCCTATACAGGCTCCCTCACCCTTGGAACACGGCCACGCTCAGAAGCGGTTGAGACTGGACACTGACGGCGAGGCTGTCGCTCTTGAGATGATAAGGCATCTGCCTCGTCCTGCTCAAAAGGAAGACCGACCAAACAGACCCGCTCCTCTCTTACCAGCCATGGTTACAGGCCTGCATGAGCCTCCTCCTTCTGCGGCTCTTCTACCATCCATCGACGTTGCCTCCAGACCTGCAGCTCCACGTTCCACAACGACCTCGAAAATCCATGTCAAGGATATGCTGACTGAGTCGGATCCAGAGTCCGCACATTGGCGAGCCCCACCTGCCGTGGTCGTTGAGAAACAAGTGCCTTGTGCCCACGAAACTGTCGCTACACAACCAACACCAGCCAACGCAAATGTTCCGGCCACTACGCCATCAACTTCTTGTGCGGTCCCCTGGAAAGACAACAAGCCTCGCCGTGCCCGTCGGAAGTGGAGTGAGAGTGAGACACGAGATCTACTAGCTGGTGTGAAGAAGTATGGCATGGGCAAGTGGAAGCAAATACTTGATGATCCATCATTCAACTTCAGCGAGCGGAGCTCGGTCGACCTGAAAGACAGATATCGTGTCTGTGCGAACAACGATTCGGTTCCCAAGTCAGAGACAAATGCGAGCACCAACAACCCTGTTCCAGAACAAACGGCTCCGACCGAAGGTGAAGGACCTTCGCTCTCACCCATGAAAGGCACGGAGGCAGATTCACCCTTGGAGCAAGGCCACGCTCCGAAACAGCGCCGTAAGCGTCGGGCTTGGACGGTCGCTGAAGATGAAAGCTTGCTGAAGGGTGTGGCCAGGCATGGATTCCAGTGGACTGCAATTCACGATGACCCTGAGCTCGACCTGGCGCACAGACGGGCTACTGACCTTCGAGACCGTATCAGAAATAAGTTTCCAGATGGATACAAGCATGCCGAAACTGCGCCGTTGAGATCCGAGGTCAAGAAGGCAGAGAAGCTCGCAGTTTCTTCCGCAGGAACCCCTGATATTCCCAACCCGGGCAGTGCTGTACCTGCGGCCAAGAACTCTGCGTCAGTCATTCACAACAGCACCCCTGCGGCAACACCTATAAAAACGAGCACCCCAACTCCGACCAGGGCAGCCAGTGGCAAGGTGAAATCGTCGACGTCCGCTAGCTCACTAACAATGCTACTCCGTAGCGATGACATAGACATGGAGCCTACTAAGGAGAAAGGCGATAAAGAGAAGGACAGAGAGCGGGAGAGAGACCAGCAAGTGGGAGTCACCCTACCGAGCTTTACTCTAGAAGTCGATGACGATATGGATTGGGAGGATAATCGGCTGCCTCCCCTACATGAGTGGGACGAAATCGGAATATGAAGCAGGACAGAGAACGTCGCAAAGGAGCCTGCTCATACCGAAGATGGTACTCTGTACGCCGTGCCTCAAATGGGCACCCCAGGACTAACATTGGACTAATACACAACCATTTCTGGATCGGAGGCAAATCGGTCCCAGGGGATTTATCATCCGTGGCAGGATATCTCTGGCTTGGAACGCTCTATGCTACCCCTGGATATGGGATATTGGAGGGAACATGGGAATCTGGGAAATTGAATGGGTTTCTGGGAACTGGCTGCCATTGTTTCTTGCATATAACTGCTGCAGCTTTCTCGTCAAGGAGGGACACTGGAATGGACAGGCACGGGACTTTGCACAAATGGTCCGACGGCTTCGAGGAAACATGGATGGAATGGAAATGGGAAAATGGAAAAAGGAAAACTTGTTGGCTCTTTATGATACCCCCTTTTTGTTGATTTCGTCGGAAAGCATGGATTGAATTGGATTGGATGGGATGGGATGGGTTATCGTTTGTTTAGATAGAACACAGGCTTTGATATGGGAAGGGAAGGGAAGGGAAGGGACCATGCCCGCATGCTGTGGCCCGGCTGATCGGACGGGAAAAGTTAGTCGTTTTAGCTCAAGGACTTCAAGTCCGCTTTGAGGAGACGTCGAGAATGAACAGGCTGGAACGAATCTTTGTTCTTACCGCCTGCGCCGCTCTTTTGTAACAGAGCTTCGATGTGAAAAACGCCGTGTTCTTTCTCGACACACGATGATCAAAGTCCCACCCGATAATTTTAGTCGTTCCACCCGGTGAGAAGCCTCGGAGCGAGGAATGAGAAATGAGAACCATGGGTCCAAGTATTCAAGTCACATGCATGCATGAGAGAGAGAGAACACGCGAGCAATACACCAAGTGCTGTAGAGCTAGCATTCGAACAGCTGGAACATCACTACTCTAGGCGTACATAGCTGGGTGAGACGGCACTCAAAAGCATAGAGGAGATACGACTTTGATGTCATTGGCATTGAAGAGCGCAGGCGGTCACAAAAATCGCTGTGCTGACTTGCAACAAAACGCGAATTGACGGCGCAGGCGGGCATGGAGGGAGGGTTGTGATGGGTAGGAATGGGAACCTGGAGTTTCGAGACGGTTGAGATTAGAATCACTGGTAGTATTGTCCAACGTTGGAAAGGTTTTGGGTTACTATATGGAAAGTCAATCCACATCAGACAGGTCTTGGTAGACTCAACTCGACTGTCCTTGCTCTTTGCCAGCTTTGGTTGGCATCGAGTTTCCTGTCGGAGTGGGCTGACATGCTTAAGCCATTTCCAGCTTGATCGGGGGCATTCTCATTTGTAGTCTTCACCAATCGGTGTTCCGCCTTCGAAGTAGATCTGGACAGTGATGATATTTCATTTGGCATTGCAAACCTGGACTGTACTGTCCAACGACCACGAGCTTGATAACTCCTTGACACCTCGTGAGCCAGGCAAACAAAGAATACAACCGACCACTAAGCAAAGGGGCGTTGAAAAGAAATCCTAGCGTAAAGACGCACCCCACCTAAACACCGGGAGCCTAGGGAGAAGGGCTTTTGGTCTTGGTAGAGTCACATATCGGGCGTCGACCTGTTGTTGCTCGTTCACAGGTGCCGGGTCTTGATATTGTTCGTCATGTCGTTCCTCATTCTGTTTTCTTGGTTGGTAGTTTGTTCCGGGTTGGATTGATTGGGGCTTGCGCTTGGCTTCTCACCAAGCATTTCGGTCCCAATTTGGATCTATGTGTCCGTGGGTCAGCTTCACTCAGACAGCCGCATCGCTACTCTGATCATACCTTGTATGAACGCCCCAAGGACTTTACTCCCTGTCTGCAGCAGTGGATGTCCCACCACAATTTGCAGGAAGCGCTGCAATCCTTCTCTCCTGTGCTCGATCACATCGTCCGAGAATCTGTTTGTGAAGACTTTGCCCGGTAATGGAGGAATCGTGACTCTAGCGCTTTCTCGCTCGAGGATGTCTCGGAAGTACTCGAAGTCTGAGTAGCGACGGCGGACCACAGAGTGACGCAGTTTGAAGGCCGGAATGTTGGTTCGTGTGTGGATCTCGTAGGATGTGTACATGTTTCGAGGGGAGGAGCCGTGAGTCTGTGGGTTCTTGACCTGGTTTAGATCGAGTGTCAGTGTACGTCCTCAATGGGTGTGCCGGGTCGCATAACGACGAGCGAAGGGAGGTCGCCTCATAATGTCCACGAAAGTCAGAGGAGGTTCGGCATACTTCTATCTCGAGGAAGTTTTCCGGAGGACCGTAGATCTCCTCGAAAGTCTGTTGACGCGACTCTGGTAAGGCCTGCATGACTGTGGGGTTTGCAGAGAGAGACGCAGGCAGCTGAACAAGGCGATGTGTCGCGTGCGTTCGCAGGGGTAGTGGCGGTCTGATACGTCGATACTCTTGTGTGGAAGATGCGAGGAAGGGGACTGCGAGATAGCTGTTTGTGCTGAGTGTTCCTATGGACGTGGTTTGCTCGTTGTCGTGTGTCACTCAAGGCTTCCTGTCGTCGAGAAGATTCCTGCCCGCGCCTGACAGTCACGCAAGTGGGCCTGATTGGACGGCAGTTGCCCCGCATCAGACCCGGAAGTACTTAGTGTGCCAAGACTCGGTGGCCGTTTTGGGATGTTTGATGGACAACTTTTTCTGAGCGAACTTTTCGACCATTCGAGACGCCTCCGTTCCACGCTTGGCTAACCCCACGAGATATGTCGTCAAAGAAGCGGAAGAGAGACACTGGCTCTGAGCCAGCAAAAGCCACCATCATACCGAGCGAGAAACCGGCCACCGACTTGTCCAAGAAGCGGAAAAGAGAAGTCGACGTCGAGCTTGTCAAAGTCTACAATGATCTTGCCGACGAGCAGGAAAATGTCCGCCTTGCGGCCGCCCACACGTTGTTGTCCAAAATCTATAAACCCGGAATCACCAGCGACGAGCAGACCGAGACCATCTTGTCCCGACTCTTTCGCGGCCTTTGCAGTAGCCGAAAATCAGCTCGCCTGGGCTTCTCCATTGCTCTCACCGAGCTCCTCTCCCAACTCGCGTCTACTCGAGATACCTTGCAAAACATCTCCGTATCGGCCATAATCGACATCTTCGAATCTCAAAGCGCACCGGAGAAAGGCACTTCCGGTCAAGATGAGCGCGATCATTACTTCGGGCGAGTCTTTGGTGCGGAGGCTATCTTGAAGTCGGATCTTCTCTTTCAGAAAGGAGATGAAAGCCATTTCAATCACCTTCTTGAGCTGCTCTGCAGCCTAGCTCACAAGAAGCCATGGCTTCGGCAAGAATTTGGCTGGGTACTCTATGACTGCATCGCCCACGAACGCAACAAGTTGCCGGAGAAATTAGCAGTGGATACGCTTGAGAAGCTGATCGCCAATAAGCTCATACGAACGCCCGAAGGAGTGGCTATATGGATTGCGGTAACAAGGCGGTTTCCGGCGGCGAAACTGCCCATATCGGCATGGAAGAGTGGTGACCCTTTGGCAAGAAAAGACGTCAACGCCCTTGCTGATATTCTCAAGGATGCGCGGGCTCAGCAGGGCCCGCAAAGCTCAGAGTTGAGCGCTCAAGGCTCAGCCAGATGGTCCGCTAACCTCCACTTTGCCTGGGATGTGGTGCTTGCAGAAGTCTTCAAAAATGCACCAGGCAAAGGTGAGAAAGGAATCAACGGCAAGATGCCGACTCTCCAAGGTAAAAAGCTCACTTTCGACGTGTTCTGGAAGACTGTCGTCGATGAGAGCCTTTTCGCAGAGTCAAGCAGCACGGAACGTAGAGCCTGGGGTTTCGGCCTGTGGAAGAAGGTGTTTGAAACATCTCCTCGGGAGTTTTTGCTCTACACATTCACACCACAAGCGACCCGGCGCCTGGCTGATGCACTCAAAGGCTCAGAGAGGCTTCTTAAAAAGTCCGCAGAGAGAGTGACTCAAAGCATTCAACTTCGACTAGCAGAACCTGCGCCCTGGCCCGAAGCTGGGACTGTCGCCGCTTCTTACATGCAGGCTCTGCTGCAAAGTGTTTCGTACGGCGACTTTGACCAAATCACCAAGTCTAAAACTCTGCACAACTTGATTGACGTCCTAAGCCCGTCGGTGCTTTGCCATGCCAAGTTAGCCCTTGGCCAGCTGGTGACGGAACTTTCTCGACAAGAAGACGGCAAAGCGACGCTGTCTCTACAGAAAACGATGGTAGCAATACAGTGGAAGATGGTTTCGGCCAGGCTTCGTCGATGGGAACAAGCCCAGTGGACAAGTGCGGGCGATCTTGAAGAAGATGACTGGAGGCTGGTTACCGGGGTATTCGAGTCATGGCTCAGAGAAGTCTGCGTCGCACCAACCGCAAATAAATCCACCAAGACGCTCGAAATTCGACCAATTCTCCAACCACAGGCTCGCCAGTTTGCGAAAGAACGTCTTGATCTTGGCTTCGAGCAAGCACTTAAGCTTGGATCGCTCGGCTTCCAGGTCTTGGACAGAGTCCTTTCCCATATCCACTATCTGGAGACCCTGGGGACCGTCATGGCCGCCTCCTTCGCGGATGATGTCCGGGAAATAGTGCAGACCGCTTGGCGAAAGTTGTCTGCCACTGCGCGACAAAGTAGAGAGACCTCAGAAATTGAGCAGACTACCTCGATTTCACGGCCAGGCCAAGCTCAGATGCCGCCACTGTCGTTCTCTGAGGCCATGCGACTCCTATATTGCCTTCTGCTCTTTCAAATCTATAGCGGCGAGACAGAGACCGTGCAACTCTTACAGGAGGTGCTTGACTACCATGGTCAATGGGATACGAGAAAGTTCAATGATCAGTTGCCTAATGACAAGGGAGAACTGGCCGACGCGATCGTGGAAATCCTCCTCAGTTTCGCGTCTAGACCGTCCAAGTTGCTAAGGCGCATTACACTCCAGAGCTTCGAAGCTTTCGCGTCTAGCCTGACCGGCAATGGCCTCGAAGCTTTGTGTCGGGTCCTCGAAACAAAGGAGAATTTGTTGGGTCAGCAGGAGATGTTCCAAGCCGAAGACGTCGACGGAATTGGCAGCGAAGCATCCGACACGGACTCCAATATGGACGGACTCGATTCTGACGTGGAAATTGAGTCCGGCCCAGCATCCGACGGTTCTGACGGGGACACGGACAATGTGTCAGGCTCGGGAGAAGAATCCGGTGGCGAAGAGGAGGATGAGGAACTTGCAAAGTTCGATGCTGCGCTCGCTTCGGCCCTAGGGACACGTAGCCTCAACGAGGACGACCTAGCAGCTCCATCCGACACCTCTGACGCTTCGTCCGACGAAGACATGGACGATGATCAGATGATGGAGCTGGACATGAAGCTCGCCGAGGTATTCCGCGCCCGCAACGAGCAACATTCGAAGAACAAGAAGAAGGATGCAAGAGATGCCAAAGAAAACATTGTGAATTTCAAGAACCGAGTCCTGGACCTCATCGAGTCCTACTTCAAGCATCAGCAGCAAAACCCCTTGACCATCGACTTGCTCCTGCCGTTACTGAAACTTGCGAGAACGACCCATACCAAACAACTTGCAGATCGCTCCTGCAATATAATTCAGCAATTCTGCTCACGGTGCAAAGGACCTAATGCTCCCGAGCTTCAGTCTGGGTCTCAAACACAACATGGAATTGACGTCCTTAGGTCGCTTCACGAGGAAGCAGGCCTTGAATCCTCGAACGCGCATTCAAATGTGGCCAGTTTGTCCAGCATACTCATTGTGAAGGCGCTGGTCAAAGCGGATCAAGCGAATATCAGAACCGTTGTCGACGTTTATGCTTCGACGAGGATGAATCAACTGACAATGGAGAAGTGTCGGATACTGCCTGGGTTCTTCACAGATTGGAACAACTGGTGCCAGACTGCTAGAGAAAAGCTGGCAAGTTGACGACTGCAACGAGCCGACGTGGCAACAAGCCGGAGACGCAGACCGGGCACGGGACGGCGGCATCTGCAAAGTGGTTCCGAAACCCTAGACTGGCCACGTGTTTGAGTAAGCAAATATGACCTGGTTCCTCGTGTGGGACACGGATCTAGATACAGAGTAGAATATCGACGAGCTTGACCTGTAGGGAACTGATGATCAACTGCAAGGCTGCACGGAGCTTGGCGCTGTGAGGCACTTAACGACACCAGACGCGGGAGTATCAAGGCTTAGCGCCGTAGCCGGTCAACCGATGCATGCCACCACCGTGAAAAGACCCTCACTTAATTACCCTCAGTACGGGATACAACTTCTGCAAACTCCGCATTGAGCAGTAGCGTGGAATCGGCTCTGAAACGAACAACTTCGTGAAAGTGTCATCCACGTGATTGGTCAGAGCCGCTGGGAGATGACCAAGGTCCCGTAGCCGCTAGTCCTAATGAAGCCCGGTGGACCCTCGGTTGCTTACTACTCAGCGCCAAGACCACATTCATCCTTTTTCCTTTCTTGTCACCGTATTCATGATGCCGCCCACGTCTCCTTACCACGGTCGTCAAGCAGATCGAAAGCCAGTCAAGCAAAGCGATGCCCGTTCATTAGATACTCAAACCCTTTGGGCCCCCAGAAGGCTGGAGCGCCGGTTGCGGGCTCGGGGGTTGGGTTCTTCAAACACGTTGCACGGCCACAAAGCGACTTAAACCTGGCCAAATTCTTACAGCCTTGCCTGATGCCTCCGGATCGGGCATCTCGTGGACGCTTAGGCGAAAGCTTACTGATATGCATGCGTCCCCCACGAGTACCGGCTGAGAAAGAGACTCTTTCGCTTGACATGGACGGGGGTCTCGGCTGCGACGAGTTCCATTATCCGACGGCCCTTCATCAAAGGCCCTTTTCCTGCTGTGCGCCCTAGGCTCGTCTCTGACCATCACGCCTCGAACTTCACCATAAAACGCGTTCATTGTTTCGTCTGGTGTTTCCTGTTCAGCGCCCTCTCTTTCGAGTTGAGTAACTGCCGCAGGAAACAGAACATTTCAAGCCACAAGATCCCCTGTTTTCAATGGTCTGGTAACAGTTTCGTTGGTCTGAACCGAGTCCGAGGAAGGATATTGATCGACAGATAACATGGCGGACTCTCAGAAACCGTCTGTACTGAAGAGGCTCAACGAGAAGCTGGGGTTGAAGCTAAACCTTCCCGTGCTACTGCTGATGTTCAAGTATGTTGTTCAATGCCAGAGTTCCAACCGCGCACGGCAAAGTCTTCTCCGCCAACATGGCAGCCCGCCCTCAGGCCCAGTCAGACTTTCGCAATGCATCTAACAGGTCATCGTTAGGGGAGCCGTTGCGCCGACTATTGGACTTGCGATGTACGTTTGACCTGAAGAACTGTTGATTGACGAGAGCTCACTAGGTCAGATATCAAGCCAAGACTGTGTCGGATCGCTACTCAACCATCGGCTATCTCATTCCTATCATGTCACTTTTCGTCGTCCCTATCCTACCACGGGCCAGATTCTTGCAGAACTTCCTTGTTACTTGTGTAAGTCCGTTGTCGAAGCCCACCCAGACGATCCGTGACTCAGAGTGTCATAGTTTCTGACATGTCTTGCGGCGGCAATATCCCTCCTCTACATGTGGACTGCCATCAAAGCCCGTCAGAACACTACCCACATTTCCGCAGAACCACGAAGCAACGGACCGGTGCCACATGCACAGATTGTTCCATACAATGCGGCCGCCAGTGCCTGCCTGGCGGTGTGGTTCTTCTTCTGGCTCTGGGCATACAATACGTTGGTCTCTCGTCGAGGGCATCAGGCGGAATGCAATTGCACGTGCTGACGATATGGGCAGTTTCCGCGCCTTTCGACCACAGTACTTCCTGCCTTTGATCGTTTTCGGTATCTACATCAACATCACATCTCTCTATGGAGCCATCTTTCCAGAGATGGAACAAGCTTACTCCCTCAGTGTGTATGGGCTCCATCAACCAGTCACCGCGCTGACCGTCTGATCGTAGCACGACATCTCCTTGACACATTCTTTGTCGGCTTCGGTCTGGCTTTTGCTGTCCACTTCGTCATTTTACCCATCACTTCAATGGACCTAGTCACATTGACTCTAAACGAATACCTCCACGTTCTCAAGGGTGTCATTGATGCGAAAGGAGCGTTGCTCACCTCCCTACCTTCTCGTGACTGGAACAACGTGAGCAAAACAAGCAGCGTCGAGAGTGACAGTGACGCCGGAGAGCCCACTGGGCGCCTGACGCCCTGGCCTGAAGCCGACAAGTGGAAAGCGCTCACAACACTAGCGACCGAATGTCAGATCAAAATCCAGTCGGAGATGCGGTACGTCAAGCGTGAAGTTACCTTCAGCAAATTGTCTGGGAAGGACTACTCTTGCATTTCGAAGTTGCTGAGAAACATCCTCATCCCCATTTCTGGACTGGGTACGGCCATCCAAGTGAACGACCGAGTTGAAACGCAAGGCGGATGGACATCTGTCAGCACTCACAAAGATGGGTCCGGCTCCGAGCTGTCGGATCGATCGCTGAATGACGTCGAAAAAGAACGATGGAGTGGGCTATTCGGCCGGATCGATCCGGCTTTCAAGCTCCTGTGGCAAGCAATGATCGAAGGGCTCGACTATGCGTTCTACACTTTGCGGATCACGAAGAAGCCGGCCTTCACCACAAAAGAAGAACTCGAGGCGCGAGGGACCGATTCACCGGAAGGGAAGGGCTTCGCGAAGTATCTTGAACAGACGATCAATCACTTTCTGGTCGAGCGAGAAGGACCTTTGAAGGATTGGTGTCGACTGAACGGCATGGAGGTATCTCAGGTGGCAAACAAGGCTTCCCATCAGCGACATACATCCCAGCTGTACCTGCTGCTCGATGTGAGTGGCGTCACCTCCGTCGTGAATTTGCGCTGACGTCTCAAAGATTGAATACTGCGTTGTTGCCACTGCAACGGGCATCCTCGACCTCGTACGATTCGCCGACTCGAAAGTCGAAGATGGCACAATGAAGAAGAAGCGCCTGATCGTTCCCAGCTGGAAGAACTGGAAAAAGTGGGCATGGGCAATCGTTCTCCGTGAAGACAGCAATCTGGACTATGCTGCGTACGCCTACCGAAGTGGCACGCCAACGGTGTACCTGGGAGATGCATTCGGCGTACATCGAGACCCCGAGCATCTCCCTCCAGTAACGTGGTGGGAGAAGACGACCAACCATTTCCGACTGATACCTCGACTGTTTGGCTCCCCAGAATCCTGGTTCGGCTTCAAAGTCGCCACGGGGACCATGGTGGTCGCGATTTCGGCCTTCCTGCGCAACTCGCAAGAGTTCTACATCAAGCAGCGTATCATCTGGGGAGCCATCATGGTGGCCATTTCCATGACCCAGACGGCCGGGTCGGGCATGTACGGTCAGTTCGTGAGGATTTTCGGCACATTCCTCGCCATGGTCTTTTCTTACATCGACTGGTACATTGTCAACGGCCACACCGCAGGGGTGATTGTGTTTGTGGGTCTCACCATGTTTCTCTACCACTATCTCATGGTGACGAAACCGAACGATCCGGTCATTCCGATGATCGGCATGATCACCGTCGTGTTGATCGTGGCGTACGAGCTGCAGGTCAAGCAGGTTGGCGTCCGGGTCTCGGAATCGAACGGCCAACTCTTCCATCCGGTCTATGAACTGGCGCCGTACCGGCTGGCGTGTGTGCTCGGCGGCGTCGGCGTCGCCTGCTTGTTCACATACTTCCCCAGCGTGACGACCGCAAGAAGCGAAATGCGACGGGACCTAGGAAACGCCCTCCATCTGCTCGGGCAATATTACAGCTCGTCACACAAGGCGGTCTCGTTGCGGCTAAAGGGCCAGGAGGGGGATATTCACGACAAGAAAAGCCCCCTTCGGAGGCTAGAAAAGGCTCGAACCCAGCTGTTCGCAAAGGAACTGATCCTGATTCAAGCGATGCAGAACCATCTGAAGTTCATCAAGTGGGAGCCCACCTTTGGAGGACGATTCCCCAGGGAGCTCTATGAACGCCTGTTGATGCACACCCAGAAGTGAGTACACACGCACCAGTCTTCTTCCCGTGAATTTGCAACCTCCAATGCTGACGACTTTTTGGTGGTAGCATCCTCCGCTTCACGGCCATGATCTCATGGACGACCAAAACGTTCCGAGATCTGCCCACGTCTGCCGACTCCCTGACCGACACATCTTCGCGCGGCGACAACAGCACCTGGCTCAAAGATTTCAAACAACTCATCGCGTCCCTAGAACTCACCTCGCAGAGCGTCACGTCCCTACTTGCCATCCTCTCCGGCGCCATCGGCAGCGGCAAACCGCTCCCACCGTACCTCCGGGCCCCTGAACGGTTCCACATGGGCGAAATGCTCTCGTCGCTCGACTCGGACATGTTGGCCACCAAACACGTCTGCGAACCAGGGTACAGTGCCTTTGCCGTCATGCAGGTCAGCACCACCATGCTGAGCGAGGATCTGGCGGATCTGCTGGCGGACACGAAGAGGCTGGTGGGTGAGGCCGAGTTCAATCTCGATGTCGATGTCGTGGCGGAGGATTATGAGAGGAATGTCGGTGTCGTTCCGACGGAGATTCGGGAGAAGAGAGATTGAAGAGAAAACAACAACAAATGGAGACGGGAGAAGAGAGATTGAAATTAACGACAACTGAAGACGGGAGGTGAAGACGGGCGAAGAGGGATTGAAGAGACAACAACAACAACAAACGGAAACGGGAGAAGAAAGATTGAAAACAACGACGAATAGAGGCAGGAGAAGAGAGATTGAAGAGAAGGACGACCACAAAAAAACGCAGGAAGATGAGGGGAATAAAAGCAAAGGAAAAGAAGGAGAAAGGGAGAAACGTTTCGTGAGTGCCCGTGGATCGGAGCACCAAGTACGGAGCACTCCGTACTCAATCTAACCTCGAGGTCGTCTAAAGGAAGATAACCTTGGCCCAAACCAATACAGAGGCAAATAATATAGTATTGGGAAGGGCACGTCTGAGCCTGGGCTGTTCATATTTGTACGAATTCAGAAATCTACACCCGAACTGTACACGAGACAGATTCCTCGAATGAACAGGAGGCAGAAGTTAATGGAGCAAGGACCCGAGCTGACCGTGCATGGGTGGTGCTTATAAGATTGGTGCTATTGATACGAGGCCAACAACATGTAGCTAATCCAGACTCTACAAGTGCAGTCTGATATACATGTTGATGTAGTGCTATAGCTCAAGCGTGTGCCATGCAGCGTCAGCCATTTCCGCATTCAGTACCGCCTCTACATCCATCTCCTTCACGACACTGTCATCCAGAAATTTCAACCCGTCATTCGCTCTCCCGCCGCATGCCTGTCCCAGAGTCAAGAATGCAAAATGACCTCCCACGACTGGTCGAGCGAAGAAGTTTGGCCCGGGAAAGTCTCCTTTCCCTTCCGTCTGGTGGAGATCCGTGAACGGTCGGTCTGTCACGGTCTCGTTCACCCACTTTGCGACCGATTGCAGAATCTCAGCTCGGACTTTGGGGGCGGCAACGGCCATGGCGAAGAACTCCCAATCGGTCTTGGTGTACAGATGCCTTGAGTCGAGGGGCAGGCCATACTTCTGTCGCACTGTGTAGTACCAATCGCTTTGCATCTGATATATATGTTTGGGCACGAAGCCATCCTTATCCCCAGGAATAGAATCCTTCAGGGGCTTCTGATACTCCAAGCGGCCCGCGATCGACGACTTGCTGGTCGACGAAGAGTTGTCCCCAAGGTGGAAGCACAGCAGGCTGTCCGCGTAGAGGTTGTAGGTGGTAGTCCAAGAACCATACCAGTTGTAGGCAACCTTGGCATGGGTCTTGTCCCGCGAAATGCCGTACTCCTCCCATTTTGCAATGTAGACCTTGGAGATGTTGTTGTACACTTTGACGTCCTCGTGATACTCGGCGATCTCGGCGATGCCAGCCATGGCTTTGATACCTATTATGCCCTTGAGGGCCAGGTTTGTCTGCAGCGCCAGCCAGCCAGCAAAATCGTCGGTCGACAGCTGATTGTGGGGCAACAAGGCGAATTCGACCAGATAGCTTGTCCACTGCTTCCATAGTCGGTAGCTCCTGTGTACCCACTTTCTGGCTTTGTTCAGGCTATCGGACTGACCAGCCCACGCATTGTCGATGTAAAGGATATCATCGTCCTTGCCGACAGACAAGGGGGCAATGTTTTCTGACAGGACCGTGGGGACCGGAACACCCGACATGGGCTGCCAGGCAGCAGAGGCAGACCAGCCCTCGCCATTCTTCAAAGCATTGGCTAGGGCCAGACCCATGATGAGAATGTTTCCACACTCTTCCACCGGCATGTATTCGTCTTGTCCAAGCGGATGGCCGGTGGCGTTGGGGAAATGAAAGCCCAGGTCGTGCATGGCATACTTGTTAGGATATTGCCCGCTCAACATGTGCTCAATGAGCGGTTCAAGGAGGTATCCGAGCCAGCGAGGGTTGGTGTACAGGAAGAATGGGAAGGCTGGGAAGATCACGTCAATGGTCTGGAAGTTTCCATTCGAGGAAATCTCCTTCAGAAACAAGATCGGATCGTCGGGCGTGCCAGAGAAGCTCGTCGCACCGAGCACTTGGCGCGCAGACAGGGCGACGATGTCCACATAGTCCTCAGCGCCAGACTTGTAAGCGTCGACAGCCAGTTGTGCCGAGTAGTTAGCTGCTAACGTCCGTGCGTGGTGAAAGTCGAGATAGTGGAAAGTGAGCACTTCTTGGACAGTAGGGAAGTAAGACTCCCACAGAGGGCGCATGTAGGTCAAGCCTCGAGCCGCCGCAAACTGGACCACTGGGTCCTGAATATGCGCGAGGGTAAATGTGACACTCTGCTGGTGGTGTGAGGCACGGGTGCTGTTCAGGGGAAATGCCTTCACAAAGGCAAACACCGGTTCCTCGTCCATGATGGAGCGGAAATCCTGGTCGACTCGGTCTCCAAGCGTCCCGGTCCGGGCAAAGTGCTGCCTCAATCGCGCCGAAACACCAGCCTCATGGCGCACGTCCGAAGGCGCCGAGAAGTATAGGGTACCCCATTCAGCACGATCTTGGAACTCGGTAAAGAGCTGCTCCACTGCCCTCTTCACTTTCCACGTCTTGAAGCCGTGGGATGTGTCCTCCAAGGCCGTATGGTCGAGTCCCCAGACAATTTTACTGCCCCGATTACCACTCACCCATTGACCGTTCACGTCGGTGTAAATGTCGAGGGGCACATTGCCTGACACGTAGACCGTGACATAACTCGCCGGGATCGACTGTCTGACCGTCGAAGTGGGGGTTATGGGCGACAAAAACGAGATGGTAATATCGATGTGGCTGGATTCCGAGTAGAACGCAGGGAGCGGGAGAGAATAGGACAGGTTGGTCGTCGAGGCATCATACGTAGCGCCGTGATAGATCGGGTAGGCAATGGTGTAGCTGCCCTTGAGGTCAGAGCCACTTCTAGGGGTCAAGGAGGAGCAGGACCATACTTCTGATCCTTCTTGGGCAGAGAATCTTGAGGCCTTCCCAGCAACGGATACGCCGTCCGTTGATCCGGCACACTGGCGAGGATGGAGAAGCCGATCTCCTGGCCTGTCCAGAACATGGGCCATTTCTCCCACGGCGGGTCTCTCGCGTTGCCCAGCCATGTGCTCAGGTACGGGTTGCGCACAATCAACGGCAGCACGGGAGGAGTCAAGCGCGACGACTCGACCAAGGAGGGGACGGCAGCGAGAAGTGCCCATGCGGAAACCAGCCGCATGATGGGCCACAGCAGACGAAGAACGGCGTGGCTGCTCCAAAACACACAAGGTAACAATAGAGAGCTTGAAGCCAGCGAAGAATGGAGGAGCTGCCCGAACAAAGAATGCGAAGGGAAGCAAGCTGCTGATGCTGATGGTCAGCCGATCAAACTGGCTGCAACACCATCCACACCATCGCCGCTTCTCCAATCACGCAATGACGGCATCGAGGGTGCGTGACCAGCAGCGACCACAGATCCTCGGCAGCCCCATGTTACGCTATGCCTGTTCCTGTCGCGTACCTAGGCCGTCTGTGGCTGTCCTTGCCAGCTCTTCGCTTGGACGGTCAGCCCAACACGAGATAAGGTACTGGACGCATCGCAGCTGGTGTCCTTTGCGTCGCGTGTCTCAAGGTACACGGGCTCGAATGTACCAACTCGCCAGAATGGTATCGAGGAGCCCCCAGTAATGGACGGCCTGCGAGTGTTACTGTAACGTGGCATAATTCCCTCCATGCATCTATGTGCAGGTGACAAGTGGCAGTATTCTATCAAGACTAATGCACCTCGGCCAGCTTACACTGAAATCACCTGTCCGTCAACATAGATGCGACGATAAAAAGTGCCATTTCGTCCACAGATATCCCCATCCGCCACCTCCGGTAGCATGTCGAGTAACAGCGGCGGAGAGGAATTTCCGAGATGGATTGGTCGGACGTCCGCTCACTCTCACTCTCACTCGTCTGCTTCGCTATCATGATGCCCCCTGGCCTCAAGGTAGTCTCGTCGTTCATCGGAGCGTCTCATTGTCCGGGTCGCCACACTACCCATCGTCGACTGTACTGTCGTCCTTCTGTCGACCTCTTCGGACCAGAAAGCCCAGCTTCCGCCTAGAGACTGGCCTATTTAGAAAGCTCTGAGTTGGCCGTTACTGTTGCTGGTGCAGTCGCCACGCAGGGTGTCGACAGCGACGGAGCGGTTGAAGCCACTGTAGGTCCTCGTCCCGAAGCTCCTCTCTCGTACAACACTGGCATGTGAGCAGGCGTTTTCCAGAGGCGCAGAAGGGTGGCGGCTTAGGGTTTCGGATTGGTAGAACACATCACGAAATCCAATGACTTAATTTCAGCCATATAGCTCGCGTGAGTTCATGTCCTGCAGGACGTCGAAAAGGAGCTGTGTATTCACCCGACAGCCGGGTTCGGAAGGCCGTGGTAGAGCGAATCCCGCGGCAAGTCGGGCTCTGATCTCCTCCATCTCTGTCGGCGTAGGGTGATATTGATCAATCATCTTTTTGGCTACAGAGCATTGGATAGTATTTCCGTCGTCCACCAGCGGTGGTCCTTCGGACGGCATGAGAAAGGTATCGCAACAAAAGGGGATTTCCATGGACTCCTTGTCATCCGGCCGCAGGGTCCAGCCCTCCAGGGTGGGCGAGATATCAGCGGTCAGGGACAGATCCATCGCGTCGGTGGTCGGAGCAGCCATGAACGGCACCGCCTGCTGGTTGCCAAACGCGCCGGGAGCATCCATGGGCAAGGCGGGAGCCGATGCGCAAAGCTGCGAGGAAGTCAAGGTCGGAGGGCAGCACTGGCCGGGACTCGATGCCTGTGTCATTGCATTCGTGGTGTCTGGTTGTTCGCCTGGGAACGCTGGCTGGAATTTGGGTCTAATGTGACGGTGCGCAGCCGCCTGTGCTGCTGCCTCACTGTGGCGGCCAAATCCATCGACCAGATCAGGATTGATGCCGGCGGCCTTTAAAATATCTCGCAAACGGGCATTTTCGACCTGGAGATGGGCGAATGCAGAGCGCTGCAGCTCGGCCTCGCGACAGTTGATATGGCACTCTTTCACCCTTCTCTCGAGATCAGCGAGGTACTCCTGCCGACGGGCTCGACTGCGTCGTTGGTTGTCACGAATGCGTTCCTGCTTCGATTTGGGCGCGGTGGACGCGGAACTTGCACTGCCGTCGGACGCCATGCCTGACGGGAATCGACATGTCGCTGACAGCGGGGCTACTTATACGCACACAGCATGACAGAAGCAGTGATGTGAAAGTTTCCCGCGGGCACAGCCTGAAAACTGAGGTCACGGTGATATGTCAATCCGGCGCTGAGTAAAAGCTAAAAAGCCATTGGCGGGGCATCTACGGCCACACGGGGTACCGTCAATAGGACCGGGGGGCCATTGGTGACGCGTCAGAAGCAATGCCAGTTCTGGGTATCCCTCATTACCCCGTAGAAGGATGGACGAGGGTGGAATCGCGAGCATCCAAAAGGTATCACACGGAGAGCTCGAGCGGAGCAGACGAGACTGAACATGATGGGTGCGCGAAGCTAAACAGCCAGATCAACTATTGATGGTTGGGGCAACCTCCGGAGAGCCAAAGGCCACTGAAAGCGCTTCGATGCGCCGCGGAAGTCGTGGCTGTAACTTAAGCTGGCCGAGGGTGTACAGGCCTTGAATGAATGCGGCAGGTGATGTGAGCTGTGCGACAAGAAAGGTCGATGATTCCCGCAATTGAGTTTGGAGCCCAGGCGGTTGACTGCATGGTCAAGACGGACTCAGCTCCCGCACGAACATCACAAAGTATATCAGGATAGAGTTGACACTATCTTGTGGGGAGGACTGCCGTCAAGGGCAGATCACCGAGGTCGCAGTAGCAGTAGCAGTCGCAGTCAGCGGCACGAATGCGAGGTACAGGACTGAAGAGTACTCGCAGCCGGTACTGTAAACTTCTTCGTGGCTTCTGCCGCGACGGTCCCTGCAGATCTTCAAGGTGGCCATGGCGCTTCGCCACCACCGCCATGAGACTCGAGCGTACAGAGTATAGTTTGGGACAGGTCGTGCGAGACGAGTACCAGCGAGTGTGCGAACCACCCGTTGAGATGGAGTCCGTACACTCTGCTCAATCTTCGCAGGCGGAAAACCCGCAGACGTTGCTTTCGTCTCGCTCCAAACCACTCCCACGATCCGCCCCTCCTCCTCAAACGGCAGTCTTTCCCAAGACGCAATGACCCCTCTTCTCCAGAGGAAGCCACAGAGTGTTCGGCTTTCTCGTCGATGGACCTTTATTTGTCAAGAGACGGTGGACAAACCTTGGGAGCGATCCGCCTGGACAACTAGTCGTGGGAGGCGCCACCCAATCACGCTCGACGCTCGCCGACTGTGCATGATAATAGCCTTTCGCACAAGGCTCAAGAGTGCAGGACAACGCTGCCGTCTTGCCAGTGTCCTGAGAATGGATCCGAGCAGGTTGACATCCGCCCCTCCAGCTCGGTGTGTCTCTTGTACCGACTCTCAGGCCTGAGCACGATTTCATCCACACAAACGACCTTGACGCACTGCGAGAGCTCCAGCACGACATGCGCCCTCTGGAGGCCACGAAGTCAAAACCTGAGCTTCATTCGCGGATACACTTACCAATAACAGCCTCATGGGGCGCGCGCAGTCGGAAGATCGCGCCAGACTCTCACGTGTCGGCGAACCTGCTCTCAACCTTCCTCTCCGCCACACGCTGAGCTGTCTGGCTTGTCCGAGAGAATATCAAGGCGTGCAGGTCGATTTAGGTTCCGCACAGTCGGAGGGCTCCGATGACTGCTGATTGCCGGCTCGTTTACCGCATAGCTCAAGAAATCAAGTCGATGGTCGGATCGCACCTGTCGTGCTCTAAAAACAGGATAACCGGGCTGGCACGGACGAAGTCTTGCCAAGAAAGGTGAATGGCAGGTGTCGATGAAGAAAGAGAGAGGTCGATTCTCAAAGGTTGCAAAAACTTTTCCCCTTGAACCATCATCCACATTATCCTGCGGTGTTGGATCGAAGGTAAGTGAAACCTTTTCTGTCCGGTTTGGGCAGCAGGTTTTTCCCGCAAACGATTCTACAAGTGTCGTGACAACCCCATCCCTCAAAGTGCCCATTAACTGTGAAACCCTGGCCAAGAAGCGGATGACTTTGTCCGGGATTGTCGAGACAAATTTGCCGTTCGAAATACATATGCCTAAAAGGGGAGCAATTTACTTGATTGGAGTGAATGTGAAGAGGGTGAGGCAGGAAGACCGCGATGCTGGTGGCGAGGCTCGGGATGGTGAAGACATCACACACGCGGCCACGTTGGCGGGACAGGAAAGCCCGGACATGAACACGGGACGCAGGCATCAGACCCTCGGCCACGGTTCTGCCGCTCTACGGGTGTCGTAGAACTCTCAATCGCAGTGATCCTGCCATCTGGTGCCATTACGCATCGGAAGTGTCCCGAATCTTGGAACCCCTGGAACCCTTAGCCCGACATGAAGTGTGGTTGTCCTTTTAAGGCGTGCCGCAGTATCGCGCTTGAGGATGTCATTACATAGCCCGCCGTTCTGGAGTAAGGCCTGGCATTAGCTCAGTCATGGCAAAGGCGAAAACGTGCGAGTCCAATGTCCCATCGTGTCCCGATCTCTCCGGCAATTTTACAAATCCAGTACGACGGTTATTCCGACGGCGCCGGGAGGCCTACAACTTGGACTGCCCACCGCTCACACGCTTCAACTCCAAGGGATCCCTCGCTTGCAGTCCATACTGCTTCAGCAACTCCCGGGACTTTGCCTTCTGCGCCTCAATCTTCTTCAAGAGAGCCGCGCCGCGCTTGTTCTCGTTCCGTCCCAATTGCAGCATGTGCACCTCATCAGGACCGTCCACGATCCTCATGGTCCGTCCGTTTGCCCACATGAACGCCAAAGGAGTCTCCTGCGAGACACCGGCGCCACCGTAAGCCTGAATCGCGCGGTCGAGCACGTCCAGGAGCATGTTGGGCACCTGGACCTTGACCTCGGCGATCTCCTTCAGCGCATCCTTGGCGTTGGACTGGTCGATTTTAATGGCCGCGTTGAGCACCGCCAGGCGGGCAGAGTCGATTTCAATGCGTGAGCGGGCGACGCGTTCGAGCATGATGCCATGTTCGGAAAGGTTCTTGCCGAAGGGGCGTCTTTGGGGATCGTTCATGCGGGCAAGGAAATATTCCAGTGCTTTCTCGGCCTGGCGGGGGGTGGCGGCCCGATTAGTATGTTTCCAGCAGCGGCAGCAGCAGCAGCAGGAGAACTGCTATGAATGGCACTTACAGCACCAACAGATCTCATCGCGTGGTGGATACGACCGGGCCCCAGACGGCCTTGGACAACCTCGAACCCACGGCCCTCGCCAAGGATCATGTTGCTCTTGTGCACCCGGACGTTGTTGAAGCGGATGTGGCCGTGGCCGTGAGGCGCGTCGTCAAACCCAATGACGGAGAGCATGCGCTCGATCGTAATGCCCGGGGTGTCTGCCGGCACGAGAATGACCGATTGTTGACGGTAGACGTTCTTGTTGCCAGGGTCCGATTTGCCCATGACGATGTAGATCTTGCAGCGGCGGTCACCGGCACCGCTGGACCACCATTTCTTCACACTGCTGTCAGAGAACACTGATTCCGGCGTAGACCGTGATGCAGAGAGAGAGAGAGAAACACATACCTGGCCGTTAAGCACGTAGTAGTCCCCGTCCTTCTTCATGTTCAACTCGATATTCGTCGCGTCGCTACTCGCCACTTGTGGCTCCGTCATCAAGAAGGCCGACCTGATCTCGCCGTTCAACAGCGGGACCAGCCACTGCTTCTTCTGCTCCTCGGTGCCGTACTTTGCAAAAACCTCCATGTTGCCCGTGTCCGGGGCGGCGCAGTTACAGGCCTCACTCGCGGTCACAGATTTGCCCAGATACTCGGCCATAAGTCCGTACTCGAGGTTCGAAAACCCGGCGCCTTCCTTGAAGTGGTTCTTGGGAAGGAACATGTTCCAGAGGCCCAGCTTGCGGGCCTTGGTCTTGAGATCTTCGATGACCCGCGGGTGCGAGTCGAAGCGGGAGACGGTGTCATGGCCCTTTTCGTTGATCTGCTGAGCGAAGACGGCGTCGGCGGGGACGCAGTCTTCTTCGACGAAGCGTTCGACCTATGCATTGAGACGGTTGGTTCATATTTTGATACTCTCGTGGATTGTCCGTGTTCTCTCCGCTTTTTGAAAGAAAGACTAAACAATGGATTTCATGGATTTGAGAGCTTGGGGACAGCGGGTTTCTAGAGAATTTCTTGTTCCTTCCCAGGTCTTGTGATTCCACGGTCCAGGGTCCTCTCTTCCGTTTCTCGTCATATGACACATGGGAGCGAAAACAGAGCATCAATGAGACAGGGATACTACTTACCAGGTCCAAGGTCTTCTTCGCCCGCTCGCTGACGAAGGGCCTGGCGATAACCGGGATCTTCTCGGAGGCGGAAATGTGCCCGGTGGCGCTGTTGAGGAGGTAAGGGACCGACATTGTTGTGTGATTGATTTGTTGTGAGCTGGAGAATTCCTGGAGAAGTTGACCGGCCAAGATATAGAAGATGGATAGGTACTCCGTACACAGTCCGCAGTGATTAAATGAGGTCTGTGTCTGGATTTAGTGATCAGATCAAACGGCCGACCTTACTGTACCAGACAGCTTGGAGCCGGTTGCGACGGTTACTCTTCGCATATTCCGATAACCGAGGCTACCGTCTCCGAATCTGGCCAGTGACTTCCGATTGCTTGGAGACGAGTCGAGCGTGTGGCACTGCTCCAAGTACCCCGGATTATCAGGCGACTCGTCGTATGATCGGGGCGTGGCTCTCAATCCTGATACAGAAACGGTTCAGCTCGGTAGCAGGCCATTTTGGGTTACCAGTGCTCGGTGCTATGCAGCACATTGTAACATGGCCTTGCCGACGCTGAGGGCTGCCACATGCCACGTCTCGCCTCATGTTCTCTGTGCCGCGAGGACGACGCAGAAGACCATCACCTGTATCAAGACCGCAGCACGACACTCCGCGAACCTGGTGGTGTTTCCGGAGTCTGCAATCCCCGGATTCCCGGTGTGGTCCTCGTTACTTCCGCCGACACAGACTCACCATTTCTTTCAGCGCATGGTACAGGAGTCCGTGTATGTCGATGGTGACGAGATCTCTCAGATCCGCCAAGCAGCGCGCAAAGCCCGCGTTACTGTGAGTCTAGGCATATCTGAGAAAGTACGGTATAGCTCTGCAACGCTGTTCAACACGAACTTGATCATCGGAGAGGATGGGGAGATCCTGGTCCATCATCGCAAATTAATGCCTACGTTCTACGAGAAGCTCACGTGGTCGCCTGGAGATGGTCACGGTCTCCGTGTTGCAGAGACCAAGTATGGCAAGATCGGGGCCCTGATCTGTGGCGAGAACACGAATCCCCTGGCGCGGTATTCTCTCATGGCGCAGGGCGAGCAGGTCCATATCTCCAGCTGGCCGGCCATTTGGCCAACACGGCCTCTAGATGATGCTGCTGATGCGGCCTCGACCAAGAAAGAAAGTCGCAATTATGACAATATTGCGGCGAATCGTACCCGAGCGGCCGCGCATTGTTTCGAGGCCAAATGCTTTGGCATCATGAGTGCGGGCCACATCGATGAAGCAGCTATGAGCGAAATTGCTGCAATGACGGACGCGCCCGAAGCGATGCTGAGAAAGCTCGCAAGCTACCCTCGGGCGGCGAGTCAATTCCTGGACCCGACCGGCAGGACTGTCGACGACTGCTTGGCCGTAGATGTCGCTACCGACCAACAACTGGATGGACAGAGTGTCGTGACGGATAAGGAGGCGATCCTCTTTGCGGACTTGGATTTGAACGAGTGCATAGAAGGCAAGCAGTACCATGATGTGGTTGGAGGGTACCAGAGGTTTGATGTATTCACGTTGCAAGTCAATCGGCAGAGACACGAGCCTGTACAATTTCAGGATGCATCTCTTCGTGACCCTGGGAAGGTCAATGAGCAAAGTTCCGGTGGAAAAGAGAGTACGAAGATAGAGTAAATTCCGGTGGAAGCTCAGCTTGGTGGTCACCTATCTAAAGTAACACTCAGTCAAGGCTTGTCCATCCAGCTCGGCTCTCAACGCGTCTTGCTTCGTTCAGCATGGCTGAGAAATAACCATGCTGTTTCTTTGCCACGCATCGGACGTTCTTCAAGAAATGTTCACAGAGGTACTTCGTACTGAGGCCGACTTCGATCCGGGCGATAACAGCCCCGGATGCGGCCCGATACGCAACTTGCGACGAAGTCACGTGACTGTCTCGGATGCTATGTTTTTCCGCCCCGACCCAAAATTTCCTTGCCGTCCTGTATCAAGTGACTAACTCGCAACTCAAGACTCGTTGTCGTCACTCGCTGTTCGTGCTCCGAATTAATCGTTCCATTCCTTTCTTGATTGTACAGCATATTCGTATCCGAGGCTTTGCTTGACAGGACTGCACTGACCCCGACGCTGAACATACACCGAGACGTATGATTTTTCCTGCGGCGACGCCCAAGCCTTTCCCGGGTACCACGTCCAGAGGAGAAGAAAACCTCATCCAGCAGCCCCGAGAGACTGGACAAGTAGTTCCGGTCGGACACAATGGCAGTACGACTACGGTGACAGAAGGCGGGCCCAAGGCCAAGCCATGGGCTCATTTCGTTGCGGGAGGGTATGCGCGCGTTGGGGTATTGGGATCCTGAACCACACTGACAATATACAGGCTCGGTGGTATGGCCGCCGCGACCCTCACCTCTCCCCTCGATGTCCTAAAGACCCGATTACAATCAGACTTCTACCAGGCACAGCTGAGACAACTCCACGCCCAACACCATGTACCGCAGAAACTCACCTTCACATCGGTCCCTCGAGCCGCATATTTCCACGTTGCAGAGACCATTCAACTGCTTAATTCGATCTACCAGCATGAAGGCTTCAGAGCGCTGTTTCGCGGTCTTGGTGCCAACCTAATAGGTGTGGTTCCCGCACGAAGCATCAATTTCTTCGTCTATGGAAACGGGAAGAGAATCTTGAATAACTACCTGAACCCCGAGGGACGAGAGAACGCCTGGAGCGTTCATCTTCTAGCGGCAGCTACAGCTGGTGTTGCCACGGGTACAGCGACCAATCCCATCTGGGTTGTCAAGACCCGGCTGCAACTCGACAAGAACAACGCGAGCAACGATCCTTCCAGAGGACGACAATACAAAAACAGTTGGGACTGTATCAGGCAAACTGTCCGACACGAGGGCTTTCGAGGCTTGTATCGAGGTCTGTCAGCGTCTTATCTGGGGGTCACCGAATCTACGCTGCAGTGGGTCCTGTATGAGCGGATGAAGCTGGCACTGGCTAGACGAGAAGCCCGACGACTCGCGGCTGCTGGCTACCAACGGACCATGCTCGACAACGTGGAAGAATTTGGAGGCAAGTTCGGTGCAGCCGCCAGTGCCAAGTTGTTTGCCGCTGTCATCACATATCCGCATGAGGTCGTGAGGACTAGATTACGGCAGGCTCCGACCGTCATCTCCGAGACAGGAAGGCCCACGATGAAATACACCGGTTTGATCCAGTGTTTCCGCCTGGTTGCCAAAGAAGAAGGCTTGGCTGGGCTGTACGGAGGCATGACACCGCACCTGCTTCGGGCCGTGCCCAGTGCGGCGATCATGTTCTCCACCTATGAGATTGTCCTGCGGCTTTTTGGAACGACTTCATAATCGCAAGGCGCTGCTCGCTCAACACCCGTACTCGACGGCTCTGACGACAATGTACAGTACTATGTAACTCATACAGAACGGTTTTTCTGGGTACGATTCTCGGCGAAGTACTTGTTGCATGTAAATGGCGCTCGGGACAGGCGTAGACCATGGAAGGCTGCTTGGCCCTTGACGACGAAGATACCCAGCTCCGAATTTGTACGATACGAAGACAAATTTCCAACATAGCCGAAATGGAGGCTCCCGAGCTCAATGGCTGCTGGGTTGGCTTTTACCATATATATATGGCTAGCGAGTGCCTTCGAAGACCACGTCGGAGACGCAAAAAGACCTTCATTAATTACCAAAAGTCCAGCTCGAGAAACAGATCGATTGGACGGCGACTCGATCATCGGCTGCTCAGCCTCAACAGCCACTGTCGCCTTGCATAGGGCCTTTTGCTCCCCGGTCGCCGTTGCCCTTCCTCCCGCTTCATTATTTGTTTAACTTCTTATTTCATCCCGTCCTCGCTGCCTAAATTCCTGCTCCTACCATGACTACGACGACCGCTCACCAGACGACCAGCTGCATGACCCGAGAGGACCGCGGCCTGACACTAACCGCAACCCTCGTCAACCTCGACGAGCACACTGGCCCAAACGAGGTCCGGGGTTCTGCAACATCCGAGTTGTTCCACAACATAATTCCGAACTAAATTTCGATCGTGGTCGAATCGCCATCGGAGTACTCGGCTCCATTCTTCGATGCACCAAAAGGCGCCCCTGACTACAGATCGTATCTGACCCTGTTAGAAGCACCTCACATCAGACTCGTCGTATCTTGTTGGTCGGGGTAATGGACATCGTGCAGCTTCCGGATTGCGCCCAGTCAGCTGCAGACTCTTCATTTCAAGATATCGAGCATTCCGATACTTCTCCCACTACGAATCCCTCAACAGAGACACCCAGGAGATCCGCATCCTGACGCTCCTGCCTGGTGATGAAGACGAAGATGTGATCACTTGCAGCCTGGCGAAAGTATCTTTATCAGCTGCCAACCACTTCTATGCGCTCTCTTACTGTTGGGGCTCTCCAGGAGAGACAGCCGAGATTATGGTCAATGGTGAACGTGTCCATATCCGCAAGAACCTCTGGAACTTCCTATGGAACCTCCGAAAGCTGTTTGTCGGGCCTATCAGAGTCTGGGTAGACTTTTTGTGCATCAACCAACACGACATTTTGGAACGCAACTTTGAGGTCGGTGTGATGGGCGAAATCTACGCATCTGCCGACAGAGTCATCGCGTGGCTCGGTGATTCCAGCCCAGAGTCCGAGGAGGCCCTCAATTATCTCGAAGAGGTCTCCCGTCTGCCGCAGCAGCGACGCGAGAAAATGGCCATTGGGTGCAATGACAAGACTCCAACGCGTGCCCTCAAGCATCTGATCTCAAGACCTTACTGGAGCCGACTGTGGATCATCCAGGAGGTCCTTTTGGCCAAAGATGCCCTCATTATGGTTGGCGCAAGATTCACCGGTTGGAGGACTCTGCACTCCGCGACTCGATACATGATATTCAAGACCGAACTTCACCCTAATGAGGAAAGGCAGCCATACCGCGACCATCAAAGCGTAAGCAGAAGGATATTTCGATCAATCAGCGAGACATCACAGGGACTCGTAGGCTCGAGTCAACTAAGTGTGCTTGTATCCAATTTTCGCGCAGCGATTTGCCATGATCCTCGGGACAGAATCTATGGACTTCTCGCTTTAGCGCGTCCCGAAATCCGGGCAGTGGTGAAAGTTGACTACGATGGTCCAATTTTGCAAACATTCATAAGGAATTATGAGCTATGGCGTCGGCCTGGATTTACGCGTGCAGGCCACAGATCTTGTGATTTTCAATTTTCGAGATATGTCGGGTTCACGACCGAATTCCCTGGAGACATATTTCGCTCACTCTCAAAGTCCATTGTGGACAGCAGGACCGTCCTGTGCGCCGTGTCTTCGAGATTGCCCAGAATGCCCGCCGTCAAGTTCTTTCATGCGACGGAGTCGGTTTGTCCCTACCACGCCGAGCTCGACCTATTGCGGCATGATGGCATCTTACGCTCCAAATTTAGCGCGACCATGGTATTTAAAACATTGCTCTGCTTCGGTGAGGTATCCTACTCGACATTCGCAGTGGCCAAGGCTCCGGAATTCTCCGTGGTTCCTGTGGCAGAGCATGTTGGAACAAGCCACACAGCTGTTGCAATTTATGTTTCGCATGTGAGGATCAAAGATACACACTCACACAAGTCTGGACACATGATCTACACCACTATAGTGCCCGAGGCTGGCGACCTTCTGATCCACTTGCTGGCTACAGTTCTCATTGTACGAAACTCCACGGCAGGCTGGAACATCGCCGATGTCGGATATGGGCAGAGCTCCTCCGACGTACTCATGCCCCTTCCCTGGAATTGGCTCAGCCATCGAATCCCTGACATTTCCTATTCCATTGTCTCCCCTTGCCAACCTGTTGCTCCGTTTGAAGACACTTATGATGACAGGCACATCGCGTGTGACCTTGAGCTAAATGGGCCCGCCATCGCCGAACTTTTGAGAAATGCGCTGCTTTCAAGCCCTGGTAACCCACTTGACGTTGCAAAGTGGGATGCTGGAGCAATGGTCTTGGAACACGGTATATGGGTCGAATGAGACTGTCTGTAACAACGATACTACCTGTATACGTTGGCGCATAAGGTAGCACGCTTACACAGGCTGGCCCTTCTTGACACCCCTGTAGGCTTCAGCCAACGAACGCAGGCTCCGCCATGGGCTGGAGAAAGCACCAACTCATCCAGTTCCCCTTCACTTTGTTGGCACAAGTTACACCGCAGCGCTGTTCAGGCCCGTCCAATCGAGCTGGTGAGGTTGCTATACCCCGGAAGAACATGCTCTATCAGAAATTGCCTGGGGTATAGTCTCATGAATGGCAAACTGCTGGATTCAGATGGGAGGAAATTCGGCCAATGCAAGACTTCGCGGAACTGGACGACATGGCATCGCGTGCTCGACCGTTCTCAACCTGCAGCTTACACAGTACCTGGAGACGGTGGTTTTCCTACTGTATCTTAGCCCGACTATCTCTCTATAGTACCTCGTAGCAGGGCATTCATACAACGCTTCTCTATTGAGCGCGGCAGCATTGCGGTCGGTGTGGTAAAAGGAGTGGGCACCCGGCGGCTGTCCGCTTGGCGCTTTATCAAGCAAGCCTCTGCATAGAACTACCGTCGATGGCTTTACCAAATGTCTTGTTCAGAATAGCCATCGCGGTCGTGAGCTGGCAGGAGTACCTCGTACGTACTCCGTACATATCTAACTTTACCCCAAGCAAGGCCACGAGGCTGAACTTGGCCGGCAGAACTTCGGGCACATAAATACCTTTTGTTTACATCTGATCGTCAAGATCCTGGTCTCGCATCTGTCAACCCGCAGAAGACATCACAGTCGAAACAGAAAATAGAGCACCAAGTCACCGATCGGAGAAAGAATATCGTCATTTTGGCCCACGCCACTTCCCTAGCCAGGATAAAAAAACAATGCCACCCGTCGACTACTCCTCCACGCTCGCGACACTGCGCGCCCAGCAAGCCGCGCAACCACTCTCGATCCTCGCGCTCGCGGAGCCGATCACCTCGTCCCAACAACAGCAACCTCAGCCTCAAGCAGCCTCCCGTCCATCAGACACGCTCTCGGCCTCAGAAGCCGACTCCTCCTCTCTGGCACTCACGCCCGCGACCTTGGCGGCCGACCTCACGCACTACAAGGACCTGTTCTCGAAGCTCCGCTTCAGCTACCTCGAACAGGTCACCAAGGAGAAATACCTGCGCAGCATCGTGGGCGATCCGCCCCTCCTGGTCAGCCATGGCGACAACCTGGCGCTCGAGCAGACGCTGGCGACCATGAAACACGACCTCAAGGCCAAGAAAGAGGAGGTCGACGCGCTGGTCGCCGCCATGGAGGAGCGGGCGCGGGACGTCGCGCAGCGGTACGACGCCGTGCAGGAGGGGATGGACGTGCTGGACCGGGTGCCGCTCGAGATCGAGGAGCTGAGGCGCGAAGTTGAGAGGTTGGGCGCCGAAATTGCCGCCCGGCGTGGCGAACGGCACGACGGACCACCTTCCGATCCGAGGATGAGGATGTCGTTGGCGGAGACGGAGGAGGCGCTCGCGGCCCAGAGGGCCAGAAATGCCGAGGTCGATCGCATGATTGCCGATCTGCAGGACAGGATGCCGGCGAGGGTGCGGGACGTGGAGAGCATGGACCGCGAATTGGCCGAGTTGGAGAGGAGACGGAACGAGGCTGCGAGGTTGGCCGTGGAAGGGAGACGGAGGAGAGAGGAACAAGGCGGCAGGGACGAGATGGAGGAGCTGGGCCGGTGGTACAGAGCGAGCGAGGGCGTTATGAAGGGGTTGATGGGCGTGGAAGGGACGGTTGGGTAGCGTGTAATACTTTTAGCATGCTTGCGTCAATGCACTTACGAGACAGAAAGACACGAGGACTTTACGTGACGGAAGATCGAGCAGCCTGTGGCTGGCGGGCATGATAGTGGCACCAGGAACTGAAACGAAATGTACAAGATGATACCCCGAGTGAGAAGAGAGGAAACTGGACATGGCGTCCATCATATGCATGAATGACGACGAAACTCTTCTTTTGAGGGATTTGATTCGGTCGGTCACTTCTCATCTCGGAATAACTTGCTGAGTAAACATTTCCAGCTTTGGACTTTCTGAATTTCTTTGATGCCTTTGCCACGAGAGCCATGAAGCTGATTGCCATTTTGGAAACCTCTCAGATGGCCCCGGGTTTTGGATGCCCGTCTTCTCCTCGCTGACCACTGGTATCAGTATCGTTTGGGTCCGCTCAAGTCAACCTATCGTAACCATCAGGGCTGCCATGGAACATGACGAGATGACGGCCCACATTCGATAATGTCGTGATGTGACGTGATGTGATCTACTCCTCGTCCTCGCCGGCCTCCTCATCGTCACCATCGCCCTTCTCCGCGGCCTTGGCCTTCTTCCTCCTAACACGACCAGGTCGGCCGCCGCCAAACGGACTCGTCAGGGCAAAGTCAATGTGCTTCTGGCTGTCGAGTCGGACCACAAAGCTGGGGACATTGACGATCTGCTTGCCGACGCGGATGTGACGCTGCTTGATCAGCACACGGGCGTGGTGGATCGACTTGGCCAGCCCGAGCTTGTACACGCAGGTCTGCAGGCGGCGCTCCAAGAAATCTTCGACCTTGAGTGCGAGCACGTAATCGAGCTTCATGCGCGATTCGTCGAGCACACCGACACGGACGAGACGGCGAATGAGGGCGTTGCCTTCGAAGAGACGCTTGGGGTCCTTTTCGTCGAGGGTCAGGAGTTGACTGCAGGTACATCGTTCGTATCAGTAACTGGTGCGCAAGAAGAAATTCTTGGTGGACGCTCTGCAGCAAGAGCAACGTGTTGCTGCGAAGGCGTATGAACAAGCAAACGGGGAAGGTTCTGATAGCATACCGAGCAGCACGACGGATCTTGGACAGAGTAAGCTGGACGCGCCAGACTTCACGCTTGTTGCGCAGACCATATTCGCCGACGATCTTGAGTTCGGAGTCACTGTGGGCGTAGATGTCAGGACGGATATCTCAGACATGAAGCACAGGCAAGCTGATGCTCAGTGGCCAGGATATGGATGTTTTTGTCAAACGTACAGACGGGCAGATTCGAAGGCTGCGAATATGTCAGTCCTGTTATTGCAGAAGATTGAGCGCAGCGCTTACGTCGACGAGGGACCTTGTAGGTCTTGGAGTAGGACCGCGGCGCCATGATTGCAACACAGTGTGCGCAATCGAGTTATCAGTTGACGAAGTGGCCGAGAAGTTGCGGTTGGGAGGTTCGAGGTTGGTGGTTTAGACGTTTCTGATGATAAATTGCCGCGTGTGCGCAGTTCGAGTGGGCGTTCGCAGTCTTGGCACGCACAAAACAATTTGTGGGTCTGGGCCTTGGCGTTTTCTCAGGGCAACTGCGGCGGACACGACCACAGCGACACCACACAGCGAATATCCTGAAGTGTGTAGCGACGATTAATACCACGACAACCCACACGTCTCCTCGATCTCATCCGTCGCAATGGGTCACTCCGCAGGTCTACGATCCGGCACGCGCTATGCCTTCAGCCGCCAACACCGCAAGAAGGTATGAACCGTGCAACAGAAATGTGCGAACAAGATCGGACGACTGACGATACCGCGCACTGCGCTTGGTAGGGCATGATCGCTCTGGGCACGTACATGAAGACATACCGAGTCGGTGACATTGTCGATATCAAAGCCAACGGTGCTGTCCAGAAGGGTGTACGTGGAATCTCTTATTCGCAGTCCTTAATCCCAACCACATCCGAACCCAGCTGCAAATTCAGATGAGAGACGACAGAGAATAGAAAAAAAAATAAGAGCACATGCTGATCTGGCCCCCGAAACAGATGCCCTACAAGGTCTACCACGGCAAGACGGGCGTTATCTACAACGTGACGAAATCCGCTGTCGGCGTCATCGTCTACAAGAAAGTCGGCAACCGATACATGGAGAAGCGAGTGAACGTCCGTGTTGAGCACATCGCACACTCGAGATCGAGAGAGGAGTGTAAGTCCACAACCTCTGTCCATGAGTACTGGGTGCACAATGATGCATTATCATCTGGCATATCTTTGAAGACTCGCTCGCAAAGGTGGAATGTGTTTATCCCGAATTAAACATATGCTGACCACGCTGGCCATTCAATAGTCCTGAACAGAGTCAAGTCCAATGCCCAACGCCGCCGCGAAGCCAAGGAGAAGGGCGAATCCGTCCAGCTGAAGCGCATGCCTCAGGGTCCCCGAGGCTCGCACACGGTCGATTTCTCAGAGGTCGAGAGTCTCGCCCCTCAACCATACGACACCCACATCTAAACGAACCGGAAGAGCGGTGGGTAGTGTATGCTGCAGGGTGCTCAGCTGGGAAATTGGTCCGGAATCGCTCGCACTGCTTCCTTCAGCTAGCCGCGCTTAGGTGACGAGGTGAACGATGTCTACCGCGAACCGGGGAAGGGTACTGCTTGTGCTATTGCACACGGCTCTATTGCTTAGGAGCGGAGGACAGGGTCTGGCAGAGCTGCTCGAGTGTGTGAGATGCGTCAGACTTCTGTGGACGATGGCATGAGCATGGGCATTGCATCGCAGGTGTGATAGAAGACGCATGAATGTCCCTCCATACTCCCAAGATGATACCTTCAAGCGTTGAATTGTCCTTACTTTCTGAAGGACTTGCACATGGCAATCCCACAGATCCTGTTTAACGATCACTTCCCTGGCTTTCTCGCCTGAAGACCGAGTACCAAAGTCTCGAGTCTTTGTCGCAAGATGAGATTACGGTCACGATTAAACCATGTCAAGTGCACGAGAGTTGCCTTTTCACCTCGTTGAGGTACGGAGTAAGAAGCAGATCATCGCAGCGCAGCCTGGCTCATCGCATACGTGTGTGCTTACTTCAGGCTTTCTTGGACCAGCATGTCGCCGTGAACAGATCTGTGGTTCCTCCCAGGGACACTCTCTCCACGGTCCTTTACGGCTCTAGTTAAGGACCACCACGCCCATAAGAGGACTCCCCTGCCCTGTGATGCCTTTGTCCCACTAAGCTCTTCTGGCTGGTATCAGATTCACTTTGTCCACCACCGACGTAATTCGAGACTCTGTCGTCACAATGCTCCGGACTGTGACCCGAGTCTAAAACCCGCAATATGTGGACGCCTCCCGATGCTCTCCGGTACCATGCTGATACTGTACCCATTCGTATGCGTTTGTTTGCAAGACGCCGGCCCCTGTTACACCTTGTATCCCGCCCGATGTGAATGTAATGTAGCAGTCCGAGACTTTTTCGCTACGCCAGAGTGAATTTCCAACACAGTGTTGTTCAGCCCTGCCATGCTTCCAGCCCCATTGTTTCAGAAAGTGAAATCATCGTCATCGTCGTCAGAATCTTTCGCTAATGCGTGAATGTCGCCTTCTGCCTTCGATCCTGGATCTTGGAATGCTCGCGATTCATTGCCCTTGGATTGAGTATGATGCGCATCGGCCAATTTCACCGGACTTGATGACTGGACTTCCTCGCTCGGAATCAGACCGGACAAACTGGCAATGCCTGGTGATCTCCCGTGTGACCGGGCCACAAACGACCACGGAGGATGGGCATCGTCCGGACTTGTGTGAGATGAGCTTGCGCCGCTTGAAACCACTGAAGGCGTGTTGGACGAGACCACGAGCCTAGTGCCGGATGGGGAAAGATCATTTTCGTAGCCAGCTTCGAGGGACTTTGGTGGTTTTGTTGGCACAATATCTTTCAAAGAAGCTCGCTTCGCAGGCGACGGCGATGAATCCAATCCTGCAGTGTCAAGTAGTCCATGGTTTGGTACGGCCACCAATTCGTCCTGTCCGACTTCGGCATCGACCGGAACAGCCACATAGGGGTCTTGTAAGTGGTCTCCATTGTGTGTCCACCTGCATAAGGCTCTTCCAGGGTCAAGCACACCATCCTCTTTGTCATTTTGTACGCTGGTAGGTGAAAGGTCCACCTGCAGCGCACCATCTTCGTGGATGACGGTATTCTTTGCAACCTGTTGTAGTGTCTCCTGCAGTACCCAGGGGAAGCTGATGAAAGGTACGCCGGTGGCAGAGGTTGAAGCAGATAAAACAGAGCCAGATGATTCGGCTGAGAGAGCAGAACCATCTTCGTGTTCTGATCCGTGGCCCTCTTCTCGTTTCCTAGCTTTCTGATATTCTTCATGGGTGATGTGGTAGGCCGCAATGGCATATGGTCTCAGTTTTGCCAGGTCGTGTCCGCCAGCTTCTTCCCGGAACGCCTCATAGTATTGATCTTTCAGCGTCTTAGCGTGCTGTCCAATTTCTTCATGGAACTTGTAGTCTTTGGAGGCTTTGCTGTGGTGCAGCACAAAAGTAGACCAAACTTCGAATTCAGACGCAATCTGGTGTTGGGCCATGATACGACGCATGCTCTCGTCATAGCTCTCCTTGAGCCTGCGGACAAAACCGATGACTTCCTCTTGTGGGGCATGTATCAAGATCCGTCCATCAAAATCTCCCAACAGGTGTGGCTCAAACTTTGCTTTCCCGACCGCGTCGTACAGCCGGCCCAGAATCTTTCTCGAGCGAAACACACCGGATCGCTTCTTCTCCATAAAATGGGGCCACTGGCTTCGCTCCAGGTCCCGCGTCATGAGTGCAGGCACGCCAGTTTTCGGATAGTCAACGGCCATGGAATGGAGCTCGACAAGCTTCAAGCATTGCTCGCTGTCGATGCCATCAGGCAGAGAGTGAGCAGCAGCAAGGTGTGCATGTGCAATCCTTCCCAGATAGTCATTCTGCATGTAGTCATAGAAGAAGTTGATGATGTCGTCGATCGAGACGTTTTCCTTTCTGACGGGCTCTGGCGCGTTGTAATGAAAAGGTTCGGCATTCCACTCCTTTGGGAGCAATTCAGGATCCCAGATGACGATATAATCGTCCCCATCAAGATCACCGCCAGAACACATGCTGGGCAAGTCTCGGTCACCAACCGAGGGCATGACCAGCACATCGCACATGTGCCGTAGCGGGGGACAATTGACGGCTTTGACAACCCGGATGTCGCCGCGATGCAGAGATGGGTTGCGAGCAATGATACAAACACCTTCATAGAGACAGCGGACTTTCTTCTGGGGGTCTGTGTATTGGATAAAAACCTCTGGCAAAGCTTTCTCTCTTTCCTCCCGGCTAGCATTTGGCCCAGGCTGGAGGTCGTTAATGTGGCCACGAAGCGTGCCAGTCTCGTCAACAACACCCAAGACGAAGGCACCTTGAGACACGGGAATCTTGGCCTTTTCTTTCAGATACTTCAGCATCCATGCTCTCCAGAGCCGTACTAGGGACGCCACAAAGGGTTCATCGAGCTGGGAGAACCCAGCTTCGATCATGGCAGCGATATTAGGGGTCATCAGATTAGGGTCGACGTTCTCCCGTAAGGCTCGTACGGCGACGGTGTCATCTCTCATGGCGGCATCCAGATCTTCAATGCATTTTTGTTGCATTCGGAGAAACACCACATCCGGCACGCCAAGTGCCGACAACACAAGGATGAGTTGACGGTTCAGGAACGGTCGCCAGAATTCAGAGACCCGAATGATCTCCAACTCATTTGACTCGCTATCGAACTTCCGTTGGCTCGGCCGGATCTTGACATCGGAGTTGGTGAGGGTGGGATCAAGGGCGAGAACTCCTTTACAGCCGCCCAATCTGAACTGAAATGCCGAAGGAGGCTCCTCACCACTGAGCTTAAGTTTGTTCTTGATGTGAAGGGCAGTGAGACGGGATATTTTCCCAACACCATCAGTGAAGTTGTATTTGCCATTTTTGATGTCCGGTATGTCGGCGTCTTTGCTGCGACTATCTCTGTTGAGGATCTTGAAGGGTGTTGTTGTCGCAAAGCATTGACCCATTCGTGCGGCTCGCTTGGCGACCACCTTCTCGTGATCAAAGATGCCCATATCCCTCCTGATATCATCGACAGTGATGCGTGGGTGTTGAGAGGCCGCAAAGAAGTATGCACCGTGTTCCCTTATCTGTGAGTTCCCCCAGGCAAGAAATTCGTAACGTCGATCGCCAAGGACAATACCGTGCTTCATGGTCCGACGAACTCTGTCGAAGACCAGCTTCATCTTACCGTTTGTTGCCGGCCAGAGTCTTGTCTGTCCGCGGTAAGGGTCGTCTTCGAACCGCACTCTGAGGAAATGGTTGCTGACGCTGGAATATCTGCGCACAATCCGATTCGTGATCTCAACTGAAGGGGTGTGGAATACAACTCCCGTGGCGGTGACTGTTGCACTATAGATCTCTGCACAATTTGCGGGAGGCGCACGGGCGAGCACCGGCTTCGTGTAACGTAGGTCTGTGAAGATGGACATAGGGTCGTAGACACGTTGTTGATGTAAGTCGACGTGAATGAGCATTTGCTTGGCCCGTTTTGTAGGCATGTCTGACAACTTCTGCAAAAACTCGCGCGTGAGGCTGTACTCATTGAGCCACCGTTTTGAAATACAAACTTCGAGTTGATATCTCAGATCGAAGTCAAGGCGACGCGGTAGCAAAAGCTCCTCTGACCATGATTGGGAGCCGGTTCCGTCGACAAAGTCCCAGAACGGGGCAGGACTTCCTGGACCGGTGACCACTTGAAACGAGGAATCCCGACTCACGCGAATGTTGAAGTCTGCAAGAGCAGTCAGAAACTGGCCTAGCGAATTCTGGTTTCGGTCGATATCCGGTCTGATTGTAACACGGAAAGTTGTCCAGCGAGCAATATCGATACTATTGTGAAGTTTCTGCACCGAAACCGGAGTGTCGTTGATCTTCTGAAAAGTTTCCTTCTCGTCGACAATGTCAGTCTGGCGCGACCATGTGTCGTCTGAGCTCCACTTGGACGAGTTATCATCGTGACTCAATGCCATCGCCTGCTTCAATTGCCGGGAGTACCAGGGCGTGTTATTCAGGTGGATGACCAACGCGGTGGATCCGTTACTGTGGACTTCACACAACGAGAACTGTTCGTCTAGCGCGACAGAGAACCGGTATGCCCGTTCTATCGCCCTGCTCCGTGAGTGGATAACGACCGGGAAGTGAACCTCCATCTCCAGTTTGGTCAAGTTTAGCCTCAATCGAACGGCATCACCGCGACTGTTCTGTCTCTGGGCCTTCACAACCATGCGTCCAGGTCGACTGAGGTAGCCAAAGTCGATTGCACTGCCATATAGTGTGACTTCTGGATCATATCTCACGCCGCGGCGGACAGGACTCTCAACGAAGCGGTTCGGCGACCGGGGTTCATATCGGACCTTGATCTTGGGTAGCGGCTCACCCTCGTTGCGCCGACTGTGAAAGTGGAATTTATTGATGAACTGTTCATCCCAGGGTGCTCTTCCCGGCGGTGGCGGTCTGCAGACAAGGTTAGAACATAGTGACAACCAACGATCTAGAATTCGGGGCTCACTTGAACACGATTATCGCTTGTCCCGCGAAGTTCCCCTGAGGGGTTTCCTCCATCCGAATGAACTCGACATTCCCAAAACGACTGAAATTTCTGTGGATATCATAGGTGGTAACTCCTCGAGGCAGGTTAGAAATGTAAGCCTTGACAGAAGGCCAGGTCCTCCATTCTTCGTCGCGTTGAGTTTGGCGCGCTAGATCCATCACCCTAAGTGAATCGGAAAGGCGCTCCATTCGGCCATGCCCGTGGTCCGAAGAGCGCTGGGCAAGACCCAGAGGCGGTGTCCGGGCCGTTGGGGTGTTAACGTCTTTGAGCTGAAGTACAACGGGAGGATCGGAACTAAATGACTCTGACGTTCAGTTTTGGCTTTGGACAACATGAAAGGGTCAAGGATTTTGGCGAGAGCCAGTGTGTCGGAAGCGAAGATCCGCCCGAGGCTAAGGCAAGGATAACGGATCTCCAAAACAAATGGCACAAGATTAAGAGAATATGGAAGAACGCCGAACCAGAATAGAAATAATGTCAGAGATTGTGGGAGAAGCTTGAGGCCACAAGTGAAGACTGGCAGCGGGAGGTGAATGTGGCGGTGACGGCAGAGTGAATGTTGGCAGATTCATTAGTTTGCAGGGAAGGTGCTGTTAATGATATCGGACAAAGGCAAGAGTGTTGAGCAATCAATCCCATACAGCGCGCATCTGCCCGTTGTTTGATTGAATCAAACGGCGGGAGGCAGAAGGCAACAGACCGATAGATGGATGTCAAGGCAGACCGTCAACGTGAGTCGGCCACGAGACTGGACTGATGTGTGCGGCTGGGCCATCTTCAGTCAAGACGAGCAGACTCCAGACTTCCGAATAACTCGCCGTCCTTCAGCAAACGAATCGATATTGGGCCACAGTGAGATGGCCACACATCTCATTCTGAAGTGCGACTATCTGAGAAGTCGCCGCGCTGGCTATAATTACTCATGTGCAGAGGTAGGTAGATATGCAGTACAATATCAACCACATGCAATGTCTCCCCACGCTGCATTCAGTGGCACGGCATTCATTGTAAAGAAACGCTTGCTGAAGGCCCGCAGTCGGCTGCGCAACAGTCCTGTCTCACCACTGGACGGATTAACTACGTAGGTATCTAAGTGAAGTGGCTTGCCCCAGGAATACCGAGATAGGCGATCCAGATGCCGCTTGGCGGCAATAAGTGGAGGCTCGAGAGGCGCATGCGGGCGGCATCTATTCCGCCGGACACTATGTAATTGAGCATCGATCGTGCTTTCAAAACGTCGAGTACACCATCGCTTCGCATAGTCGTACTCGAGAAAGAGTCGTTATGTCCTGCCCGAGGTAGTGTATTGCATCGTCGCCATCTCAGTGCCCACTGCGCGTAGATATCATCACCATGGAGAAGACACAGCGGACCTTGCGAGTTCTTAAATTATGCGCGGAGGCAAACAGCAGAGAGGGATGCCCTTCGAGAATCTCTATCCCGTCGAGAGTCTGCACGAAGAAACACCTGAGGAGCACGCCGACCAAGAAATTCTACTCGACGCGGGCCTCGAGCGCAGAGTACCAAGCAAAACCGAATCTACCACTGGGGACGACCAGCAGGGCGTTACTCCTGGCCGGGGCACTCGCGTCCCTCGGCTATGCTGTGGGCGTCAACGACGCAGGAAGTCATGCGGATGAGCTCATTCCGCGGAAGCCCAAGCCTCCTACATACGCGAGCAAGATGGAGCTGGAGAAGGCCATCACGGAGCTTCGGGAACTGCTGGGCGAGGACGCTGTCAGCACGGATGACGACGACCTCAAGGACCACGGCTACTCCGAATGGTCGTCGATCAATATCGACCAATTGCCCGTTGCTGTGGCATATCCCAAGAGCACGGAGGAAGTCGCCCACATTGCGAAGATCGCCTCAAAATACAGAGTGCCCATGATACCTTACTCGGGCGGCTCCTCTCTCGAAGCGAACTTTTCGGCCCCGTTCGGCGGGTTCAGCATCGATTTCGCCTTCATGGACCAGATCCTGGCCATCCACGCCGACGACATGGACGTCGTGGTCCAGCCGGCGGTGCAGTGGATGGAGCTGAACGACAAGCTGCAGCATACAGGCCTGTTCTTCCCCGTCGACCCGGGACCATCGGCCAAGATCGGAGGCATGGTCGGCACCTCCTGCAGCGGCACAAACGCCTTCCGCTACGGCACCATGAAAGACTGGGTCATCAACTTGACAGTCGTCCTGCCCGACGGGCGGATCATCAAAACCAGACGGCGGCCCCGCAAGACGTCGGCGGGCTATAACCTCACCGGCCTCTTCGTGGGCGCCGAAGGCACCTTGGGCATCGTCACGGAAGCGACGCTCAAGCTGGCGGTCATCCCCCAGGAGACCAAAGTCGCCGTCGTGACGTTCCCGACCATCCGCGACGCGGCCGCCTCGGCCATGCAGATCATCCGGGCGGGCGTGCCCGTGGCGGCCATGGAAATCATGGACGACGTCCAAATGTCGGTCATCAACCGCGCCGGAGGCACGAACCGCACGTGGAAGGAAGCCCCCACCATCTTCTTCAAATTCTCCGGCACGACGGCCGGTGTGGCAGACAACATCAAGACGACCACTGACATTGCGAAGAAGAACCACGCCGGCGACTTCATCTACGCCAAGGACGATCGGGAAGCCCACGACCTGTGGAAGGCCCGGAAGGACTCCCTGTGGAGCATGCTCTCGTTGAGGCGCGAAGGCGACGAAGTGTGGTCGACCGACGTGGCCGTCCCGATCTCGAGACTCCCAGACATTGTCGGTAAGCATTTGCGTACTCTACAGCGGCGGGCATATGGAGGAGGCCCACGACCGGTCCCCACGCTGACATGGACTACCTAGAAATCACCAAGAAAGAAGTCGATGACCTGGGTCTTTTCGCCAGCGTGCTCGGACACATCGGCGACGGAAACTTTCATACATCGGTCCTGTACAACCGCAACGACCCCAAGGAGAGAGAGCAGGTGGAGCGCGTCGTGCATAACATGGTGGATCGAGCCCTTGAAATGGTAAGTGCCCCATTCTGCGCCACTGGAACTCGACACTGCCGTCTAGCAAGCAAATCCGACATCTGATGCGGATGCTGCGGAGACACTGATGTGACACTGATCCTGAGCGACGCTAACCCTCACAACCACGACCAGGAAGGCACATGCACCGGCGAGCACGGCATCGGCCTAGGCAAGAAGCAAAGCCTAGTCTCCGAGCTTGGAGTCGAGACAATCAGCGTGATGCAGACGTTGAAACGAAGTCTAGACCCGCACTGGCTGATGAACCCGGGCAAAATCTTCGATGCTCTTGGCGTGGAGGACACAAAGAGCCAGCCTGAGGCCACGGCGGCGTCCACCCTGGCACGACCGACGGATAAGTGAGCGACCGGAGGGAGGGACGTTGAAACGGACGGACTGAGCATACGATCTGCACCATACACGCATGCACACATGCCACACAAGCTGAGTTGGGTGGAATCAGGTCTGCTTCACCTGCTGGGTTTACTTGTACGGCATGATACGCGAGATCTGGTTGTATGTACTTCCTGTTGTATGTTGATCCCTTGAACTAAATCCAAGGGTCTCGTTGCTGGTCGCGTCTTGTGTGCGCATGCGCTGATCAGGTACGTAGGGAGTATCTACGTAGCCTTCCTCGGGATGAGTCTAGATCCAGGTTGCCTAGGTCCCAGGAGTTGCCGACCTCCGACAAACTTCGATCCTCCTGTCTATGCCCCAGCTAGTTTCACTGCTGGACATTCATTATTTGACTTCACCTCCACCCTATGACCACGTCCTGATATCTTGGATCCGTATCTCCAAAAGGCGTGCTTGCCTGACGCAGACCCCTCGAATACGCTTAGCATAGACAATGAGGTAAGTGGGTGACGTCCTAGGGTACGGAGCGTTGGCACCGACCGTGAGCAAAACTTGCTAGTGTGCTGAGGTGCCATATTGCAGCCAGTTTTCAAGTTGTCTCCATCACTGGGAAGACTTTATACACGCGAGGTGTCCCTGAGAGCTTGCCTTATCATCTAAGATCCACCGTTTGCCGAATTGGCACCTCCAACGGCGACGCGGTGAATTTCATGTAGCTGGTGGAAACATGCCTGGTTGCGGTGCTGCCGATATCGAGGCAGCGAGGCATGGGTATCAAAGCATACGATGTTCGAGGCGTCTGACATATGGACGAGATGTGCTTGGAAGGTTTGTAAATCCAGACCACGGACCGATCAATCATTGAAGAACGTCTTTTCTAGTCTTCTAGCCAAATTCACACAAGGTGTGTCGACAGCCCGCAAGAACACATCCGCCACCCAGATGACTGTAAGTAGAATCACGATGGCCGCCTTGGCGAAGTCCCTCTGGAATTGTCTCATGACTTCGGGCGTTTCCACTTCAGGCGTTCGAGGGAGTATCTGTCTTCGATTAGGACGAGCAGCATGAAGGAAGTAAAAGGCAATCTTACTAAATAGCCTAGGGTATGGATGACCGGTCCGTGCATGACATACAGAGGAAAACTGATCTTGCCCAAGTACTGGACAGGCGCCCAGCAAAAGGCTCTGTTTCGCAGAACGCCTAGCCGACATGAAGACCAGACTATCAAGACTGCACCCATGGTGGGCCAGAACCGGTGCTTTTCGGTGAAGTTACGGGGAATCAGAGAATCGAGGGTGACGAACCCGGGGGTAGCGTTGGCGGCAACGTCCGGGAAGGAGAGCAGGAACAGCGACATCAGAAACGCCGCCCAATACAAGATCCGAGTCGATCGGCGGGGCAAATGCCGCTGACTGTCCGTTAAGGTCGACGGCAGTCCAGACGCAGCCATCGATGTGCAGATGATGTCCCATTCCGCAATCACAGCTCCAGCCCAGAACGGGGTCAATTCCCATCTGTCCCATGAGACACCCCAGATAATGAGTCCCGCAAAAGTCATGATCCGTAGCCGGCTCGACATCCTGGCCGTGAGCATATGCGTCAGGAAAAGAGCCATGCTACAGCGAAACTCGACAGGGATGGTCCACAAATGGCGGTCCAGCTCAATGGACCCGGCAAACAACGACCAGTTGAAGACGTCGACAAAGATGAGCATCTGTACCAGCCAATCCGCGAACTGCAGCCACATGTTCGGTTGAGTATAGCAGTGAGATTCCAGTACCATGCGCATTTGGTTTGAGAAGTCCTCGGTGAGTCTGTAAAGGTTGAGCTGAGCCAGACAGATGACGATGAAGGTGGAGGCGAAACAAGGAAGAAACAGTCGCAATCCCCGGCGGAAGATGGAAGAAGTCATTGTCGTCATCAGTTGCTCGTGCTGACGCGAACGCATTTGCTTCACAGGTTTGTAGCTGAGTGCGTACCCCGAGATGACGAAGAAGATGGCCACCATGGGGGGTCCCGAGTAGAGAAGTCGAATGATCGGTAATCGAAGAGGCTCTGTGAACGCGGTCCGGGGCTGCGTTTCTGGGTCCGGTGCCGCGCCCCAGGCGTGCACAATGTCGAACGTGCCATATGTGAGATGGCAGATGAACACAGCGAAGGCAGCGAGCCCGCGCATGCCGTCAAGAAAGGCGGTTGGCGCAAGCTTGTCAGTCTTGCCCTGCTCATTTGGTGAGCGGCGATGCAGGAAACTCGGGACAAGCAAACTGAGTAGTTGACCAAGAAGTCTGCCCAGATGTCGAAGTGAAAAGCAAAGCCCGAAGTTCCAGAGCTGGCGGGGGTACTGAGGCTTCAGCCATGTGCTGGTTCCAACCGTGCTTTCATTGTAGTCAAATTCACGTTTCTCGTCCAACAGCCCGAGTTGCGATTCATCTGAACTGGAGCGTGACGAGTCACCGCTCGAGGACGTCGAGCTCATGATGCTCGATCGACCCGCGAACGCAGGGCATCTGAAAAGAGCGAAGAATTGTGGTGACGCGTCGGCACGGAGGAGTTTTCGAGAAGGAGAGAAAGAACGAGCAGTGAAGCAGGCGCCAACTGTTTCCCCAGAGTTACAGGCGGCCGCCAGGGATAGCCAGTCGCGGGCTGTCATACTGCAGCCACGGGGCTGAGTTTTGCATGAGCGGAGCCTTGCTCTCTCCACAATGGCGAAATTGCCCAAATGAGCGGCAGGTGAGAGTGAGGTGAGAGCGAGGTGAGAGGCTGATCAGTCCACCCGTCGCCAGTTTTCTGAGACAGCGTGGATCCTCCGCACAAAAATAACCACAGTCATTCACAAGCAGCTTTATCTACATACTGAGTATATTTGACTATTCGACTTGCTGCATCTACACTTACCTATCGAAAGTACTCCGTACTCTGTTCAGCAGACCATGTTCAACGTCTCAAGAACTCCGGAAATTTAATTAACGCGGGGTCTAGAGGCTCAAGCAGCGTGGAAAGTGGACCCCGGTAAAGGAGGTGGCGTTCTGAATTTGCTTGTGAGTCTCGGTATAAGTAGTCTGGACATGTCCACGCCATCAGAAGCTGACCGAAGCCGCGTTTCTGCGACTGCCAACACCTCACACAAACCAACGCTGCTGGACTTCCGAGGAAATTGTCGCGTCTTTGGGCTGAGTTCACATTTTCGCAGACGTGAGCTCAGTGTGAGGTTCAAGTGAATTTGAAGTTCCATGTCGATCGGGTTTCAAGCTTTGCTATTTCTGGCCCAAGTTCCACCAGCGTCGGTTAAAGCAGGTTTGCCGGATCCAAGAGCCCGTTGACTGTGTGAACCAGGGCAGGAGCGCCTGCCAACCTAATTAATTTATCTTCAAAGCGAGATGCAGCCCTTCGAGAGCCGCTCAAGTGCAAAAGCCGGGCCCCGACCGTCAAACCAGAGTCTCCTGAGCACACGCGGCCTTGTATGGGTATTCATCACAAGCAGCACGCTTCCATATCTACATTCCCCCTATTTGTCTACATGTACAGCTATGTTTCCATTTCCCAGGCACATCAACAGTCCAAACACAAAGTATCATTCGCAAGGATACCAGCATTTTCTGGGTAGCCTTGCCTTGACACGATGACCTTCTCTGGTATCAAATCCGCTGTTTGTTCTCGGCTTGGAATCGAACACACGTAGTCCGAACCCGTCATGTTCCTTGCGCCGGTCTGCCTGTCAAACGCCGTGCATCTGCTCGATAATGTCGGTCTCAACAATTGGGCCATTGTATCTACCCCGAAGGTATCCGAAATAGCTCGCTATGCCGAGAATCATCGTTCCTCCCCACAGCAGGCACGACCAATTCATAGTCTCCACTGTCAACCCGGTCCGGACGGATGGGAAGAAGCTGAAGACCATGACGATGGCAATCCACAGCAGGCCGAAGACATTGCAAAAGATGCCCAGTCCGCGCCCCAGTGTCCAGGGGCCGTAATGGATCGACGTGGGATGGAAGATCTTCTTGTGCAGCAATAGAACCATCGGGAGCGTATACGAGCCTAGATAGCCGCTGATGACCAAGGAGGCAACGGCGTTGAAGGCTGCGGATGATCCGATGTTGATGAGGCCTAGCAGCATGGTGATGAGAACCGAGAGGGCTACCGAGTACAGAGGAAGCTTGGTTCGCGGCTCGACCTGGGAGATGAATCGAGAGCCCGGCAGTCCGTTGTCGCGGGCGAAGGCCCATGTCATTCTGGACGCTGCTGCCAACACGGCGATGGTGGCGAAGATCATCAGCGACAGAACCACAGCAGTCATGGCCGTGGCCCCGCCGTTGGTCTGGACAGCCTGCTTGAATATCTCGATGAAGGGGAATCCGGTGGGAGTGCTAAGCGCATTGTCGATGTTGCCGATACAGAAGAGAATGGCTATCAGCATTGAGAAACCCATGATTCCATTGAGACCAATTGAGGCGACCAACGCTTGAGGTACCACTGTCGAGGCATTCTTGATCTCCTCGCTCATGTGTATAGCACCGTCGGCTCCGATAAAAGCGAAGACTGTCGTGATCAGTCCCACGAAGAAGGACGTGCCCTCGTCGTATCCCCCGTTGGCAAGGTATTTCACAAAGACGTCGTATGAATCGCCGTGGGGCGCCAAGTATACCAGGGTGATCAAGACACCGAAAAAGCCGACAATGTGGACAATAAGCACCGCGCCTTCGACCTTCGGGAGCTGCTTAGCGAGGTACGTGTTGAACAGCATGGCCAGGGTGATGACTGCATAAAGGAGGAGGGTCCCGTGCCACCTCTTGAAGTCGTAGCTGGGATAGTTGAGGACAAGGAGACCCTGAATAATGGTCCCTCCGAGATATGCAGCTGAAGCCAAACAAGCCTGCCACGAGAGAACCGACTGCCAGCCGGTGATGAAAGAGAGGAAGTTGCGGCAAGATTTTGGCGCGAACAAGAATGTCCAGTGGTATTGACCTCCGGCTGTAGGTGCCCTGTCAACGTCAGTCGGAAGGACA